ATCCCCATTATAATAAAACATGTCCATTGTTACAGCATGTGAATACTTTAAATAGGCTTAAATACATTACACAATACCGGCTGTCGTAAAGGAATATAAATTGATAGCCGCGTACGTGCGATTGGGTTGATGCAGGCTACAAAGGACCAATTACGAAGGGTGGCACGGAATACAAGGTCAATTGACACTGCTTCAATACTGTAGGATTTAAGGTGGTGAATAAACTATTAAACAAGATATTTGATATATAAGAAAAAAGTGAATATAAGACTTATCACAATTTACCCGTGCATTACTCAATGTAATAGAACTATTTTCCAAGAACAAAAATCAATTTATATCGGTTTTAAAAAGGTTCCTTTTCCATGTAACGTAAATAGCGCATAACTTAAAAATCGAAAATAAATTGAAAAAATTTTCGACTCGGGCAGGACTTGAACCGGCCTCGTCAGCGTTCCGTGCTGCTGCTCGATTTTTAAATTATATAGTGCCTTCATGTGCACCATGAAAAAAATATTAAAGTTTTCAAGCGCATAACTACCTTTATTTTTTCAATGTCTTTATGTGTAAATAGTAGATGGCAAAGAAAATGACACTATGCATATCATAATCTATACTAATATATAAAGCTGAAGAGTTTGTTTATTTGTTTGTTTGTTTGAACGCGCTAATCTCAGGAGATACGGCTTCGAATTGAAAAAATATTTTAAACATATTTGTATTGATTAGAACATTTATCAAAGAAGGCTATAAAACGTCGCGCTGTGACTAATAGAAGCGAAGATACAGCGGGGAATGTGAACAAAACGGGGGAAATTTTAAATCTCTGTGGGTTTCAGATGCGTACGCTGCGAAAACGGTTCCAGACACCCAAAAAATATGTAGGACAGAATGATTCATCTTTAAATGATCTAAAAAAAATTTCGCGTTTTTTTGCATTTTTCTGTAAGTAACTTACTTTTTTGTCGTTTCAACTTTACCGAAAAAGTTCTCTGAATAAACACTACTTTCCAACGCGCACGACAATTTCGTGAGTCGAAAAGGTAGCAATCAAATGGTTGATTGAGAACATTGCCGAATATTCGGCTATTCGTTCAGGGGTTAACCGAATATTATATTCGGTATTCGGTATACCGTGAAATATACTATTCGTTGCAAGCCTAAAAAGTATGTATAATATTATCTGTGATATACTACAGTTCTACACGTTAAATAAACTGCGTTGACTGTCCCTACCCCCTTTGACAGTGGCGACTGTTTTACATTTGAATTTCCGGGTTGTAATTTAAAATAAATTAACTACTTAAAAAATAATGTATTTCCGAATCTTTATCATATCAATCAATATGATATATATATTAGTTAAAGGATGGGGTTGTTTTAGCATTACACGTAACTCTACATATCTGTATTCTTTATTTAAATAGTCCATTGTATTCAAGTCTTTTTCATTATCAGTTACTTAAAAAATTCTTCTTCATAAACAAAGATTTGCTTAACAAACAAAGATCCATTGGTATGTCGGCAGACGCTATTGTTCATTGTCTTTTCAGAATATCACCCTTTCTTCAAAATGATTAAATGGCCGATGAAATTATGTTTATATGATGTTGTTCATTTTACAACAGAGTGCAATATTTAATAATTAAATATTTAAGTGAAATTAATCGACTATTATTGTTATGTAGGTCATTCACTAATATTAATTTAATATTATGGCTATTTAACGTTTATTTACAGTCTTGAGGCATTCAATTTCATCTACACAATCGTAAAAAATAAAGTAATTATTGTCTTTCCTTACATAGTTTTATGTTCTGTAGACACCGAGTTGTCTATGGTTATTTTGCCAGAATTAATAACATCTGTAATTTTTTTTTTGGTAGGTGACTTTTTCTACTTATTTTAAAGTGTTTCAGTTCAGTTCTATTACAAGATTTTTTACTAGAATTTGGTTTTAGACTTTTTATAATCTTATTTAAATAATTACATAAGTAGCTCATTTGGTAGAGCGGTACATTGTTATTGTGGGTTCAAGCCTCGCCACTACTTTTACCATCTCGAAGAACTTAAAGTTATATAAGCTCTCATGTTTGTTATTAACCTTGTGGGAATATAATTTAGCTTTTGATTACCTTTAGAAATTCTTTCTATAATCTTGAATTTTAAAAAGCAATAAATTAATACGTGTACTTGAAAATGTAACGGCAATTTTTATTGGCTACTAGACTGACCTTATGACTATTATGCCAATAAAGCAAAGGTCCATCGGTCAGGTCACTTGATCTGACAACCGTCTAATGACCAATTACGCCAGTTATATTGCGCAATTAAGCGCTTGTGTTTTTAATTAACCTCCTTAATTTTGTCTCTACGTACTTAATTACTATATCTGGCTGCTACAAATTTAACATCTGTATTATATCCTAACTACCTTTTAACCGCGGCTTCGCTGCCATAATATTACGGGAACAATAATACAGAAACAAAAGTTAATTATAAAAAAGGTTATTTATATAGAAATTCCCTCTTTTACGTACCCTTTTTAACTAGGTGCGAAAAATCAAGTGACACTGTTGTTTAGTAAAAGTGAAAGCGAAGGTCTAACCGACATAATTTATTGTCTTTAATATTAGTTATAGCCCGAAACACATAGCGGTTTTAAACGAAATATTCATTCAAATAGTATATTCATTTTTAGATGATTGTCTTCTTTCTGTTATTAACATTTTATATGTTAAATACACTCGCTTATAATACAGAAAATGTAAATTTCTGTAATATTGAAATTATGAAAAAAAATTATGAGTATAAAGGTTATTTAACATTTATAGCTATAATTATTATCGACGTAGTAACATGTTAAATGGTGTATTAGTGCCCTACAATAATAATTTCAATGTGCATGACAGGTACAAAAACATCGTGCCTAAGTACACATTGTTTATAATTTTTCGATAAGGAACAGCTATTGTATGTGAGCTTAGCAGGTTTCTAAGAATGTAATCTATGTTCCTGTAATTTTGCACGGTAGGTAACCTATAGCCATACATACGTCTAGCAATACATCGATTTTATGATTTACATTTTAAATAAAATACTTGTAACTATTTACAACGCGAAATTTACTAGTTAACTTATTATCTGTAGTGAACGCGAGTAGTGCACATTTAAATAAAACTCTTTTAACGATGTAAAACCTGAATTCAGGTTATTTTAAATTCATTTTAACTACTGCGCGACGACTTCGGATCGTTTACAGAAGTCGTGGTCACGAGCAATCATGCTAAAAATAAATTTAAGATTAGTAGTAGATTAAAACTATTATATTTCGCATTATAAACCGAATAAGTGTTTTACTTAAATGGGTAATATTCGCGTAAACCATAACCTCTTTTATACTTCCTGTAAGTGGTATTAAGATTTTAGTTTTTATTTTATTTCTCACGACTAGACCATTTTAATTGGTAATTGCTAGAATTAAAAATAAGAAGAACAAAGATTATAAAAACTCCCGTTTGTTGTGACCACAGAGCTTTATCGGGATTGAATTCCCGCGCTCTGCAAAGCAGGAACTATTACTGGCCATAAAGGGCGAATTTTAAAAATGGAAACTGGCGCGACCGTCATAGAAAAGTAGCATAATCATCACCACACGAGGAACTCGAACGCGGCAAACCAGTCCCCGAGTACTTTGTTCTACGATAAACTAAGCTGTTACAACTTACTACCAGTCACGCGCCAGTCATCGATGAAACGGTTGTTGTAGACGCTGCGCTCGCGCATTCATAAATTACAAGTTACATATTTTGAGAATTCGAACAGTGTTAAGTGGCCAAGTGATATATCCTTCCAAATATGTGAATATTTTTGTGTCATATATGAACTTGGATTGCGCTTGTGGATTTAAAGTAAGTTAATAAGTTTCTTTTTTCTTTAAACTACATTAAAAATTAAATTTACCGCTGTAATATTGTGAAAATGAATATAGCCTAAATACATATTCTACTGTAATCCGTCAGTAAGAAAAAGTTATAACTTAAAATAGTTAGTTATCTGAGTTATTGTATGTATTTTTTACACACACACGTTTTATTATTGTAATTTTTATATAGCAACTATACGCATTATATTAAATTAAAATGTATTTTTACATTGAAAAAGTTATCCCATTAGTTTTAATATAACAATAAATATTTAATCCATAAAACTGTATATACACCTTAATGTAGCCTTCGTATTTTTGAAAGAAATATTATGAAGGGAAACACTAAGCAGTTAGATTTAATTTTAGGGTACTATATACATATACTTCATATAGGTATATACCTACTAAGTCCGGAATTGTGTGGGAGCCTATATTAATATCGTTTTTTAAGTAAAAAGCACTTTAAATTTATGTAAATAAAAATACAATTTGAATTTATTTAAGATTTACTTCGCTTTTTATTAAAATAAAATTTTATGATCACAATTTCGTATAATAATATGCTAAAATTTCAACATTTAGGTTTTTCAATGCATAATAATTCCAAACACAACATGCTTGCCTACCTCCACCACCATCATTGCGACATTTCCTGGTATTTTTATTCACATACGGTTGCAGAATTTTTATTATTTCAATTTACACTGTATTAAACATTATCGTCTGTTATGAATTTGCTAAGTACTTTTTTATGTAGATAGTCCTCATAATGTTATGAAATTCGTTACAAAATAACTGGTAAAATTAATTTCTTACTGATTATTGTACGTAATTCTATGCTCTACTTTTTTTATTATGTAAGCGTGTTTAAACTGAAGCGAAGATGGGCAATTTTTCTTTTAATAGACGTTGCAAAACGTTTTATCTAATTCTGTGCTAATACTTAATTACTTCTGAAGTAATCCTTCGTCTACCTATCTCGTAGCCATCGCGTTTACTTCGAATCACACGTCAACAACACAAGTTTATACAAGAAAAAGATATCATTCTCAGCAGTGTTGTATATTACAAAATGAGAAGTTACATTAAATCTACTTATGAGTATACCAAACTGCGTAAAAACTTTGGTAGACAACCATTGTTTCAAGACGTACCTGCCCACTTAATAGACTCCATTAACCCTGACAGAGAGGAACAGAAACAGTATATGCTTCGCAATCCTGTGCACCGAGAGATTCAAGCAACAATGCCGCAATCTGAACACGATGCAAACACAAAACAATTGATAATGCACGAACAAGGCATAAATCATACGGAGGGTGGTTGGCCCCGTGATGTCCATCTATACAATGAAGATCATCTTGCCCGGCACAGACGGCGAGTACAACACGAGGATGGTTATGTTCATGCTATATCGAATCTGAAACCGCAAGTGGAACATTACATTGATCAGAATAACGCCATCGATATGTATCAAACGTACTTCGCCGGTATGGACGCACGGGCACCGGTTGAGAAATACAATGTTCAAATTGCAAATGTATTCAAAGACACCTATAAACGGCCCGTGTCTTGCATTGTGTGGACAAATGAAAAGAAGTCTAAACTAGCGGCGTCATACAGCTACCAAGAATACACAGCTGATAAAAGTTCGAACAATCGCACAGTATCATACGTCTGGGACGTGAATAAGCAAACATCACCTTTATACGAATTTTATCCTGAAAGTAGTTGTTGGCGTCTAGCTCCATCGCCGGATAATCCCGATATTCTGGTTGCGGGCCTTGAAAATGGTACGATTAACATTTTCGATATTCGCAACAACCAAGATGCTGTATCTAAAAGCTCCGTATATAATTCACACAAAGGACCAATTACTGGTCTACTTTATTTACACTCAAGAACGAATAGCGAATTTTTTACTGGCTCTCCAGATGGACAATGTCTTTGGTGGGACATTAGAAACCTCTTTAAGCCAATGGACCAACTTTTTATGTCTGTTAGACAGGCACAAAACGTGGAACCGAGCTTTTCCACTGCGGAAGGTGTCAGTTGTATCGAATTTGACCGTGGATTGCCGACTAAATTTTTGACTGGAACAGAGTCTGGGTTAGTGATCAATGCAAATCGAATGGGTAGAAGTCATTCCGAAGTTTTGACAAATTATTGGAACGCACATTCCGGGCCTGTAAGAGCCGTTCACCGCAGTCCTTGTACGCTTCGTATGTTTATCACTTGCGGAGATTGGAACGTCCGTATTTGGAGTGAAGAGGTTCGCACGGCACCTATTATAGTCACACGTCCATATCTTTACCAGGTCACCGATGTCGCTTGGGCTCCTTTAAGATATTCTAGTTATATGGCCGTATGTCAAGGCGGTGTATTCCACTACTGGGACTTGCTTAGAAAATATCGAGAGCCAATTGCTACATTGCAAATCTCAAAACATGGCCTCACGCGCTTAACTCCACACCCAGAAGGTGAATCTATTGCTGTAGGAGACAATTGTGGCTCTTTGTACCTTCTTCATCTGTCTGAGAATATGATTCTTCCTGGCTCCCAAGATAAGCACCTATTTCACCAAATTTATGACCGAGAAACCAGGCGCGAGCACATCTTAGATAATCGAGTTAAAGAAATCCGTCTCAAACATCGCAAAGACGATGCAGAAACACATGTGAGTAACGAGAGAGTCGATGACGAAGGAGTTGTAAAAACTGCAGAAATAGATTATTTTAAAACTGCGAACGAAGAATTAAATAAAATAGATGGATTACATTTTGCTTCGAGTAACTTTTCAGAATAAGTTTGTTATGTTTGCCACATATTAAATTCTAATACAAGTCATCAATTTATTGAGCTATTTAAGTGAACGACCGCCTATAATTAGATCTATGTAAAAAGAAACCCGCATAGGCATAGAATATATCCGGTTGAGGGGTTCCATGCCCGACGATTTCTCTTGTAATACAAAAACGCAACACGTGCACAATGTAAACAATGGTATTGCATTGTTGTCATCGAAGAATCGAGGGAAATTAAACCTACTTTGTAAGGTTGACGTTCAAAGCGTTGTAATTTGTTACGAGAAGAAAATTTAACATAAAATAGGTATACATTTTGTTAGCAAGAAATTGACGTCTTTAAAATTCCCTCTTTCGTATTTATAATAACTATTGTATACTACTTAATTATGTAGATAAACTAATGGATAAGTAGCAATAACAGCCAAAACAGACTGCTTGGCAGCTGTTTTTTATTTAACCTTCACATAAAAAGAACGAGCGGACCCAACTATGATAGAAACTTTGCATAGGTAAAAGTAGGTTATAGACCAGTAAAATACCAAACTATAGCTAGAAATATTACACCTTTACATGATAAAAATTTAAAGCTTACGAAGTAAGAATTAAAATAGATGTACGTAATTAAGTAAATAAATTACTGTGTGCTGTATATTATTAACTCTAATTTCAAAAATTCAAGTTACTCTGATACTAAGTTATATTTTAACCACTGAGCCTCGACGGCGGTCAAAATTAAGTCATAATGTAAGTGCAGCAGTAAAAATTCTCAAGTTCAATGGCCGTGAAATACGCGGTGGTTTGTAAAGCGTGCCCACCACAAATAAGCTGGTTGATTAAGAGCGTACAAAGCTCAGTAATATGTTCTTTTGGTACACCGCTACGAGTTTCCGAACAAAAGTGCGTCGGCAGCAACTTTCTCCGCTAATAGACGGAGGCTGAGCATAAAATATACGCGAGAAACATATACTTTGGAAGACGATGTACTATTTAATCGTAAAAATACTACGCGGGTTGTATATTCTTGCGTGAGGAGGTGTTAGTTTCGAGAAAGAAAAAAAGTTTTCAACATCCATTACTTTTATTGGTATATAAATAAAATATTTTAGACAATCAAAAAACCAATTTCTTTGGTTTTGTTTAATTTATAATTTTTTGTGTTTTCGATATCAGTTTTATAGTAAAAAAAAAGATATAAGAGAGAGATTAAACTATAGCAAATATATATAATATAATAAAATAAATAAAATCTTCACAAGCCAGTTTAACCTTCCACGTTCAGAATATAACAAAACAGATAATAAATCAAATGAATCAGATGATATGTTCAAAGCGCAGACTTAATCAAATAACATTTGAATGAATTATACAGACTCGACCACAGTTGATCGCAATGATTAAAATAGTTAAGCACAATTAAATTAATTCTTGTCAACGCAATCAGCATGGAATGTTGTTCGCTACTGGTTTCCATGTAATCTAGGTTAATATCTATCACGGACATCAAGACCTAGTTTTTCCTATATAAGAAAATAACTTTTAATTTAATTAAGCTAACCCTGCTAAACATAATTAAGTTAGGCTCTACTTTATGCGCAGTACCTAATAATACCTACTTTTTTATTTTAAACCGTTGTGCAATCAAATTCAAATGTTATTTCTAAACTTTCATGTGATTATGAATTTAGCCCACTCTTGAATTTTGCACAGTTTTGACGAAGTTTAAATGTTTATTATTTTACTAGGTATAACGTGCAAAAATTTTAAGCAATTAAGACGTGTAGGACATGGTAGCTCAATTGGTCAGAGCAACAGCACGGAATTCTGTGGACGCCGGTTCGATTCCTGCTGGTGGCGTAAAATCGTCTCAACCTAAAATTGAATTTAATATAAATTTTAAGCATTTAAATTAATGTAAAATCATTCAAAATATATTTATTTTATAATGAGAAATTTAAATTTATTAATAATTCGGGCTGCACATATTATTTTTATCATAATTACAAACTATACTTAAGGAAGTTCTGTTTAAGGACACGACGTGGAAAGTTATGCATATAACGACGAAATAAAAAATATAGTTTTAGATAAAAGATTTTAATTTTGAGAATCCAGTTAAACATTGTCTGTATTTATTACAACTCTGTATTATATCTTGACATTAGTGTAACATTTTTGGGATTTAGATGAGTATATAATTATAAGTCAATGAACAGACGGTGACTGCGAAATGGTTATAATGCCACAATCGTGAATACCATAACCGTAATCATTGTATTATGTCACGAATATGTACGTCACGATCTTGTTTGCGCAAAGAAAAGAATGTGGAACGGATATACGTTTAGCATTAATTATAATGACACCTCCCAAATATGACCCGGTCATATAGCCTTGGTCAAGAATAGACCTACAAATTGTCGGGTTAAGTTTATCAAGTCCTATTTGAGTATAGCTGTGATTTTATATTTACTTATACTTTAGACATGATGAAACTATACCGCTCAGAGGCTCAAATCATTGCATAGTATTATGCGAGAGGTTCTGGCTTCCAAGCCCGGGGAAGATTTTGAAGAATAAATAAAATAAGCCTTTTATTGTTCAACATTAGTGCCAATTTGTCGTTCGAAATAGGCCTACTTTAACATGTTTTTCTGATGTAAATAAAAACGACTAGAAAAACGGACACAGACATGCGTCTGCCCTTTGTCCCTATCAGTAAAGATGGTTACTCGTAATAACGGGTTACACTTATTCGTAAATAAATTGTATGGTAGGTAGGTGACCTACCCCAGCTATAAACCTAATATCTAAACAAGATATTTTGACAGCGTCGATCCATTTTATCGTTATTCGAAAATCCACAGACTGATAACTAAACGCGAATGAGCAGTGGCTTTTGCATCTGTGGACAGGGGTTCGACCCAGACGGAATATTGATTAATGAGAAATTATATTCCGACGAAGTCTAAGATTGTGGACTCTGTGGTGGAGATCGAACCCACGACCCGTCGATTACTAGCCACACATTGTTACCATTACATTACCAAACACATGTATAATTGCATATAGACAACGGCTCTAACCGCGTAGGTAAAGAATCCGCGTCAGCTATCGAATGTTAATGTCAACTAATTTGTAAACCAGTCCTTACTGTTATTCAGACGAGGTCTGAGTTTCTGACCGTTCTGACCCACTTCACGCCTGTATTGTTGTGACGCGGATGTAATCCTCGCGAAACCCTCCAACCGCACTGTGACTTACATATAACACGTTGTGAAGCTTGAATGCCATTCGGCTTTTTTATGCGTTCCGTAGAAAAAGTTGACAATAAGCATAAATAATATAAATATAACCTAAACTAAAAATATACTTAAAGACGTAACATGTTTAATAGAATATCCTTCTAGATGCTGAAAACCAGCGGTAACTATTTTTGCTGAGATGGTTGGAAAAGGTTTCCCTATAGATCCTTCAATCTTATTCAACTGAATTGTGTATGCTGACGAGTTCTCAGTGGTTTGTTACTTACAGGAGCGACACGACGTTCAAGATGCGATGAGCCAAGCGTTGGTGGCGCTTGCGCTGCTGGTGACGGCGAGCGCGGCGCACGCGCAGCTTCGGCCAGCTGACGCGCCACCGCCTCTCAACGACACACGTGAGTGAGTTTATTAAATCCGTCCTAATCATAAGCTTCATTGAAAACTAGCTGGGTTATGGACATTACTTTAGATAACTTAAAAAAAAAAAAAAAAAAGAAAAATCTTTCATACATCCTTTTTTGGGTATCTTGAACCATTTTCGCAGCGTACGCATCGGAAACCCAGAAAGATGAATCATTTTCCACGTTTTTTCCAGATTTCCCGCGCTTTCTTTGCCCCTATTAGTCATAGCGTGATGTTGTATAGCATATAGCCTCACGTAAATCTCTAAAATATTTGTTTATTTCGAACCAGTAAGTTCTGAGATTAACGCGTTGAAACAAAGAAACTCTTTAGCTTTATATATTAGTATAAATATTCCTCTGTACCTAATACCTACATCAGTGGAAGTGGACACTCGGGCTCAGAACGAAAAGCATTGAAAATGTACTAGCGGTCACTATCAAACAAAGAGAACGTTAAAGTAATTCTCCACGCGCAATTGTATCAAAGCTTATTTTAATATTACGAAAAGATAAAACTTAAATTGACATCATGCAATCATCAATCATCATTAGCCTTAACATAGGACACTTCTGTGTCGTGTTTTGTGGACAAAATATGTCATACAACAATTCCAATAAAATACAAACATGTTCTTATTCTGTTATAAAATATACTGTAGGTATTATTATGTGGTACCTGCAAGAAGGAATCGTGAATAATTAAGTCATTGCTGCTTGAACCTAAAGCAATAATATTATTATACAGATCGTGTAAAGGTTAACTGCGTTGTACGTATAGGTTATATTTATGCTATAAAGCAATAGATTTTTTTTTCTGTGCATTTTATTCTATTAAAACCAAACGTGGGTGACAGGCATAGTAATATTTTAAAATAATTTTGTTGGTTTGTTTTTATTAATAGAGAAGCTAGAATATGCATTAAAGTTTTCTTTTATTGATAAGATATTAATTAAAGTTTACTTGCACCATATAAAGATTTTGTATCGTTTAAGTTACCTTTAAGCAGGATATATTGTCTTTATTTTATTTAACAACTACATCGGAACAGATGGCGCTAGCGTAACAGTTTTACTTTGACATCAGAGACGCCCTACGTCTTTAGTCTCCGTGCGACCATGGCTGCTCCAAAGCATCCGAAACGTCGTAGTTCAAATAAGTTTTACTAATATATATCGCTTTTTAAACCGTTAAATTATTTTATTTAAATTGTTGACTGGAAATTAGATAGTTAACGATGATTATACAAATAATGTATCTGAACGTATTTAATCGTTTGCAATACATTTCCGATTCTTTATCAACAAAATACTTTGTGTTTCATTCTAATTTTTTTTATAACAAACGCTAGCGTTACAGTCACGTACAATTGCGCAAGATAGTTATCCAAATACAAGTAATGACAATTAATATTAGAACAGGTGGCAACCACGGTCATGTGTTACGTATTATAAATTTCATAAAGCGTTGTAATATTTAACCAATAAAATAAATACTGTTTCCTTATAACTTATTTCACTTTGCGTGTTACTCTTCGATATTAAACGGGTGTACCAGCTTGTTGTATTGTAATTATAACATTGTTAAGAGTGAATCCGCGACCTACTTTTAATGCAAACTGTTATATTCGCTTTGTCCTTATAAATCGTCGATTGAAAATAATAAGTATACCCGTTTTAAATTAAGTACTCAATACTTGAAGCATATAAAAATACCTTAGTAAACACATAAAACGTTATAGCTTACTATACCATCGAATACTTGACCCGGTATTAGTAATAGCTAAGTAGGTAATTGCACATAAATTAAAAATAATGCATATTAAAATAAACGATACAGGCAGGATTCGAATCTACGACTGATCTAAACTTATAGCATACAGAGAAGAATAAAGAAGGACAGATAAGCATGGGGATTACTTGATGGATGGTGAAATACCCCAGCCACATAACATGTCTACAAGTTGTGCTATCGACCTATTTTTGTTTTGGATATTTGGAAATCCACAAACCGAAACGCGATTAAACTTTTTTTTCATCTGTCGACGGTGGTTCGTCACCGGAAGGGAATTACGATATTCCTTTTAATATCTAGATTTCCAGATGAAGTCCAACATGCTTCAGAAAACATTATAACTTGACAAAAAACATGCTGGACCCGATGGGAATAAACCCACGGCCCATGGATTATATGCTATACGTTGATACCATTACGCCATCGAGCTCATTATCCATCGACCTATCAATTGATCTAACACAAGAAGAAAATCCTAGTCCGTCAAATAACTACCTCTTTGTAGTTTTTGCGCAAACGTAATATCGGATTGATCTCTTCGAAGATTCTCACAGAACGATTGTTAGCATAATATCGAAAACAGTTGACTGTTAGATTGCACAGTACCGTTAATTGGACAGTGACTTACTAATCGCATAGCGCTCACGCTTTCCCTTTTGAAAGTATTGAAATTAAATTTTACATAATATTCGATCTTAAAAGCTTGAAGTAATAATAGGCTGCACCATCTATACTTTGACTAATATAGGAAGATAAGTAACAACATGAAATTTTAAAAATAATAATTTTCTTTTTGGCAAGAATGTCTGACATATTATGCGTAATGGGTACACGAAATCGTGGTCGTTATATTTTTAATAAATTGTCCTGTGTGTTAGGCTTTCACGGCCATCGTTCAGCTTATGCTTGTTTTTCGGGCTGTTCGGCCGACGTGAGCGAAAAGATACCTATCTTATATAAAAACATAATAAAAAAATAATTCTTCGAGCAATCGAGGAGCTAACATCTCATGATGCAGTCCGCTCGTGATGGTGAAACGTCGAGAACCTATTCTCGCTTACTACGGCCTAACCGCCGGAAAACAATGATAAGCGTTACATTTTTATTAAATATTGCAACGAAATGTGGTAATTATGATATATTTAATATTTCACACAAAAACTGTTCTGTAAATTATTCACTGTAGAATATCACCCTATAATATACATAGTATAGTATCGTAACAGGACGCCTTTAGACATGATACATTTCCGCTTTTACTTTGAAATCATTAACTTCATTTCCTACTTCCGCGAAAGTCTTGTCTACGTCAGTCTGTTATTTTCGTATCGGTTAACTACTTCTTATATTAATACTTATGTTCAGGAACATATATTTATAACTTACTAGCCACTCCATAACACATAGATGTATTAAAACAAGATGTCTATGCCTACAAAATTTCATTCGAATCCATAAAGCCGTTTTGGAACAAACAACAATTTAAGATTGTTATTTAATTCTAAATAATTATTTAAATAATTATATTTAATTTTAAAAATCGATTAAAAATTTTAAAAAAATACGTCAGGTGCAGGACTTGAACCGACATCCACACTGTTCCGTGCTGTTTCTCTAACCAATGGAGCTAACGTCTCAATTTTTTTATTTATAACGGTTTTTTAATTGACATAATGCCAAAATATTAAAGATTTAAAGTGTTATTAAATAAATATAATATTCGTTACAGGATGTGGATCCGAGTGCGTGCGATGTGCTGCTGATGGATGCATCAAATGCGCCAGACTTCTTATCTGGCCAGCAGGCACCTGTGCCAGCGAATGTCCGCCAGGAACACGAGAATCCTGGGCGTATGACGACCAGCTCATGGGCAGAGTCTGCTACCCAGGCCATGCATATAATGAAGTTAGAACCTAGTTTTCTAAATCAAACTAATTTTATTGGATGCAGCCAAAACGTTCTCGTACTTTATTCAATTGTATTCAAATCTGATCCATACCTTAATAAGTGAAAACCATTTTCATTAAGTTCATAAAAAAAGGGACTCTATCATGCAAGTTCTTGCAAGTTATTCTTAAAGATAAATATATACCGTTACAGACATTTTTTAGATTTCCCCCTATTTCATGGCGCCTATTGATTTAACCCTAATTTATACCAGTAGTTCCCGAGATTAGCGCGTACGAACCAACTAACAAACTTTGCAGCTTTCTAGTATTCGTATAGATCACAGTAAATACATTGTCGTGCTAGGTAATCTATAATAGGAAAAATATTAATATTTACAAACTTATAAGCATGTAGCATGTGCAGCATGCACATGCTACATGTTTATGTTAAGTCAATAAAAATCTAGTTTTATAAATACAAACCGTGTTTGGAGAAACACCTATGAAACGAGATATTTATGGGTGTAGGAAGTGGGTCATAACGCCTATGAGCAACTCATCTCGCAAGACACAAACGTCGCTTTGATGCGCTTTTAATGAAACAGCATCGGTACAAGCTTGCATTAAAAGATTAAATTCGTAATGAAATTGTGTCTATAAATATTAAATAATATACATTTTGACAACTCCAATATACTGTATACAAGCTATGTATTTAATGTATTTTTCTATACATTATTGGGACAGATATGTAGTCTCAAGTCTGTGTCAATTACATAAAAATTTTTCTTTTATATTTTATGGCTTGGTAACGGGACTTTTAAGCCAATATTGCATGAAACATTTTTATTCATAGACAACGACAATCTATCAAACTTTTTTCCCTCTTTACCGTTCTATTCCTTATTACGTGCCCTATTGATTTTGATTCTCTCTCGTCCTTTACACAATGTTTAATATACATTATATTATTTAAGTAATTTTATTATTAACTTTTAAAGATATTTAGTGATTTCCCATTTCCCCAGGGGCATGGGGCAAAGACATTTCTGTGTCTATTTCACCGTTCGTTTTGCCCTGCCCGACCCAAACGATTGTTTTCCTGAGATTCAAACCCAGGACTTCTCTCGCTTAACGCAATGCAACACGTTTAACCATTTAGTTACATAGGTGGTGACGATGTTTAAGTATATATAAAGTTAGATTAACCGGAAAAAGGAGAAAAATGTCCTAACCCATATCCTCAATTAGTTCGGATAATTGCTCTGCTATCTTATCTAAGAATGAAAAGTAAGGTATATACTTCGCAACAATTTATCGCTGTGTTTAGTACCCTGAATTAAGTTTTTGTGCCAAAGACTTCGAACGCTTAGCTTAGACGCTTAGAAACCGAATTAAGAATTATTAATGTAAGTACACATACTATAATTGTAACTACATTTATAGTGTTTCTGAGCCCATCCATATCTATCACTTACAGATTCTCATTGGAGGAGCATGTGGCGTAGCGGTGTGCATAATTCTAGTCGCCGCGGGTGCTGCGTACGCTCGTTGTAGAAAACCACGTGCGCGCGCGCACCCATTACCCCAACCCAATCACGATGACGACGCGCAACTCAGAGAGTTTCACAAGCAGCTCGACTGTTTACGAGTATGTGTGCACAGATACATAAATGTAATATACTGTTTGTGAAAGCTAGTTAGATTTAATCGAGAACGAATTTAGAGCTTTGCCATCTTGATCGGAGAATTTGATCTGAAAGTACTTTTATTTGCATTAATGCGGTTGATTTAGTCAAATGTTATGTAATGTATATGCTATCAGTAGCTAAAATAAAACTTTAAAGGTATAATGTCAAACAAACCAAGAAATTGATAAATATAAAATAGTTTGAGTGTTCGCAGAAAATTGTTGAGCATTTCCTATGATTGATAAACATATAACTTTTATCTGTGGATGGTGACCCGTAGCTTGGACGGAATTTCGACATTCTTTTCACCCATTTTATATCTAGATTTCCAGAGGAGCTCCAACATGTTTCAGAAAAATTATATTTTTTTTAGAAACATCTTGGATCGGTTGAAGATCCAACCCACGACCCGTTTTTAAAAAATAAACCTACTTTAAAATAATTATTATAACAAAACTTATACTTTTACAATGAAATTTGTAGTATTACAATTTTCATGGATTAATGTACACATGAGAGCGTACTGTGCTATTGCTTTATTAAGTGGGATCCGATTCCAACCCGGGTCAAGTCCCGGCAGATAAAAAAAATCTAAAATAGAATCCATATATCCAAGATATTGGTTCTCCTGAAATCTAGTTTGTTTTAACATGGCGTGTCTAGAAGGTAAAACGTAGCGTGCAAAATGCAGAGGTAAGCTCAAAGAGAAACAAAGTAAACATACCAACACGCGACGTTGTTTAACGGCAACACTACCCAATTACAAACGCTTTCGTTAACTCGTGACGCCCTGTTAAAACTTGAATGGAGCTTAACGTCGCGTAAAACAAGCCGTAGACATTGAGACGCTTATAGTCATATCATATCACTTTCAATTCAAATGAAATCACTCTCTCCACGAACCGGTTTTTCATTTGCAAATGTCTCTAGCGTAGGTGATTGGATAACCTAGGTTAAGTCTACGCTCTAAGTGAGTGGTAAATAAAACATTATTCAAATTAAATTTCACAGCATTTCGTGCTCTAACTAAATGAGCTACCGTGTTAGAACAGCACGAATCGCTGTAGGTACCGGTTCGAGGCGTGCCCGTGTCGTAAAAATTGTTCGCTCTAAATTGATTTTTCATTTATACAGTGCCATCGTATGTAAAAAAATTTTCAAATGAAACATTTTCAACCGTTTTAGTGCGAAGTATATTTCTTATGTACTTTAAATTACTACTGCAAAACTCTTCGTATTCAAAAATTAGTTGCCAGTATAATTAAAAAAAAAAATATTATTCAACATGGAAACTTTGTTTTTTTTAGCCTCACGCGTATACTCTACTAGCTATATTGAACCACACAAGGCACCAAGTCAGAGAGCTTTATCAACTCGGAAACAACGACGCAGCTATGGCATATAGGTATATATGAATTGAAATTCTCATCAAATATTTCTATACTTCAATAATTACAATAGCTTTTATGATGATATTTTCTCTTTTTAGTTGTGTCTTGACTGACCTAGCAAAGCTTCTTATCCTGCTGAACAAACAGCAGGTTCCCGTTGTGCCTGAAGAATGGCCGCACCTGGCAAGTTGGGCTGATCGGTAATTTCTTTTTTATTATATCGAAACACCCCAGCCATATAACACCTTTCCGAAAAGCGCTGTTGACCTAATTTTGGCTTAGGATATTCGGAAAAGCTGTCAAGTTAGCTTTTTCATCTGTGTTCAGTGTCAGATTTCCAGACCAAGCCCAACATGTTTCAGAATTTTTTTTAATTCATTATAAATATGTTGGGCCCGATGGCGATCAAACCCACGACCCGTTTGCTACCCTTACACCTTTTTGGTGTAAAAATTACAGTCAAAATTTTAGTTTTAATATATAGGCAAGCAAGCAAGTTCCTTTAAACGATGATCCATAATGTTTTTAAAATAGGTACAAAACTCCTCAATAACAAGACGACATACTTAATTCCAGAAATAAACCCTATTAAAAGTTAGTGCTTTATATCTCAAATATTCCCTGTTTAAAGAGTCGGAAGAAATAAGAGATAAGACTTTGGTCATGTGTTTTAGGAGAATTCAGATGATGGCACTTATTTTCATAAAATAAATAAGTGATTCTATATCCTATATTAGTCCTCTCGTACGTCAATAGTATTCTTATTATAATTTGTAATAAGTTCATAGTAATTTTCTGTATATATAATTATTTAAAGATAATAAGGCTAAGGCTTGATTATTGGACCCCTTAAATAAAAATGTGTAAAACAAAAGAAACAATATCAACTGTAATGAGGTATTAAAAAAAAATACAATATGCACTGTTAACTTTTTTATTGGAGTAAAATTCAAAATGAAAGTTATATGGAACCGGGAGCGCGTACGGCCGGCTTAAAGGCTTGAGATTCTATAAGTATACATTAAACTATTTTCTTCGCTGCAGGCGAAAGACGTGGTTGTCATGGTAACCGTTAGGTGTAATTTTCTATAAATGTATATTATTACTATTTAATATTACAATTGTTAAGACTATACCTTTAGTATATTTTACTATATTCATTTCACAGAATACTTAAACGGTACAGCCGCCTCGGAATCGGTCAGCCCAGTCAGCAACAAGCCCAACTCGTGAACTTTCTTCCTTCCCCACCGAGCCAACGATCAGACGATACAACGCAATCTTTCTCTACTTTCAAACCGCCCTCGTATTCCCCGACCTCATACAGTAGCCATATTCTCGACAAGGATATACAGTGCGAATGGGGCGACACAGGTAGACCACCAAGTTACTCCCAGATTGAAACTGAGTCTATCGTTCTATCTGATCCCTGGGAGAGGCGACCAATTGTAAGGAGGGAAAGCGTATGGCTTGAAGACGAACTCTTTGAAATGACGAGGCGGCCTCAAGACGAACTTACCACAGAATTATAGCTGAAGATTAGAATTAGGAACTGAATAGTGAAGAATTTGTTTAATTATATATAAACAGATTGTTCCGAACTTTGAATTAGATAAATAAAAAAATAGATAGAGTTAAAAGAATCTAAAAAATATGTCAAGCAATAAAAACGTAAAGAGTAAATTATTTATAGCTAATAATAGTAAGTTAAGAATATTAGAATTAAAATGTAAAGTTTATTCTAAATGTATAGGAAGTACAAAAGCCTACTAATTATTATTTTTACCATTTAAAGTATTGTAGATAACATAATTTACCAAAATAGGTATCACTTCCTTACGACATTTTTATTTAGTTTAAGTAGTAGAATTTAGAACACAGTGTACCTGTTATTTGATGTTCAGTTAAGATAAGATAAAAAAAAACACTTCAAAAACGAATAATAAATACAAAATGTTATATGTTCGTATTAGTATTTTATTTGCTTTAGCAGAAGAAATCAAAACACGACCCTGATGTGCCGTAAGATCGTAGACCTGCAGAGAATACCTAGTTAAAATTCCGTTTTTATATTATTCTCAACAAACACATAGAAAAGGTCTGAAAATAAATGTTAATACCGAAAAAACAAGTATTTAGCTTGCTTTAAAACTGTATCCGTTTGACGAGTGACGACTTTACCTTAATTCGTTTGACACTTGTCATGGTTGAAATTATATTACGCGAGAGGTGCATGTATTAATAAGTTGAAAAAAGTTGACGATGAGGTGTAGAACTCTGTAGCTCAATTGGTAGAGCAACGGCACGGAACACTCACGATGCCGGTTCAGGTCCTGCTACAATAAAGAAAAAGGGAAAGCTCCCTTGATTGAGCAACAATTTTTTTTTAAATTATTCACATATTTTCTTAAAATAAAAGTATGTACATACAATGTATAATAATAATAACATAATATGTAAATATCACATAGTCTCTGGGTAGGTCGCTATGGTATCATTATTTTATTATCTTTTAACGTTAACAGCTGTTTCGAGATATGTCAACGTCAAGTCAAAAGTGCAGTCTCCAAATTATGACATATGACATTTAATCAAGTCGACTCAAAATAGAGTGGAAATAGTGCAGAAGACGGGAGTTTTTAGTACTCAGTGGAATAATAGTGATTTGGAAAACAATAGCATTATTGTTTTGTTTGGTTTAACCTATTCAAAATATTATATAAAGATTATCTCACACAGCATTTAGGACGTGCCATTTAAGTATATTGGTTAAAATTGTTAATTTAATTCCTGTTAAAAGAGTAACTCAAAATGTAAATCAATAAAACTGTATTTAGTTCACCTACAAGTCGTAACTGTAAATTATTTGTATTATGTATAATATTACGTATTTTATATTTTCCTTCAATCTCATTACTACGAATTCAATTATTATTTCATACTGAATTTCGACAGTGAATTGGAGATATTTTGAAAACACTGCTGTTGTTGATTTGCAATATCAACATTAAATATTTATCTTCACCATTTGAATGTTCTGGACTTTGGGTGTTTACTGAACAGTTTAAAATTTATTCATGATTACTCTGAAAAATATGTTCATAGAATAAAAAAAACATTATTGAGTAAATGTGGATATACTTATGGAAAAAGTGTGACCTATTTATAGAGAATTAAAATATTATCATGAAACAACTGGCTGCTTGGTAAGTGTAACTGTTAATGTCAATATTTTTGTTCTGAATTTTTGATACATATAAAATTCTTCATTATTTTGTACATAATTGTACAAAGGGCTTATGAAACCTATATATAAATATTGTTTTTATTTACTGTATACTCTGCTTAAGTTGGCATCCTATGTAAAGTATCAACACTACTATCAATAGTTATGTTCTCTAGATAGATCCAATTTCATTAGGACTTGTTTATATCAACTAGTTTATATTACATATTGGTAAAAAAAATTTAAAGAACATATTATGGCATATGCTTCACTTTAGTGCAAACTCAGTTTTATCCTTAAGATTTCTCATTTCTACTAAAGATAAGCTTCTTTATTGATATCTTCAATTATAGCTAATATTATAATTCCTGATATCTTAATTATTGTAATATCAAAGCAATCAAAACATTGTTGTAGGTATCAGAAAAAGATAAGCTCATATGATAAAGAAGAATGGGAGACCATGGTGGAACAGTTGTTAATGAGAGGCACTTATCGTCGTCGCATTATAGATTCACCGTCGCACGCGCGTTCATATCTGATAGATGTAGATCTAGTAAGAGGTAAGCTATAGAACTTCCTCCACTACTCATGAAGTGGTGGTTTTTGTAAACATATGCCTTAGGAATTGGTTAATGTTGATAGGAGCAGAGTTTGAATCCCAGTAACAGATATAATATAACTTAAAATAATGGATTACCCAATACAAATTATATGGATATATAATTTGTGTTGGTCAGTACAAATTCAGCCCCAAAAAAAGCCCAACATAACTATATGGATATATTATTCGTGCTGGGTGGTACAGTATTTAATAAAATAAAACTTATCCTTTGTAATAAACACAGCCTTTGTGGTGTTTAAGAAATAGATATATTGTATATGCAAACTATGATATTAGTAGAATGATTTAACACTATAGACGTAGTTAAGTGTTTATTATTTTCATCGTGACGTAATAAAACATTTATTCATCATACAGAAATCTGCTGGTCACAAAATTTTATTGTATCTCTCCTAATGTTATTAAAATGAAGAATTTGGTGGTTTGAAAGCCCTAATCTCAGAAACAGAATTTTTTCGAATCGAAAAATTACCTTTATATACGTTGAACGATTTATCGAGGAAGGCCGAAAGCTACAAAACTTCAGGCTGTGACTTATAGAACCGAAGAAGCTGTGAGAGATGTGGAAACAACGGAAAAAAATATATCTTTGAGTCTCCGTTGTGTGCGTTGCGAAAATGGTTCAAAGTACCCAAAAAATATGTAAAGGAATTTTTCTTTAAATAATGTAAAAAATATCGACAGTATATGACTATATTTTAAGATTAACTGACTAAATCCGTTTTTATAGTAATCCACATTAATTCAAAATACTTATTATAGCGATAGAACGCTTGCCAGCTCAGCAAGTGACATATAAAACTTCATATCTATATAAAATGATGATTTTATGGCTGTTATAAAAATAAAGTTGTGGCCACTATGTGGCTTTTTTCATCTGCACTTTCCTTATTCTAACAACTTATGACTATTTCTTACAGGTTCATCATTTCCTAAAGCCAAGCCCACATTGGGCATGCGCCGAGTAGTATGGTTTGCTGTTGTCCGCCTAATATTCTTGCCAGCACTATACCAATGGTGGGCCCAACAAACCTCACCATTATGTGCAAAATTTCTGCTTTCTCTGTGGTTTTTTCAAGTTATCAACACAACGCTTTACTTTTTTGCACCATCTACCTTGGATTTGGATGTAAGTATTTTAGACCATTTTTTTAAAAAGATGTTTAGTTTAACAGGAAAATTTGCCTTTCTTAACATTTATTACAATTAAAATTATCTAAAATCATGTGTGGGCGATATGAGAAGAACAGACTACAATCATGCTTTGTCTATCTGTTTCCGTTAATATTGGTAAATATTGCACTGATTTTATCGAGGTGTTAATTTATAGATTTAGCTCATCTTGGCGTAACAAAAAACTTGCTTATTGAGTACATTGCCCACTAAAATTACTTAATGATTTCTATTCTATACACACGGCTCACATTACACAAAATCTTACACACACGTTATCTTTATATTTGTACAACTACGCATTTCAAAAGTTGTGAAGTGTTTTGAATAAAATAATACTTGAAGGAACATCACTTACGAATTTCAGGTAAACTGTTGGATTGTACCAATGGTTTTAATGGTGGCTCTCAGCATGGTACATTCACACATCGTTTGCACAACAGAAATGGAACTAGCTAGAGTGCGTCCAAGATCAACGTATAGAAGGAAGCTTCCACGGTATTTTAGGTATCTATTTTAAATTCTAATATACATATACAGGAAAAAATACTTATAATAAAAATTCGGTTCAGGCAGGTCCAATAGTACACGCCAATATAGTAAAACAGAGACATAAAACAAGAGCCAGTAACAGCGCGTCTAAATCGTGGAATACCTTTATTTTTAGCATACTTTGGTCTGTATTATTCCTTATTTCGTGTAAATTCTAGAAGATCTTACTCAGACTGTGATGGAGGCAGTGGTATTGCATCAGCAGAAAGTGGTGCAACTTCAAGCCAAAGTAAAACACGTTTGACCAAACCGACGAAGTTCAGACGCCGCCTGTCTCGACCAGATATTACCGATGCTGGCTTGAGGTAACATTAAACAGACTAAACCACTTTCCCATGATTTATTTGTGTTTTATTCTAAGTTTGCTTTTGTGAGACTGAGAGAAAATCAACATTTTTGTTTTGAATATCATAAAAATATGAGGATCGTAATATTACATTTTTCATTGTTTTTTCTTTTTAATATTTGATGATGTATTTTTTTTAGAAAGAGAAGAAAAGACGCGAACGAAAATCCTAATGATCTCACACTGCCAACAATTAAAGATAAACTACCAAAGAAAGCTAAAGATTCTGATGATGAAGATTACATGCCCTGGAAAGTGCCCGATGGGACACCCACGGTTACGTTTAATCCGCCGCCTAACATTGCAGCGGCCGGTTCTTCCTACAAACCAAATATACTAACAAAAAAATACTTAGAAATATTCAACGTTCGTCAAAATCAACAACAGGAAGTTCCGAGACCGATTTTCGCAGACGGTGACGATGGCTTCGAAAGCTTAAACGGATATAACTCCAGTGAAGGCGACAAACCTGATCAAAACAAAGATGTTTCGAAGAATGAAAGTGATAAATCACCGGATTTGGCACAGGAAGATCATTTACCAACTAAAAAACAAAATGATGTCGTAGATAGTAATAGCGATGATGATAAAAAGAATGTTCTAGAAGAAAAATCGAATGATCCAGATTCTGATAATGCTGTGACTACGAGCAGTCCCAATACTGGAAAAAGAGTCAGTGTCCGATTTAGAAGCTCCTGGTCAAAAGATAAAATAGCGAACTTATCAAGTGATGAAAACTTCGCATCGAGAGTGAAAGACAAGCATAAGGTAAATAATAATGATTGCGTGGAAAATATTGTTTTTACTTTTCTACCTTATTTTTCTGAACTACTGAAGTAGAAGTTATTTCTCAAAAACAGGTTCAAAGACAACTCAAAATGAAAGTAATCATTTATGATATTACGTATATTGTTAGCATTTAATTTTACCGTTTTGTGAAATCATGGTAAAGGATGTACTATAAAAAAACATATTTTTACATAATATGAAACTTGTTTAGAAAGTAGAGAATTACCAGACGTCCTCCTCCGATGGCGAGTGTTCGGCATCTGCGCCATCTATCGCACTGCCTTCGCACCACACCATGTCAGACTGGGTCGGACAAATTACCAACAGTAAGCCCTATTTTATTACTATATCCTTAAAAAAAAGTATGTCTATTTCTTTCTGATTCCTATTTTATATATAAGTGGAACAAGGATACTAGATATTTTTTCAATGCTTATTTACGTTAAAGGTGAAGAGAGCAGTTATGGGTCGCAATCCGAGGCCGGACATTCAGACGTGGGATTTCATTACACTGCTGATAGTTCCTGGGATCCATTCGCAATATTAGATCCATCAAGTGATACTGGTAAGTTGTTTCTGAACTAGTCTTATAGTAATGTATGGCTAATAATCAACGGGTCGTGGGTCCGGTCACCACTTCTTCAAACAAGTTGTGTCTGGGATGCCTGGAAATCAAGTAGTAAAAGCCCGGGCCGGAATTTGGCCCAAAAACCGTAAAAAAAGTTTTTTCGCATTTCGGTATCAGTCTGTGGATTTCCGAATATACAAAGCAAATACGAGGAAGTACGAGATCGACAGCACATCTTGTGAGATGTTATATGGCCGTCTGATCCCCTATCATAAAAAAATCTAAATTTAGTTAAAGTATAGTTAATTAAGTTTATGTGCATTTTCTTTGTAGGAATGTAAATTTATAAGGGAGGGTGAATGAATGAATAAAAACTCATTCATTCCAAAAATCTATGCCATAAAACGAAATCAGTGTACTAGTGTAGTATTAATACCTTGTTTCGTTGTAGTATTTGTCTTATATATGCTCTCTGTTATCCCCAGTAAAATGTACAATGTGGGAGCGCGGAGCAACACTCCGTGCAGAACTATCTGCTGTCGACATTAGCTGGTACGTCGTAGCCAGAGCTGAACGCGCAATGGCCTCTGATGGATGCTTGTGGTCGGGACTTATCTTGGCAGCTGTGGTGGCTTTTAATGCTCCCATCTTGAGACTGATTCAGGTATATCAAGCAAAGTATATTCATTGTAAATGTAAATTTATTATCAAGCAATTATTTCCATGTCTCAGAAAAAAAAATACAAATATTATAAAGCTGAAGAGTTTGTTTTGTCGGAGCATTTATGTAGGGAAGCTTTAGGCTATATAACATCAGCCTGCGACTATTAGAAGCGAAGAAACCCAGGGAGATGTGGGAAAAATGGGAGTACTAGGAAATCTTTGAGGGTCCTTTGCGTGCGTTGCGAATACAGTTCAAGAAATGAAATATGTATAAAATAATGATTCTTCTTTAAATGATCTCAAAAAATGTACACTATGATATATGTTTATGTTTCAAGGTTAATTCACAAGAACTCCTTTACGAAATCTTGCAAGGTCTGCCAGGTCAACAAGTTGTGTATATTTCTGGATCTAAAAGCGAAAACTTCTTTTGAAAAGTGGCTTTCTGATATTCATTGTTGATTGTCGTATGTCGTGTTTTATATATACTCTTTCTGTATCTGAATAAATACATTAAATAAGCAGGTGTTTTAGACAATCTCGTATATCTAATTAAAAAACGAGTTCTGTAACAGGAAGCCTTTGTTTGTTGCAGCGTTACTGGTGTCTGGTTAAAAAACAAATAGAACTTGGTATATGTTCTTTTTAAGTATTACTTTCAACATTAAGCGTTTCATTATAGGTGGCGATCGAACACGATTCTAGGTCCGAGGAGGAATTGCAGACCGTGTCCCTCATAAGTTACATTCCCTCCGTTATTGGCAATTACACACAAGGATCGCCACTCCACACCTTTAACGCTGCCTTTGGTGAGAACTTTTGGTAAGAAAATTATCCGAAGTGAAAATCTAGCTTTATTTTTGAAAATAGAGTTGAAAATTTATTATTTTCAGGGAAGGAATGACGAACATATTATCCTGTTTCCTGCGGTTTACTCTGAGCGGTTTAGTTTTTTTCCTTCTGGCGGTAGCCGAACGGACATACAAACAGCGATTTCTATACGCGAAGTTGTTCTCTCATCTAACATCCGCGAGGCGCGCGAGGAAATCGGAATTGCCACATTTTCGATTGAACACCGTAAGAAATATTAAGACTTGGCTATCTACACGTTCTTATCTACGTGTAAGTAAACATTTTCAATTATGTATTTTTTTAATAGAAAAGTACAAGGGCATAAAATGGTCCTTCAAGCCGAATTCAGATTTTAACATCCATTAATTTAATTTAAGAATCGGAAAAAAATTGAAAAAATTTTCGACTCGGGCAGGACTTGAACCGGCATGGTCCACAGCGTTCTGGCTCTCCAATAGAGCGCCGAGCCAATAAAAAGATTTTTTTTTCAATTTATTTTTTTTTTAATAATCCTTCATGTAAAAATTAAAGTTCATCCTTAATTTATTTCAGGGCGGGTCACAGCGATCTGTAGACGCTTGTATCGGCTGCATTCATGATAACACTTACTCTACTGGCTTGCGTCAGCGCTCAATTGTTAAGGGTAATTCATAATTGCGTACTAAATTCAATTCTCGCCTTTTCCATCTTTGTTATTGTTAGATAAATCTTACTTGACTTATTCTTAGGACTCCATAACATTGGAACGAGGTTGGCTCCTCGAAGCGATGATATGGAGTGGGTGTCTCGGCGTATACCTATTGCGTCTTTTAACATTGGGTAGCAACGTAAACAGAAAGTATCGTGGCTGCCTCTCTGCGATACTTACGGAGCAAATAAATCTTCATCTCGCGATAGAACAGCGCCCCGAAAGCAAGGAACAACTGACTGTTGCCAATAATGTTCTTAAATTGGCCGCTGATTTGCTCAAAGTGAGTATAGTTAATCTAAGGTACCATCAATCATAAATCTATCCATTCAACACCAAATGTTAGAGTATTTGGATTTTTTAAATGCCTAAACTTTGTAAGTAGGGGGTTATATCATGTTGATAACATTAATAACTTGAAACTAATGTCCTTAATCGACTTTTTTGCAGGAGTTGGACTCGCCATTCAAAATATCTGGAATCTGTGCCAATCATTATCTATACACGATTACCAAAGTGGTTATTTTGTCAGCTCTATCGGGCGTCCTTTCCGAAATGCTTGGATTCAAATTGAAGCTACATAAAATAAAAATCAAATAAGGAGCGCCCATACAGCGTGTTATACCCATATAGAAACGGTCTCAGTGGCGTATCTCAGTTATAAACCGTTATACAAAACGATACAGTTACGTCTGACTTTTACGGCCATTTGAGTAGTTGTCGTTAATTAATACAATTTGTAGTATTAACATACTTTTGAATACTGTAGTAGTGCCACATTAGTTTATAAGTTTACTGATAAATAATTGTAATAGTCAAATTACATCCCAATAATGAATGTGGAATGTAGCATTTGGTAGTATAAATGCAAAACATGTCCAAAATGAACAATATGATGGCCGAGCATATAATTACTTTATATGAAAATGGTGTCACGGTGAAAAGCAATTTCAGATTGTATTAGAAGCTGTGCAATTACTATGGATGGACTGAATTATTTTTAATAATTAGTAGACATTTTCACAGCTTTACTCATCGCACAATCCGATATATTTAGTTCAAGCTACGGTAACTTTGTCCCAAAGATTTCACGTTTCTAGAAAAATAATTGTAGTTCCGATCTCAAAGTAGCGTTAAAAATTTAATCTCATTTTCTCATATATTTTCTAATGGTAGTGTTATTACGAGTGGGTGCTAATGTTCATAATTGAAGGAGTATTAGTATAGTACGATATATAAATTGCGGAATTCTATATCTTAGAAAACAACATATAGGTATTATCTACTTGTTGACAAACAACAGAATTATGTTGAAAAATGAATGTCATTTTATTATCCTTACGTTCCTAAAAGAATATGTTCTTCCTGTCTTGTATATTCATAATTCGACGATATATTTTATAATTCGCAAAAAGACATTTTGTTTTAGTGGTCATTAATTCCTGATGTAGTATTTAGGGAAATAACACGATTCTCAGATAGTTTTTACTACCCGTAGCAATAAATGGTGATTTTACTCTAGGTATTAAGAATATTTTTTTTTTAAATTGACACCATTTGAATCGTTACTTACGCAATGACGACGCTATTTCTTTACCAAATATCGAATCTCTTGAAATTTAATTGTAGGTATCAACTTTATGAATGGTGCTCTTGCATTCTTTATACATCTTAGCCATTATTTTATTAGGCCATAAGTGAAACTGTAAGATGCTAGCATTAAATGCAATTTTATTAGAAGATAAGAAAATGTTTTCTTTAGTCCTGTAAACAAAAACGAGATTCAAAAACAATGGTATACTTAAAATTTAAACGACTCCGAATATGGCAAAGACCTTAATAACGTCGAAGTAGTAATCTTAACTCTTGAGGTAAAAAGATACCAGAGTCAAAAGGTACCTACTAATTAGATGTCTTCTACAACTGCTTTTTGGCTCAACCTTAGGATTCAAAAACAGTCTGATTTTCGAATTGGCGAATAAAATGGGCGCAACGAGTGTCATTAATATTGCAACACTAAAATAAAAAAAGTTGTTTTCATTTATTCACTTTATTTTAAAACAAACACTATAAAATAATTTCTTAACAGTAACAAACTGAATATTTACTTACATTGTGGGTCTCCCAAATAATCTTATGAACCAACATAAAAAAATCTTTTTAGAAAATAAAAAACACAGTGGAATATGAAACTTATTGAACTTACTTGACATGAACAAAATTATTGAAACCCCCTATTTATTACTAAGGTAATTACAGAAATCCTTTATTCACCCATTTCAAAATTATCTGTTTTCCATAAAAAAAAACATTGTAATCAACGTGTAGATTATATTTTGAGTCGACATTTTTTAAATTTTTAACTACTTTAGAAAAGCATAATGTTTGACATATATATTATTTTAAATTAAAACGTTGTGATTCCATGCATTATATATCACTAGCTTACCCAACTAAAATTTTATATGACAGCTATAACTTAATAAATAGTGGTAATCAATATAATAAGCACAATATTATGGATCAATGTAGTCCATAACCAAAGTCGTATTTCCAATGCCTTTTTAATATCATTCAGTCATGTGTAAGTAGAATAGAAAGAAATAGATAAATAGAGAAGAAATAGAAAATTCAAAGACATTTTCAACATTGTTTGTGATGTTAGTTTCTACCATTTAAAGACATCTTTCACCTTTGTAACTAGCAACTTCGATCAACAATACAACCCCACAAAACATAGACTGTATGTTGTATGACTGTATTCACTTAAATATACATTCTAGTCTTCATCTGCTTGTATTGTGTATTTATAAGATAAATTTGAAATTCTAGCTTACAAAAGCTACCTACATTTATAAAACGAAATACAAATTAGGCTAGACTAACTAAAAAGATCTCATTTTACAATAAAGATATTTATTTCTTTTAGTTGTAACTGTATAATTGATAAAGGAATAGAAGTTATTGGCCAATTCTAAGTAGTGTATTAGTTTTTGACTCTGTCTGCCATTTAGTGCTTTTAATTATTAGGAGCCATCCATAAATTATGCCTTAAGGTCACGCCGTAAGAAAGGTTGGAGATTCCTTAAGTTCGTGACATCAGTCATAAAAAGTACGCGAACTTTGTACTAATAATGAAAAACAACTATACATATATACTTGGTAATGTATACACGGAAAATTGATAAATGTAATTGTACACACTTGGGGAGCTGGCATCACCCTAGCTCGGACTCCATGAAATTCATCTAACTTTACTCATGGATGGAGCCTTATGAAGAATAATTCTAATAATGGTTATTTCACGGTCGTCATGGCAAACATAAAGGAACGGTCCCAAACTATATTATATTCTTATTCGCGACGTCGTTCACGAGACGTTGAGCGATACGAGCGGCTACGACGCGCGTCCCTGTCCCGGTCGCGACCTCTTGATTTCTCGCGGGATCCCTCACGTTTGCTCCGGCTGCGGGACCGACTGCGTCTGTGAAACGTAAATAATATTAATATCGCACTTACAGAACCTTTACGAATAAAAATATAAAACAAATAAAGAGTTCTTACTTTTACTCTTTTTACTTCTACTCTGTCGTCTTCATCGCCAGTTTACCAGAAAGAAATTACCATAAGTAAAGTAAGACTCGGTAGTATTTGTTTTATATTGATTATTAATTAAAGTATTTGATTATTATGTGACTTTGCAGCATGATAACCTACTTCTTCTCGCGTTCTCTCTCTCTCTCGCGGTCGCGGCCACGCTCTTCTCGCCGTTCTCGTTCGCGTTCGTCTCTGCGCTCGCGATCACCATCCTTGCGGTCACGGTCGGTGTCCTTCCGCTCGCGATCGTTGTCCTTGCGATCACGCGGCACTTCCCGATGCCTCCTTGCACGTCTGTCCAGCTCCCGTCCACCGACGTAATGACGCCGGCCACTTGATCGTTCACGTTCCGCTCCCCGCTCTTCGCGACGTTTATCAACCATTTTCTGTAGATAGTAAAAATAAACAACGATTTAGTACACTGTTAGTCATGGCTTCGTGTCTCCGAACTCATAGTTAGTAGAATTAGGCTACTTTTAGCCCAAGGAAAAAATTAGTTGAATTTTTTTCGTGATATTTTAGTATTTTAACAAGAAAAATAGTTTCATTTAACACGAGCACAGCCCTACCATAAACGTGTCTCTCTTACCTTCAGTTCTGCTAGCTTCTCGCGAATGGTAATAAACCCAAGATGCAATTTACCGCCGAAATGATCGGCCAAACGCCTGTCGTTGTCGTGTATGCCGAGGTAAGCGGAGCACACTTCACAAACCCGCAGCTTTTGTTGTTGGTACGACGAAGCAGGCATCGAGTTGCGGTACTCTTGTTCCGCCACAGCCTTCCTTTTACGTAATTCATCGATCTGAAATAATAAAATGCCTTTTAACACTTCCTTTTAACTAATGTTTTTCACTTCAAAAAAACAATATTTGATTTCAATAAAGCTTCAAACTGTGTATTTTAAGTATGTATTATACAATTTGGAAATAATTTATGTTCTGTATGTAAAAAAACACACTTAATCGATTTGTTAGACTAGCTAAAATTTTTGATTATTAGTTATACACTAATAATCATAAAGGGATATAAGAAATACATGAGAACGCACTATGAACTTTCTATCAAGAAAACCTAATGCTTGAATGTCCTGTTAAAAAAAATTACCTCTCCCATCAGTTTAACACTCTCTTCCACCATTCCTTCCTCACCAAGGGCTTCAGCCCGGGCTAGCTTCTGACCGATCTGTTCAGCAAGTTCATGCACTGCATTGGCCTTCTCTGTCACTTCTGCTGATAATTCCTCCTGGGTTTCCGCTAAACGCTGCTTGGCAGCTGTTGTACGTCGATCGCAGTCTTGTATAAAAGCTTCTAAATGTTCTGTAGCCTGAATTTTTATGGGAATTACTTGTATTAGCACTTATTGACTGTAAGTCATTTGTTACCTAGTTCCCACATTTATAAAACAACTTAAAAATTAAAAAAAAAAATCACAATATCACAAATTGGAAATAATGTAAAATTTGGGATTAAAACCCACACCAAAAATTTCAAAAATGTTTTCCGGTGGCAGACATTGAGTGCAATTTTATAATTCTAGCTACTGTTTGTAGATATTTTTATTTTTGAAACTTAACACATAGTATACTCACATCAATATCATAGAAGTAATCTTTGGTTTTGGAGGCAAGCTCATAGTCTGCGCGCAGAGCCAGATCATGTATTTTAGGACACTCACCTAAATCCATGCGCTGCAATTTAAACCATTGTTGATAACAAAAGACATAACTTGTATTTACTATTGCAAGTTTATGTAAAGCACATTTTTTAACGGATAATACAAATAATTCTCCATGCTCAAGTTGTACCAATATTGTTTACCATTGTATTTGATTTTTATTTGTATTATTAATAATAAAAATAATATGGAGACTTTTAGATTAAAAAACAATATGTTTATCTCAAAACAATTGTTGTCCACCCTTATCGAAATAAATTAAAGTAAAACTTTTCATGGCTGTAAAAAATCTGCTTAGATATCATATACCCTGCCTAAGATATACCACTCATACCCATAATAACAATAACTAATAGAAAACCAGTAAAATATAGAATTAAGAAATCAAAACATCAAAATTCCCTATAAAAGATGTAGTGAAACGCAAATAAAATATTTAAAAAATACATACAATATCATGTCACCAACACAGCACGTCCTCATAATGGTACCACGAGAACTTAATTACATTTAAAATACTTACAAATATCAGCAAAACAACCTCGATAAAATCCGAACAATAAAAAATAAACCTTCAGAACTAACAGATGGAAGCAAAAATACTTGTTTTTAGTGGAGTACTGTATTTTGACATTAAATTCATGAAATATCTAGTCTGGGATATTGAACTTGTTTTTTTTTTCTTTTATTTTCGGAGGTAGAGTTTTTATTCTGACTACTCCACTCTCCTAATTATTGCTTTAAAATATTTTATTGTATTACATTTATTTTTGAAACATTTCCAATTCATGCATATTTTGAGTTATCCTAAGTTTTTGATCTCTAGCCATGGTAACAGCTTCGGTACATACCCAATGAAGACAGAATGAATCTGCAATTTGCTCCCCGGCTTTATTTTTTATGACTTTAATCATGTACTCACCACAGCAGCAATAGAAACCGAAGGACAAATTAAAATTTTAAATTTAAGCCTGAGTGTTCCATTAAATTAAATTCTGCATAGCAGTAAGTATACAATCAGCTAACTAGAAATGTTTTTATACGTACATCTTGGTACTTACAGAACAGCCTAACTCATACAATCTATCCCTCATCTGTTAAGTATTGTGATGAGCAATTAAGACTAGTGTTGGGCATTTTCTGAAAAGCATATTTTACCATAGTTAAAGCCACTCCAATGAAAAGATTTTGAGGGAGTACAGCACTGTGATGTAACAAAAAGTTACCAACTTAGGTTGTTGCAAACATTAAGATAATTAGATGACAACTATAAGATTCACCAACAATCCTAATGTATGCATTTAAATAGATACCTGATTTTCTATAATACTAGGTATAATAAGCATCCCTTATTAGTTAAATTAATATAAACACTGTTTATTTTTAATCCAGGTGGGACATTGTATACAGAACAAAAAAAATTGAAGTCTCAAGAACACCCTCTACACCCACTACGTTGACAAAATCGTCTTACCGTGGATGATAAGATTTCATGAGGACAGCATTGCAGTAAAAAGGATTTGCAAACAGTATCATCATAGAATTTGACGCCATGTTTATCCGTTTCACCTGAAATACATGTTATATATTATTTGTGTTCTAAATAGTAAAAATGAATTATACAAATTGATTTTAAGAATTAGGTACCATTACGTGCCGTTCCCATCAATTGATCCAACATCGCCCTCATTTGCTCGTGTGCCGACATTTTTGCTGATCAACTGCTTTCGCTTATGACGATCACTTTTTGCTAGTTTATTCACTAAGAATATTTGCAGGAACTTAAGTTTAAAGCATAGCGCAGTGGAACAGAAAGTCTATACGGTTTTCAAGCCAACTCAAGCAAAATGGCGATGCTACCGAGTGTCTGAGCAGAGTAATTTGGCGATGGTTTGACATTTCAACCACAGATGACAGAAGTAAATTACTTTTACTTGCCAACAGGCTAAGCAAATTATAAAGCATTTATCTCACAGATTCAACCATATAAACCACAACACGATTTGTTGTTTGTATGGTTGAATCTGTGACTGTGTGTAGACTGTAGTTGATGATTTTACACTTGACAGATCACAAGAGATTCAATCAGATTCAGATTAAAATATAATGTTTCCAAAGCAATTATAACGGGCCGGTCGCATTTAAACAGTATTTAAAAAATATATATATGCACCTACTTGTTGTATAGACAAAATATAAACCACATGTAAATATGATAACGGAAAGTGTTAAGGTTTTCTTTCCAGTAATTGAAAAGAACAACAGGAAAGACATATATTTTAGTGGCCAGTGCGTTGATCAAATAATATATATCACAGAATATTCATACAATAGCGAAGATATTGAAAATAAATTACTATTAAATAAAGATAATTCTGTCTTTGGATATTGTAGCAGCAAACCACTAAAACATACAAATAGTGTAGCAAAAAATATAATTTCTTTCTACAATTATGATAAACCTATAATAAATAAACTGATACTCAATGGCACTGTAATTGCAAATTTTAACATAATTGTTATATTTTATGACATAGATAAAGTAATGAATTCAGAAATGCCTAATATACCATGTAGTGAGTTAAAATATATTAGAAAATTATTAAACCAAAATAAGAGAAACACAGAACAACAATATAATACAGAATACAAGCCAGTTATAAAAACACCACTTTTACTTTCTTCTTCAATGTTTATGCAACATCTCTTTAATTATTTAAATTTATTAAACTGGTTAAAAGGCACTGTTAGAAAAAAGGAGAAAGTAAGTATTCACAATGTTAACACTTGTATACTTCTAAGTATTTTAATATGTTGGCATTTAAATGTTTTTTTTTTCAGATGTCCATTAAACAAGGCAATTATATGTTAGCCTTAATTATAGATATAATTCTGGGTTATTATGTATTAGAGATATTACTGGAAGATAGAAAACAAATTGGAGTTATATTACTAGGAATATTAGAGGTTTGTTACTCTTAGAAGTAATGTTTTGAGTTACCACTGAATTCTTACTTTATATTTTGTAAACATGTTCCTTAGTGTTGACAACTTAGAGAGGACAATATCGGAGAACTTTTTTTAGGACCAACAGTTCTAATAATAAACCGTCATGTCAACATTTTAGTTGTTTATTACTTTCTATTTGTATTTTCATGATTCAAATTTAAGAAAACCTGGGTAATAAAATTATTACATACCTTGCACATGTCATTTTCTCTGTTTTTTTCTTAACTGTAGGCTGTCTGGAAGAGATCGCTTCTTAGTGATAAGGCTGCCCATTGCACTACATTCTAGTATTTATATCATTATTATATTTTGTGCAATAAAGAATAAATATATAAATAAATGAGAATACTGTTTGTTTTGTGAATTTTAGAAGCTAGTTAATTCCATGTACACACTTTTAAAATGGTTAATGGGAGCTCCAGCAGGGTTGAAATTAAACAATGCTTTTAATAAAATGCTTGGTAATTATTTTTCATACCACGTGGAGCTGTGGTGGTTGTTTCTAGGTAAGAAATTTATCATTCGTTTTTGCGTTGCATTGCTGAGTGCTGGATCAAATCTATTTTCTCATTTCAGATGTATCTAGTGAAAGGCTAGATTTTATATTATACATTTACCAATATATTGGTTATTTTGGATTGACTTTTCAAGCTGCCATAATATCAGATATGCTGTGCATTACAACATTTCATTCTTATTGCATTTATGTCTATGCTGCCAGGTATATTATTATTATCTTTATTGATTTTCATTTTGTATGACTTGACTAGATTAGGCATTGTTTTTAGACTATTTAACATCCAGATGTCAGGTCTGACTGCATTACTAAGATTATTTGTTGGAAGAAAATACAACCCTCTACGAAACTGTATAGACTCGTGTGAATATACTAATCAAGAATTATTTGTGGGCACTGTAGCATTTACTATATTACTTTTGCTGTTGCCAACTACCCTCATGTATTATATTGTGTTTACCATGGTAAGTCAATACATAATGTTATTGTATTTTTATTATACTAAAACGTTATCTAAATTATATTTATCACTTTCAGTTTCGTGTGTTATCCTTATTAGTGCAGTATATTTTGGCAAGGCTAATACACTTTACGCATTCTTTACCCTTGTACGTTATTACCTTGTGGTTAACACACTCTCCAAAATTAGCAGGTAATTTATTTTTTACTTATCTCTTGAACTAACATTACGATATTAGCCAGTGTTTAGTTTATGTTCATACTATTATTAAATTTCCAGGCGATGTCTTTATAGAAGAGCAAGAAAGTAATGACCGATCACATTTAATTCTTAGAATTAAATTGTTTAACAAACCATTGAAAGAGCTAGTAAAGTGTTTTCTACCACCCATAGAAATACCAAAAAATGTAGAATGGACTAGTATAGTCTCCAATGTATTCACAGGAAAGCAGATTATATAGATCTCGTCGAAATTGCATTTAAATAAATAATACAATATTATTGCCTGAAATTATTTTTATTGTAGTTCGATATTAATTCCGCACAAAAATATAAATTGTGTTGTCACCACATGTGAATATAAATGCTAATCACTAAGCATTTACAATAAATGGGGTAGTTTACAAATGTAACTGAAATAGATTAACCACACTCAAACAATTTTCGACAAACAACAGAAATACTTAGTACTCTGTTGTTTTATTCTAAATATTAAGTTTTAAAATGTACTCACGCTTAAAACAAACTGATTTTAAATATTCGTTACTATCAGGCTAGACTCGATAAGAAACTCAGTCAATAAAGTTAATTAGTGACGTATCACTGAAGCAAACCTTCACAAATAATATACTTAAATGAAGTTACAGTTAGTTTTTTCAAACGTTAATTTTTATTTCTACAACTTATAGGTTACAAATATAGATGTTGTTTAAATTATTAATTAAATAATATTATTCTCTTAGAAGTGAGTTATTATGTTTTTATTAATAAAGTAATGAAAAACTTTCTTATATTCTATCACTACAAGAAATAATTACTTCAGATCACTTTCATGGCTACCATTGAATATCTCATTTAAATTTTCAACACTTTTGTACATTCTTAAACTAACAGACAATAGCACGGTCTAGTTTCTATAGGCAAGAAATCATACTAGTAGATAAGTTTTTATAATCATGCAATAAATTATTGTAAAGGAATGTAATAAAATCGATACAATGTTAATGCAGTACCTTAAAGCAATATCGAGATACACGCAAAGACTGCACTGCTGCATAAAGATGTTAGTCACAAAAACAAGACAAAAACTATTATTATCTAAACGTATTCTAGTATCGAAAAACACTGAGCAACGATTGATTAAATTTATTATTATTTGTTTATGACCCGATCCACCAATACGACGCTACGATATTGTTGACAAACACTTATATCTTTATTATATCCGAACAAAAATGTACTATAACATCTACTGACTCTAAATTATTATCCTTGAATGTAATAAAATCTTCAGTGCTAACAAGTTCATAGTGCTATATTATTTATATTTACATAAACTCCCCATACAAAATATAGTATATTTATACATAAATATTATAATCACGGATGATATTTAAGAATATCGAAAATTGTTTGCCTAATAGGGTATTTCATTCAAACTTACTCTGATGAAGTGGGTGAAGACCTCACAGGTGTACGAAGCAAAGCTTTATTGTGTTATCAACGGTGGGTAGGCCGAAAAAATGTTTTTAACTTATGTATTATTATCATCACAGATAATAGTAAACTAGGAAATGTGATTCCGATCACAGTATTTTAGATAGAATACACAAAGCGTTGTATTAATTTAATATAGTATGATACTATAAAAATTAAAAACTACTGATGTGTGTGTTCGTGATGTAGATGTGTAATATTCGACAAGTCTTAGTTCTTGAGTACACACCTGTAGTCCTTATTCATATCCGACGTTGAGTTTGGAGAATGCTCTTTAGGTCTAACAGTACCGCGACAGGACGCTAACTTTGATTCCAACGCCTACAATGAAGAAAATTACACAATATGAATGATGTTAATATTAGTAAATGATATGAAGTTAGGTGCATACAAAGCCTCCACCTCAGTGCTAGTCAGTCCATTTAATATACAAATATACGCGAAAAGGCCGAAGCAGCTAATACTTTTACATAAATACATATAAACAGTTTGTAGGAACAGGCGGTAAAATTGTGATGTAAGAAACAAAGTTAAATAAATTCAATTCCGAGTTTATGTACAATTCAATTCATAAATATATCTTCAAGAAATAATAATAGCGATTAAGTTAGATCGTCCTTTAAACCGAAGATCTCTATATGGATACGTTGACAGTCGCCTTTCTTGATCAATGTTATTATTTCTTGTTGAATCTTCTTGGCTTAAAGCTATAGTTATTAGGATTATGTTTTTGTGTAAATACAATTTCACAATGACTAACATTAACATCGCTATAGTGAATTCATTAGGTATAGATGCCTAATAAGTACGTTATGACACAATTCCATAAATAATAAGAGTAAGTACATAAAGTACATTTCTTTATAAAACAGCATTATTCTAGCTACGACTTATTCAAAGTTCATCTTTGACGTTGTGTAACGTAGCACCATTAATTTAAATATGATACAACCCTATATTTAATTATTTATTTATAGAATTATTACTAGAAAATATAAATATCAAAACTCTTCATGTCCGAAATTTTTCCCTTTGGCCTGATCCGAGCCCTTTCGTAAGTTAAGGAAATTCTCGAGTCCTTCTCTGGACCGTACTATGAAAGATCTTCTCAATTTCCCGTTCTCATTATGAAGTGATCTCTGAAACGGTTGTTCAGACGACCTTTTCTTAAGAGTGGGTGACATGGAATCCGGCTTTGAGTGTTGCCGCATTAAGTCTTTAGATTTCCTCAACTCAATATCGTCCAATAGAGCGCTTTCTGGTGCAATAATTTGAGACCCATTATTCTCTTTGACAAGGTCCCGAGGTGGAACACTTTGCGCGACTTCGATGATACACGAGCATTTGACCTTACCACAATCGCGGCAAAGAAACCTCTCAAGCTGCAAGCAATAAATACCATGCACTACAATGTACACACAACCATGCAAATAAAATAGCTGAGCTGTGAAGATTATATCATATATGTATATATATAATAGTACGAAGTTTTCCTCAAAAATACCCCCACTACTCACATCGAAAAATGCAATAACAGTTTAAAATGCATCGAAAATTTTAAAATATTTCTTAATCATTAGTTAATCCACGTTTGAATACATATTTCAGCGATCTTGTAAACAAATATGCCTATGTAATAATTACGAACACCACAAACATTTTATAAATATTAATTTATTACATAAATTGTAATACAAATACATAAAATAATTATAAAAATATATAACAAAAATAAAATACAAAGAATAAATAATAATACATAATATAAAGTAGTTTTTATTTCGGTATAAAGGCACCGTTGTATTGTGTTCATTGCAGAGTTTCTATGGTAACTAGTTTCAAACTTTGTTCGGTAAATATTTACTAGAATTTTTTGGTGAAATTTGTACATATACAGAAGGATAATGACAATTTTATAATAAAATACCGATTTTAAAATTAACCAACAAAACTCATTTTCATTCATCAAATAAAATGTCTGACAATTAACATGATTTTTAAACAGGATAAATTTAATAGGATTACAAAATAAACTATAACACCTAAACATGTAAATATTTTGCCTACTGTTACATTTACATAACCAAAGCAACTTAGCTCTCAGCATCCACAACAGAGAAACCTAATCATTGTTTAAATATGCTATATTAGAAATATAACATAAAAACAAAGTGACAAAATCTAAACACCATAAAGATCTAATGTCACAAAAGAATAGGGACATTTTAAATAGAGTTTTTTTTATCAAATATCTCAATAAAAAAATAGAACTAGGTAGTTTCACTGTTGTAAAGAAATTTGACTATAGAATCTATTTGACGAACATCAAATTGATTCTATAGTCATCTACAATTTGAATCTACACCCAATAAACTAAAGTATACATATATAATCAAAGTGCAAACAATAACTACAATAATATTATGTTTAAAATTACTTACCCCTACTTTCCGTAGAAGGTCCCCGACTATATTTATCGCTGATACCCGGGAAGATGGAGTCATTGCGTTGCCATTTACTTCTCCTGGATAGTAATAGAATAATTTCTACTTTATATGTCTTGCTACCATTATTTATATTAATTAGATGTGTTAAGCTGACATTAGGTAAGACTAGAAACGAAAGGGGAATCCCTATTTCAATCCATAGACAGGAAAAACAAATCCATAGTGGTTAAAATGTTTTTTTTTTATATTGTTTGTCTAAAATGTAGATACTTACGTCGTTGAGGTGACGGTAGCACAGTCTGAGTTTCGATTTCAACTTGACTTCGGGTATTGGAGTGACCATTGCACACACTCTCAACTGCAACAGCATCTTCTTTCTTTGGGACGTCGACTTTCTCAATTACTTTCAATTCTTGTTTGAGGTCTGCACAAAAGAAAAAAAAAAAAATTATACTTACTCATTGTAAGTTGGAAAATTTGACTGATGTAGAAGTGGAATTTATATCAGAAACCCCTACATTTGTTTTAAAACCAATTGATCAAGAAATAATAAAACCCCTAAAAACATATTATCAAATGATAATAGGTTATGGTTCAGTCAATGACCAACAATATTGATAAAACAGCTAGCCTATTTTCCGTTGATCTTTAAAATGCAATTGAAATGATAAGTACATCCCGGGCGAGGGTGACTCCAGATATAATGAAAAGCTGTTTTTTTAGATACCAGCTTTTGGTAGACATCAAACAAACAATGATATGAAGAGATAGATGAGCTTTTTTTACATTAACACAACTGACTACATCATCATTCGGAATTAATGTTGCAGATTGGGAAACATATGTTGATATTGACAGCCAACTTATCATGAATAACATTTTCTCTTATATTAATTAATTAATAAATTGATGAAAGTTAAAATATATTGTTTTTTGAATGATGGAAAAGATAGTATAAATATTTAGCAAAGTATTTAAAATAGAATATACACTACAGAATCTACCAGCAGAAAGTGCACTTTTTTAAACAACTAATCAAATCCCTTTGAATGATTATAAACTTAGTGTATTAATATTCTTAATAAGAAATATAGAATATGGACATTTAAAAACTGAAAATAAATTGAGCTACCAAGTCCTTACACCACGGAATTCTGTTGATGCTGGTTCAAGTGCCCAAGTTTAAGTGCCCAAAACCTTGGTTTGCAAATCAAATAAAATAAGGTATATTCATAAAAAAAATATGAATATCAATCACCTCTTGCTTCATCATTAGCTCTTTGTAACCTGACCCTGAGATTCTCAATTTCATCCACTTCACTTTCTAATACAGCGTTCCTCTCATATGCTTGACATAATAGTTGTTCTATACAAGACACTGATTCTGATATCACTCTATAAAAAATAATAAATATATGTATATGCATAAAAAGACAATTGTAATGATTCATTATTGTTATATTTAGGTTAAAATAGATCTTCATCATTATAATTAATAAATGATTATTTATTTTTAGCAAATTAAAAAATAAAAGTAATTTTCACCTAAATATAACAATAATGAATCATTGCAGCCCACTATAATACAAGACTGATATAATTTGCAATCTCAGTAGTTATTATTGTGAATAAAGGATTTCTATTAAAATTAGTCTAAAAGATGAAGAAGAGACTCATACCTCTGCCCTCGTTCCAGATCATCATTTTTCTGTTCAATTTCTCTGACATAAATTGCTTGCTTTTCTTTTTCTTTTCTTAATGCTTTTAATTCATTTTCTAATGCATTTGTCTCCTGTTGACTCCTATCTAATTTATTCTGTGAAAGCAAATATTAGATTAAAACAATTCAAGCTACTATTAACTTCAAAAATGTTGCTTACCCTTAGCTGATCAATTTCATTTTTGAGCCTTTGGTTTTGATGTTCCAGATCCTTATTCCGTTTTTCAACCTGCCCTAAAGAGGCTTCTAATTCTTTTTCGAGTTGAGCAGAATTCTCTGTGTATTCATCCAATTCTTGCTGTAGGTCATTAACTCTATATAAAGAAGTGAGTTAATGTATTTTAAAGAAATTATGTTTTCTTATTTTGTTAGTTATAAACGCGTACTTACTTTCGTTCATAATAGGTAGCTTGTTTTTTCCAATATTGTAATGAATCACTATCCAATTGCTGTGGCGATTCCATTATTAAAAATGTTCAACTAAATATTGATAATTTCCAAATCGAATTATTTTCAATGTACAACACCTTTCATACACAAAAATCCAAGTCTCGATACAAACGGAACATTTAAAGATGTTTTCTTCATAGGATTGATAATTCTACAATAGTTAACGTTGATATTTTTATGAGCACGCAAAATATTGCAACAATAGATACCTAATTAGAAGGAAGTAAAACAAATTACGAATTATAGAATGTGATTGAGATGACAGTTGACATTTTTTGGTGTCGCCATGTATATATACATACACACAGACTAATATAAAATGGTTTCGTAATGGCTCGAATATAGACATACTTTGTAAACATGTCTATGGGGCTAAAAATATTATTGGTGACGAGACCATTATTTTGTCAACTATCAGTTGTCATTATTATAAGTATAACTATCCAATGAAGGTACATTATTCGAGTATACCTAATGTTTTTTTTTATATTTTGGATAATATAAAAAATTATATGAGATACAATTTCTTGATTAAAATGTAAATGGCATATTTATTTATATTATGGTATATACTTTTATAACAATAAATTACATATAAGTAGAACCTGCTTTACTTATATTTATCCTATATTCTTGTAGCAATGCATATCGGATATACGTGATAGTGGATAACTTTTCGAATGACGTGTAATGTTTCCAACGGTGGACGCTGAGGATATTGCAACGGGCACGTCATTAGAAAGAGAACAAGATCCTAGCGATGATCCAGAATCCACTGATAATTCGCAGGTGGCAAAACAAAACAATCACAGAGAGTTAACTCTCAATATGCTTATCAAGGAGGCAGTATTTTGTATCGCATTAGCTCTTACTACTTACGGAGCATTGCACAATTCGTAAGTATATTTGTTGCCTTTCTTTGTATACATTTTACCTGTTAAAAATACTTATTAGTGTTATTAATTTAATGTTCACATTTCCAGACCTACAAAAATATCAAAGGTTCCTCAGGCTGTGAGATTTTTTAATACAGATTTAGTGCGGGATTGGTATAAAGGCCAGTTAAGTAGTGCTTTATCTCATATAAATAAAGAAGATGTGTCATTTGTTATGTATTATGCACCATGGGATGCAGAGTCACAGTATGTGAGGACAGAATTTGAAACAGCTGCCAGGGTGTTAAGTGACAGGGTAAATATTAATATTGTTTGCTATTTATTATTATTAATACATCATGCATTTTTTTTAACTTTTCTAAACTAAATTTATAAATCATCTTCAAGTTATTTAAAAAACACAATATTGTTTTAAAACTTTTAGGTACACTTTAGTGCTATAAATTGCTGGAATCCAGGTAGTGAATGTAGGTTACAACATAGCAAAATCCCATCTTGGCCTATTCTTATGGTGTATACTGTGACATCTAGAGGAATATTGTATAAAGGCAAGTCTATACATGCATGTATTTGTGCACATAACCAACTCATATTATAATCAATATTTTTGAAATTTAGGACCTAGAAATGCAGAGAGTATGGTTAACTTTCTGGAACTTATTATGAAACCACTAGAACGAGTCTCCTCTACAGAAGATCTTGTGAATTTACTCTCTATATGTGATGTACGTACAATCCATTATCATGTGTGTGTGTTATTTTCTAAACCGTAAATTTTTAATATTACTCTTTGTTTGTAGGCAGTTGCTGTGGGCTATACACCACTGACACATACATTAAAGTACTACAACATATGGTATAATACAGCTATAAAGACCCGAGAGTTTGACACCATAGGGGAAGTGTGCTTTGCTGTCGTAACATCTACAGAATTAGCGATAGACCTTGGTATTGACAATGTACCAAATGCACGATTTATGCTTTGGAATGATACTAAGGTAACTAATCTATAATTTAATTTGAAATTTGTATCATGCTCTTATTAAGCTGATGACTAAATACATGTTTTCTTTATTTATACTTTGTTTGGTGAGATTAGTTTTAACAATTTAATTTTAATTGAGATTAACTTCTACGGAGATACAATAAAATATGTGGATATCTTTATTTAAATCAGTCTTTTTCAGGATTATATTCCAGAAGGTCAAGAAAGAGCATGGAATGAATCATCTCTTGTTTCATGGTTGTTAGAAAATTTTGCTCAACCTGTTGCAAGAATCATTCCAATGTGGAGAAAAGCATTTAATTTTGAGAGGTATGCTGATGGTAGTCCAATGTTAATACTGTTTACTCCAATGAATCCATTGTATGAACAGTTACCTTCTTATGCTTTGGTAAGCTTCTTTATGTAAATTAGTTTATAAATAACTTATTCCTACTAGAAAGAAAAATACATTTCTAAATGAATAAACTAAATGGCCTAGTAAGTATTTTTTACAAAGAATTGATATATTTCTTTAAAAAAAATACTTCTATTGCACTTAACTTATATAAAATGTTTGGCTTACTCATAATCTGAATGACAACCAAAACATATTTGTTTCAGATGCGAGAAATTGCAATGGAATATTACAATTGTCCAAGCAATAACACAAATCAATGGACATCGGAACTGATAAAATTACAACAAATTCAGAGGTTGCTTTACCAACAGAAAAACTTTCTAAAATTTTGCCAAGAACATACTTTCAAACCAAACAAAAAATTGCATAGAAGTAAATATAAGAAGGATGTTGTTTCAAACAATAATAAGTACCCTTGGAACAATGTAACTGAGAAAAATCAAAAAAACAGTGCTGTTAATTTAATTAAACAAGGATTAGCTGTTTCTAAAATAATTGGCAGTGTAAATGATATAGACTTCTGGTCTAACGTGGATTTATTGCAATGTGGCATCAAATCATTGCCAGCAGAAAAAAGTTACTATGAAAATTATGAGAAATGTTTGACACTTGATGAAAAGATGCAGGAATCTGAAGAAGATTCAGGGCAAGAGTAAGTTATTAAACATTCTGGCTATTTGAGAGTTGAACATGCATCTTTATTAGATAATAAAAAGCCTGCTTGCGAGTATAGTAATTATAATAAAACATAAAGTAAAAATACAACTACGAAGCATATATGTCTATTTCGGCAGCTTGTCGCTATAAACCCTAATTTTGAAACTATTTATCCAATATGATTTATTACATGTAAGATACATGACAAACAAATGGACTAAATGGAGTACACTTTTAATGACCTTATAAAAGTGTCGTCCCATCTCAACTAAAACTCTATAAAAGGAGGCGAATGTTATGTTCTCATTTATACAAGTAAAATCACATTTCTGTGTCCACCCTATGCCCTACAGGGTCCCATGACCACCCCCATTTCAAGAACCAATTAGTGTTCTTGTACAGGCAAGTAGTTGATCAGACTTCAGTGCCCTGCGTGACTGAAACAATTTGTTTCCCTGGGATTCGAGCCCAGGACCTCTCTAGCTTAACGCAATGCTAAACAACACGTTTAACCATCTGGCATAGGCGGTCTTATTATTTTCTTGTAATATGGTGAAAATGCCGCTTAGAACGTTTTTGTGCTATGTTATTTATGTCAACAAATTTTGTTTGTGCCATAATAATATTTACGCAGCTGTTTTACATTTTATCAATTACAATATTGTATCTATGTTATCCTTTATGCTTTAACGTCTTAACACGTTTTGCTTTTAGTCAGTTTTCATAATTATAACATACATTCGAACATACCATTTGTGCTACATCTAATTATATAAGTTTTTTAGCAATAAACATTTTCAGTAAATATAAAACTAACTGACTGAACAGTTTAATAATTAGTCTATAACAAAAGGTTTTTTGTAGTAATAACAATCGAATTTATAACAATGTGTTTTTAGAATCGAGATGACAATACTTCCATTAGAAGACGATCCACTCTCTCCCGAGAATCTAATACAGGAGAACGTTAAGCATATTTGCAATAACTTGCAATTTGCAAACAAGCTACACCCCTTAGTTATTCCGGGCAAAGTCGATGGCAACATTACTCACATCCACGGCTTAGCCTGCGCCACGAACATCAGTATGTACATTCTCGCCGTAGACAGCATTAGAAACTATCACTTCGCCGAAGCCCTCGGTATCGACATCAAAAATAAGAAGGATATGACGGCAGCCGTCATATTGGACAGCAAGGTATGATGCAGCTAAAAACTTATTTACAAATGTGATCAGTTATCAACTTTTTATCTGAAGTTAATCGTTAGCGCGAACGCGTTTCGGAGAATCTTTATACTCATAGATTTTAGATAAAGTAGATTTTGCATCGTTGGTGGTTGTTTCGGTTTTTTTTTATATATATAAAAATCTGTTAAATTGATCGGTAAGGTTTTCTAATGAGATATATATGGTATACATCACAGACAATTTATTGTCGCGGAAAAACTTTTTTTGAATTGTTTCGATAGTACAGTCAAGTATAGGCCTCACTTGATGGTAGGTAAAATATCCGAACCATACAACATCTTAGCAAGATGCGCTGTCGCCCTACATATTTTGATTTGTCTATAGAGAATTGTACAAGTACTTTCTGTTACAAGTGATTTTGATAAACATATATTTAAAAAAAAACCTTAGTCGAAGAACGCTCAACGTTTGATGATATCATCCTTTTGTGGAGGCAAAACGTCAGAAACCATTTCTCAATTAGCCGTAAAACTTAAATAGCTTTTCATAATTACCAAGTAAATCTTATGCAATTTGTAAATATACTTCATTTGTTGAATTCTAGCACGAGAGCCAGTACGTACTTTCAGAGGATTACAACGCCAAATCAGTCCGAGAGTTCATAGCAAACTTTACTCGTAAGCAATTGAAGCGTACACTCCGCACGCACGTAGAGGACGCGGCGCACACGCACTATTTTGGATCCAAGGGCTCCACGAACGACACCAAAGACTTTAATGTCATAGATCTAACTACGCGGACGTTTAAGACCGCGCGGACTGCTGGAGTGGTATGTTATACGTTTCGTATATCACTCAACTAGATTCTAAAAATTAAAAATTGATTGAAAATTGAAAAAAAATTCCGACACGGGCAGGAATTGAACCGGTGTCCATAGCGTTTCGTGCTCTAACCAATTGAGCTACCGTGTCCTCATTATCAGTCATCGTGATATTTTTCCACCTTAATACTTTTGAAGTCCGCCCTGTTGTAACATTTTAAATCTAAAATCTATTTTTATAATTTAAAAATCGAAATTAAATTGAAAAAATTTTCGACTCGGGCAGGACTTGAACCGGCATCGTCAGCTTTCCGTGCTGTTGCTCTATATATATATAGTGCCTTCATGTGCAATAACATGTGAAAAATATTAATGTTTTCAAATCTATTTTTATATTAAAAATGTTACAACTATATAAATGCAACAAAATGAATTTGAATTTCGTGAAACACGTTTAATGATTTAACTTTTTTATCTAAATTATTAATAAACATGTCATTGATTCAGTTTTAGAATATGTCATTTCATTTTGGTCTATGATTTGACTATATATTGACGAATTGTTTATAGCTATCCTTGGTTGGAGTCTGTGGAGGAACCTGCGGTGCGCATACGACACGTGCGATCGCTGAAGCAACGCGGCTACTCAACGCATGCGGTGTACAAACGCAGGCGTGTCGCATCGACGCGCTGCGACACGATCTGCCCTGGCACTACACGCCGACTATTTACCCTACAATTCTAGTCTTCCCACCTCATCGGTAACAATACTATGAAATAAATCCTATTAAAACTTGGAAGCTAATTCCTATAAAAACAAATAAGTCTTACGAAGCACAGTCATGCAAAAAATAAATTGTTTCTCGATTAAATACTGTCTGTACTGTCTGATTGGTACACATTCAAATAAAATACTTTAACGGTGCAAAACGCTAAATATGTTAGTTAAACTTATTTGAATTTTTTATCTACGGCCCGACGTTTAGGATGCTTTGCAGCGGCCGTGATCACGGGGAGACCACGTGTCCTAACTTAACCGTTTAACTAATACATTTCGCGTATAAACTGTTAAAGTGTTTTAATAAATTATTGGTATTTTGTGTAAAACATTAATATGTTCTGTAAACACCAATAAAATTGGCTGCACAAATATGGGTTTAAAAATGTAACTGAAAGTTTAACATGAATGGCATCAATAATATTTGAATATAGCATTTATGATTATATAGCACTTCAATGCTTATTGAATACGTTCTGCTTTCAGGAACGGTGAGAAGGACAGTCGCGCATATCCGAGCGGCGCGCGCATTACCTCAAGCGGGTTGGTGGCGTTAGCGCTGCGTGCGCTTGGGCCTCCGCTGAACTTGCGCGTGCGTCTAGCAATGTGTTCTCGAGTCGTGGTCAGTATAATTTTATTTATATATATTATTCGTATTGCTATACTTGTGCACACACATTTTATAAATAATCGTTTACATGTGTATTTAACTTTTTCCTCACTTTTAGCATAAATTGAATGTAGCTTTCCAATGGGATGAAACCTAAATGTTTTTGTTTTTGTAAATTGAACTTATCATGTTCAATAACACACGAATAACAATTATCTTTCAATAAATGAAACGTTGTAATTTTGGTGTTCAATTCCTATGCTGTGTATTATAATATTTTTTGTTCTCTAGTTGAGAACTCAAGGAGATAATTCTGAAAGCAGTAAAAACATAAATGTTGTTGTTTGTATCTTATACATATGTTATGTTATACTTTCATGATCAAAATAATAAATACACACTTCCAATTAATAAGTTATCGCTAAATCTCATTTAAATCAATTTAATTAATTAGTAAGGGGAAAATACCTATTATTATTTCTAGATAATGATCTAGAAATAATTCGTTCCTCTTCATTAACTTGTCTACAATTATCAAAGTAGATATAAATGATATTATATTTGGAAATTCCCATACGTAAAGCTTTCCGATATTTCATTAGACTTGCGAGTGTCTCTGAAAAGCCCGAGCGTATCTACGGATACAATCTGATAACATTATATTTATTATTCTGATAAGGCAGGATTATGAATTTTGCGTATATTCAAAGCGATAATAACGACCTTTACATTTTTTCGCTGTTATCGAGCGATACCGTTGCGTCCTAAATTATTTATTATCAGTTGTTGATATAATTATTATTATCAATACATCATTCGTCACAATATTACCAAACCTAAGATATAACGTGGTCTAGTGTACGCAATAGCTAACTATACATATGTGTAATCATGTATATCTATTAGTACCAACTAAGATACAGTATAAAAAGTTTCTTTGTAATAGGTTTTATCATTTTTGTGTTATCAAATGTTATCATTTTTATTATTAGCAATGACGCGTGAAAAAAGTTTGAATAAAATGAATGGAATGTTGTACTTTCTGGTTTGTTAAACTATGTTTAAATAACATTACTCAGTAGTCATGAGTTTTAATCCCACCCAAATCATTGATATTTAAAAAGCTTAAACCGTAATGCAGTAGGTTATAACTTGCGAATTATTTTTGTAAAATGATAGAAAACGATGTGGTTCTTTTTAAATCCAAAAGAGGCCGCGAAACCAATATTTCGTATTTTATGATCTCTTAAACGGCTAAACCGATTTCGAAATAACTGTAAAACATCTAGTATAAAGCAAATATTGGCTAAGAAAACACACGCAAATTTTAAGGTCAACGCCATTATATTTTTAACCAAACGCCAGATCATAGTTACACGCGAAACATATAAAAAGTTTTATATTTACAAACACTACGCACATGTTATGCGTATACAACCATTTGGCGGTAATGATTAAAGCTATAGTTTCTTAATTTGCAGGCAATCAGCGAAAAGAAATCCTGCCTGAAGGACATGCGAGACAGTATTGTGTCCTCCATTGGCAGAAATCTAAAGTACTGGCGTCAAACTCAAATAGCAGAACTGAAAGAGACGTTGTTGAAAAGACTTCAAAATCTAAATAGCGTATCTCTGTACCTATCCTTACTTCACACGAGTGATCTCAAAGAAAACAACGGAAAGAAGAATTCACTCTTACGATCCCTCGACGACCTAACTAGTAATTGGTACATTGATGTTTCGTCAATTTTAAGAAAAAATGGTTCTCTGTCGCCGATAATCAGATGATATTGGCAAACAGTATTTGTAAATAGTGTATATTATTATGGCTCGTTTTGTATCTATCTTATATGGTTATTTATTTGATTATAGCATTATTAAATGTTTAAATTGTTTTATTCATTTCAACCTAAAAATGTCCTACTGCTGGATACAGGTCCACGGACCAACCAAGCTATTTCATCGTCCGGAGGACTATAGTCACTACTAGCTGGTACAAACATTTGCTATAGGAAAATACCATACACCGAACTAAACTTCCGATCGTATACCTCGTGATCTACAGTCGTGTGTAACCATCAAAGCAACGAGACAATTTTAGTAAACATTCGCTGTTGGTTAAATATTAGTGACTCAATTATGTATGTGTGAAATGGGTCTATTTTCAAACGAGTACAGCTATTTCTTTTTTCTGGACATACTCTGTACTTCATGTAGGCATCATTATGTTATGTAACTATTTATAACAAAGGAACTAATTATTATGTTTCACATTTGGCACTTGATGGCATTATATAAAGATCGAATATAAAAAGAAAAAAATTCGACATAAGCAGGACATGACTTCATTCTGTGGATGCCGGTTCAAATCCTGCCCGCCCCATAATTTTTCAATTTCATATCGACTTTATCCTTACTAATATTATAAATGCGAAAGTAACTCTGTCTGTCTGTCTGTTACTCTTTCACGCCAAAACTACTGAACGGATTTGAATGAAATTTGGTACACTTATGGTCTAGACCCCGAGAAAGAACATAGGCTTTTTATTGCGAAAAGGGGGGTGAAAGTTTGTATGGAAATTCGTGAGGTTTTTGAAGATAGAACATTGAAACTTTCTTCTTTGGCTATTTGAAAATAGGAGTGGGGTTGGGAGTGGGAGTGAGAGTGACAGTGGAAGTTAGAATGATGTGAGGTGACAGTGTTGCGGCAAAGTAGCACTTACAACATAGATTGGCTGCGATAAATACGCAATAACATAAATTAAGCCCAAATAATTAAAATACCCCAAGTCACTATTCCACGCGAACGAAGTCGCGGGCACAGCTAGTAAGTATATAAATAACATAATATTAAAAATGGATAATAGAACATTATATTATATATAAGGTGTTCGGAAAAAGACTTCAAAATTCCACGTCCTTTCCAAAGAACGACAAAGTATTTTGCTTCGTACTGCTCCTCCAGCCTCTGACTAAACCAAAAATGGCGGCAATAGTTTTCTTCACATACAGTTCTGTAAAGAAACGTACCATTGTATAAGTCCAAATATTAAACAGACTAAAACGAAATAATTATTTCTAAGAATAAAGATTAGATAGCCAATATCATAGTATTAGTATCATAATTGTCGATATTTCGACACGTGATATCATCAGATAACAGAAGATTAATTAGACGTAACGCTTATTAGTACCTACTGAAATATTCGTAATAACGATATAATTGGGTGATTCATGGACTTTGACACGTAAGTTCAGGGCTATACGGAGACGAACCGTTTTTGAATGAAGCTCCTTGTACAAATCTACTGAAGAAGTAATCGAAGTAAAAACAGAATAGAAACGTCATTGGAACAACAACATTAATGAAGTAAATCCAATAGGATGTTCAGTTTAGATTATCAGACCACACCTAGCGAATAAATTTATTACAGGCATTATAATGTAGGTCCGTACCTCGAAGCCAAAAAAAACGGTTTTAATTTTGCCAGTTGCATGTTCCAAATGATAATGGTGGCTACGTTATATGATTGAGTTTCGAATCATAAAAGAAAATATATTAGTCAGCAAATAAAAATGTACATATAACATATAAAGCATAAAATGTTGGTGAGGCATAGGCGGATAGAGATACTTATAAATCATTGGTACTATTTTTCGAGTACCTCATACCGCGTTATTGGTAAACTTGTATCGCGTGTTACATTATCGTTATTTACGGTAAACTATGTAAATAAATATATTATAATACATAACAAGCATAAAACAATTACCAAGCGCTGCAGTATCATTAATGTTAGGATAAGTAGGGTGATAAGGCTTCACTAGAAAAACTAAATCAGTTCCTAGAACTCCTGAAATGTAGTCCGTTAGAGATCCAGCCACGACACCATCATTGCTGTTTTGGTGAACCTAAGAGATAGGTGCAATAAATAAAAAATCACTCAATACAATTTTAGTTCGATTTACAGAAACTGGTTAGAAATATTAACAAATATGAGTATTACCAGATAATAAAGAACTAAACACGAGCGGAGCGACATTTAGTATGGCTAACGCTTTACTCAACTTCACTTATGTCAAAGCAAACATATACACCAGCTCTCATCACACAAACGAAACGACAGAAGGCTTTAGTAGGACTTAAGTAAAATCGATTTTAGATTGAAAAAACGGGCAGGACTTGAGCGTCCACAGCGTTCCGTGCTCGTTGCTCGTTGCTCTACCAATTGAACTGCCTTGATAATAATCGTTGGTTAAGCACTTTAGAATTTATTTAATGCCTTCATGTGCAATAGCAGGTGTAAAATATGAACGGTTTCACACAGTTGCGAGTACGTTTAAAAATATGTGTGAGAGATAGAGCAGGAAAGACTAAACAATCATTGTTGTCGATCTATTTTGGCTTTGTATATTCGGAATCTTTATGCTATAATATATCGAATACCATACGTCGCTTCGTTTACCTCAAAAAGTCGACCGTCTGGAAGTCTCGCTTGTCTCGCCGCATACTCGCCGATTGCTTGTAAAGTTCTACCGTTACTCGGCTGACGCAATGTATATTGCCACGGGTATAAGATAAATTCCTGTGCAAAAATCAGCTCTGTAGTGGCTGGACTGTGCTGATGTAACATAGCATACTATTAGCCATAATATTACATCAGCTACTACTACTATCTTTTAATGAGATCTAAAAATATTTCAAATTTTCAGATATACAACTTCATTATCAACCTAGCAATATGATCCTTATCAAACGATCTATCAATGAAATCGAAATAAAGTTTTCCCTCCAGACGAGTGGTTTTTCCTGCGTATCACTTCCAAAAATCTTCAAACCTGCCCAAACTCTATATTATAGCAATCACACTTATCTATACTAATATAAAAAAGAATGATATTTTGTAAATTGTTCTTGTTTAACTGACTGCCGCACTTACCCCAAGGGCTACCTTTAAAACCCATATCTATAGGAAAAAAATATTACAAACCTTCTTAGCTACGAAGCTAGCTTCTACGTGTATAGCGAGACTAATTGAGTCACCGAGCTTATGCATATATTGATGGATAGCACGCGATTCAGGCGTTGAGAACGGTCTGACACCTGGATAGTGCTGAGAACAATTGTCAGGGGTTTTCCGTACATCATCTGGAAATAAACCGAAAAAACATGTTTTTTAAGTTAAGTAGACGTAATAAAAAATGTGTCAAGTCGTAGCGACTTCGACTTGGTGTGGCTACTTTTTTTTAATGATAGAGGTGGTTCACTTGACGGTAGGTGACCCCAGCCTATAGCATGTAACCAGATACGCAATCGACCTATTTTGAATTTGGATATTTGGAAATGCACAGACTGAGACCGAATCGTGCTTAACTTCACGGCTTTTTCACATGTGGACGGTGGTTCGTGACCCGGAGTGACTTCGATATTAGCATAGGACACTTCTGTGTCGTATTCGGTGAGCAACAATTCCAATAAAATGCAAACATGTTCTTATTCTTTGTAAACTTTAGTATTTTTCACATCTTATTGCACATGAAGGCACTATATAATTTAAAAATCGAAAATAAATTGAAAAATTTTTCGACTCGGGCAGGACTTGAACCGGCATCGTCAGCGTTACGTGATGTTGCTCTGTCAATTGAGCTACCGAGTCGTGAATTAATTTTCGATTTTTGAATTATATAGAACTAATTAGCTTTCCAAATTGAAATGGGAACAGAGTTTTATTGTATCTTTATCCTGGCGTTAAAATGTCAATGATACAAAAAAATAGACAATGCGAGTTGTCGGTATTTGATAAAGAACGTTAGAATTATTTATGAATTACAGCGACCTACAGGTGCTTTGCATTTCGCGCAAATTGTGATTATTTGTTTATTTTTGCAATTAAAACAGAAGCCGAGCCAATTACGTTATATGAACGTTATACGACTAATTAACAGATTAAAACTAAAATACATAAAACAAACTCGTATTGGCAAGAGCCAGACGCTTATTTAAGAAACTAGCTGTGTCAGCGACTTCGTCTGCGTAGAATAGTGTTATTTGAGGAATTTGAACTTCTCTTCATCTTTATAAATTAAGCCACGTTGGTCGCTTCCCGTTCGTTTACAAATTAATCTTAAAAGATAGATATAAAGTGTCACGGACATTTTTTTAGATCATTTAAATAGGAGGCATATTTCAAACATATGTTTTTTCTATTTCGAACCGTTTTCGCAGCGTACGCATCGGACACCTGTAAAGATGTATAATTGTCTCCGTTTTTTTTTGTTCACATTTCCTGCTGTTTCCTCACTCCTATAGTCACTACGCGATGATTTATAGCCTAGAGCCTTCCTCGATAAATGTTTTAACCAACATAAAAATAATTGTTGAATTCGAACAACTCGAACTGACCGAACGCGCTAATCTCAGGAACTACCTGAGATTAGCGCGTTCAAACAAACAAAGAATCAACTTTATATATTAGTATAGATTCTATTAGCAGATATTGAAAACATACCTTGCCAATGGTACGCAAAGTTTCTATTTATGTTCGTACCGAAGCACTGCATATCTGAGTCGACATTCTTATACCACTCCGAAGGTTTAGTGTTATTTCTAGCCGTAATGTTACGGGCCCAAACAATCCCATTTATAGTCCGATGATTTCTAAGACTCCTTGTAAAATCTAGGGCATCTGGGTTAACTAGTGGAATTAGGTACCTAAAGAATAATTTATCTACTTTACAACTTTTTTTGTTGCTGTTGAAAAGTATTCAAAAATATATTTAGATTTTTAAAAAATGACGGGACTTGAACCGGTATCCAAAGCGTTGCGTACTGCTGCTATAACCAATTTACTATCTTTCGATCTAAATAAAGTTTTAGTCTACATAATGTCAAAATTATTTAAGTTTTCAAACATTTTACCAATCGTAATCGTTAAAAAATGGCGTTTGATAATTTGCATCATACAGTAGCTTATCCGCCAAATCTATGATTGAGCTCGGAGCACCCCACGCCATACCGTTCAGTGCTAAAAACCATTAAATAAAGTGCTATTACCACCGTTTAAAACAATTGAATAAAAATATGTAATAGTTCTGATTCAGATATGGTTAGGGTTCATTTGATGGAATATATATATATATATATGGATAATAAAGATATGATACAGATGGCGCTTTGGTGATTCCGAGTTTACGCTTCATTTTATTTTTATCTGTGGACGATGATATGAACAAAAACTATTTTCCAATAACACCAATTTTCAAGTTCACAGACTAGATGTCTCTATTAAGAAATTATAAAAAAAAACAGAACTAAGCCTGATGGGAATCCAATCGAATATATTTATTAGATGACATAGTGCTAGACCGACAAACAACATACCTCCGACTACAAGTATTCCAGGCTTTCTGCTGTGTGTGTCGCTGCGAAGTTCTAAAGCAACAATTGTATTATTTTGTGACGTACGCGGCATCAAATGGCTAACGTGGACCATTTCTGGGTTATTAATAGCCATTCGATTTGTAATATCAATTATACTCTTCGCGTTAAAGTACTCTATATATTTCATGATACTTCCGGAACTACGAACTTCTCTCACTTTAGCTCCAGATCTATAAAATATTGCCATTTTATACAAAAATATACACTGCAGATATACTAGTGAAATAATTCGTCACACAATACAAACTGTTCGAAATTCCTCGGAGGGAAAAGTAACATGAACAATATACCAAAGAAATATAAGACAGAGATCATGTATACTTTTATTTGCAGTAACATTTTGAATATTTTATAGTGTAAAATAAAATTTAAAATAGCTGTCATTTATAGTTTAGACGCGTGACAAACTGACAAACATTTCTGTCAATGTACTTGATTAGATTGATAATAATATAATCAATTCTCTGAACGACAACATTAATAAATATTAAACATTACATACAAAGTATTTAACGACTTTATCTTTAGTCCAACTAAATTCACGCATGTCATTCGGCCTTTTCTTTTAATCGTTGCGCATTGGATCGATCGATATATCCTTGCAAATGTTCATTAATCGGAACATTGGCATATTTTATTGTATATTGTTGTATTGTAATAGGTTGCATTATATATATCGGCGCAAAACAGGCAATGCGTTACGTCATCGCTGCACGTGTTCCTAACGGCGTAAACAAGTGACTCACGTCGGTCGCTCCACTGAAATCCCCCACTACGTGCTTATATAAGGCCGTCCGTTGTAGCGCAGGGCACTTTTGGAAGGACGGCGCTCTGAGAGCGAACGTCTAGTCTATAGCTATTTTTATTATTCAATTATAAAAGTGTTTCAATAGTAAAATGGACCACTCTAACAATATTGACAATTATGACGTCGGTGCTGCCGACGTCACCAATTTTAAAAACAATTCTGGATCACATACTTCGACATCAGAAGTGGGATTACCTACCTTCTCCGCTTAATAGCCTGATACAAGGAAATTTCATACTGGAAATGGCAATGATGGAATACCGGTGGAAACCTCAGCTCCAACACTTGCACTTTGTCAAAAAAGAAACTCAAGAGTTAGAAACCTTGGCAGTGGATTCATCGATGGTGGACATTTCTACAAAATTATGATTTCGATATTGAATATCACAAGGGTTCAGGGGTTCAAGAACCCAGCAGAATTTACAGTTAATGTAATGACCTATGACCTTGTCTGGTTAAAAATTAAAAAGTCTTCAGATTGAGACAATCTGACAAATCCCGGTGAGTTCCATTTAATCTGTTAACCTAGCGAGGCGCAATACTTATTCTTCACTTCATTTAGTCCTTTGACTAATCCTAATAATATTATTGCTCTTAGCGACTGATCGTTAATGAGTCAATCATAAATATTATGTGAAAAGATGCACGTTGGGGTATTGGAGCCCACCAACGGCCAAAAAAAAAAATAATAATAATAATAATAATGTGAAAAGATGCACTTGGGGTATTGGGGTATTGGTATTACCAACGGCCAGCGGTAGCGAAATCCTATCCGAAAAAAAAAAAAAAATTTATTCCCCTGTGTCCGCGGCGCTCAGGACCGCCTAGATCACAGCATCGACCTAGTCAAATCATCCTTTAGAGCCTCTGCTTTATGCAGCATCGCCCTGTCTCCAACCTATCCTTACCATGTGTTGTTTATAATTGTATTCGCTATCCGCCTACACATTAAAAATACGAAACTGTTGTCATGTGGAATGAGCAGTTCAATAAAATAAAAAAAAATAATAATAATAAAAAAGGAAACTGTTGTCATGTGGAATGAGCAGTTCAATAAAATTAAAAATACGAAACTGTTTCATGTGGATGAGCAGTTCAATAAAATTAAAATAAAGATCACCAATATCATTAGTCCTTAACTGTTGTCATGTGGAATGAGTTTATTAAAAAGTACCGTTTAAATAGAATTGATTTAAACTTTCATGTGGAAGAAAGTTAATTAAAATGACCTTTTACCAATAATTTGTCACTGTACATTGATGTAAGACAATAGTACCAAGGGTAACGACAATAGTACCAAGAGTGCGTGATTTGGTGTCACAGTGTATGTGACAACAAAACTAAGTAACACTAAACTCAGTCAGATATGAATCTTATTGCTGACCATAAAATTATTAGCAACCTGTTCAAGATACCAATCTCAAAGATTAAAATTTACCAGTTTCAGAAATTAATATTCTTCAGTAAAACACCAAAACGGTAGTGCAGAGCGCGCACAGCCGGTCAGGATGGTCGTTCGGCGCAAAACAGGCAATGCGTTACGTATCGTGCACGTGTTCCTAACGGCGTAAACAAGTGACTCACGTCGGTCGCTCCACTGAAATCCCCCACTACGTGCTTATATAAGGCCGTCCGTTGTAGCGAGGGCACTTTTGGAAGGACGGCGCTTGGAGCGAACGTTAGTCTAAGCTATTTTTATTATTCAATTAAAAAGTGTTTCAATAGTAAAAATGGACCACTCTAACAATATTGACAATTATGACGTCGGGTGCCGACGTCACCAATTTTAAAAACAATTCTGGATACATACTTCGACATATATTTATTTATTTAATTATTTAATTCTTCATTGCAACAAATACAAAGTATATATACATGATTCCTTAAAAATATTCTTTATAATACAATTTTTAAGATACATTATTCTAACCAGTTATATAGTGCAATGGGCGGCCTTATCGCTATAGAGCGATCTCTGCCAGGCAACCCTTATATAGTAACAGAACGTAAGAAAAAACTACAACTTATTACTTCGACAAGTCATCATAAGTAGCCGTCTGACCGATATCATGAATCTATGCTATTACATATTAGTTACTTATATACAATGCGTTGCTACAACCAATATGGGAATTATTCATAAAGATTTATATAATAAAACATAACTCAAATTCATAATATATAAATAAAAAACCTTATCACGATATTTGAAAATGATTTTAACTACGGCCCGACGTTTCGGATGCTTTGCAGCCGTGGTCACGGGGTGACGTAGTTAAATTAATTTTCAAATAAGTTTAATTGATATACATCGCGTTTTAAACCATTAAGGTGTTTTATTTAAATGTGGACTATTCGTGTGAAGTACAGACAGCGTTTAAAACAAAACTCTGTTTCTGGCATACAATTAATTCTTCTTTACCGTGCGTCAGTAAACATGTCACGTCAAACTATGATAAACAAAGATTTCTTAAGATGAATTTTAGAGCTTTTCTATTAATATTATCAATAAATTACGGACACTTGATATTCGCTTTCAAGGAAGTCAGCGAACATGAGAACTGTTCTCTTTGTACAATTTCATGTGAGTGTATAATCTCTTGTCTATAACTAACCACAATAATACAATATTTATATCATAGTGTTAACATTTTTTAGTCTTTCGCCGAAAACGTGCGCTTCCGGAGTACACGCGATGGCGATCGAATCCCGAAACGACTCAAGAATTTATTGTAAAAGTCCTCGAAGATGATATAACAACGCCTCGGGCGAAAGTGGTAGCTGTCAACATTCGTCCTAATTTGAAGGATAATGAAAAAATTATAATCGGAGGAGCTACTCTCATATCCACAACAGCTCCTATCACACCTCCGTTGTCTGATGACTACACCCGGTTTGTGCCCCCCACAACTCTCCCTGTTACTAGATATGATGACATGATTTTAGCTCCAGCGACAACAGCGGGTAAAATTCCGCCGATAAAACCGAAAAGCAAGGGTATGTTTCAAAACTTAATCACTTTTTAATGCATTTATAAACGATTTTTTTTTTTCTTTTATATTGAGGACAGAGAGAGACAAACATAGGGTACACTTGATGGGAGGTGATATTATAACCCAGTCATATAACATTTACATAAGATACGCTGTTTCGGCTTTGGATATTCGGAAATCCGTAGACTGAAACCGAAACGCGATTAACTTCACGACTTTTTCATCTGTGGATGATCGTTTGTGACCCAGACGGAATTTTCGATATTCCTTCCAGCAATTTACCGAAATTATATCGTTCTTTGTTTTATTTACAAATCGTGACTACATTGTTAAACAACTAACTGTATACATTTTATAGTTTTATAAACTATACAACAACAAATCTTGTTCGTAATGAGGTATATATTTATATTGTTTACGACATAAGCTTATTAATTTAATACCTTTAAGGTTACTTTATTTATTACACTTACAAATTAAATACTGTCTATAGTTTACACGAGTAGTACACATTTAAATAAAACACTTTAACGGTTTAAAACGCAAAATATTAGCTAAACTTATTTGAAAATGATTTTTAACTTCGGCCCGACGTTTCGGATGATTTGCAGCAGCCGTGGGAAGACGGGGAGACTGACTGACCGAAGTTAAAAATCGTCGTTAAAAAATAAAAATGATTTAAAACGCGATTTATTAATCGCGTTTTAAACCATTCAAGTGTTTTATTTAAACACTAAGAAATTACGAATTCTGCACACATAGAAAATTTGCGACTTTTTAGTCTTGCTTTATAGTAATTAACTAATCTTACCTAACCTCTGTCGCTCCCTATTATGTGTATTAAAATAACTTATTTTCTGGGAAATAAGTGATACGAGGTGAACAGCAAATTGGGCCAATTATTAAATTCAGCGGTGAACGCCATTCCCTTCGAGACGAAAGCCCTCCGTCTGGTCCAAAATTTATTCCCAGACCAAATGCGGAATATCTTTCTCAATATGCACCTATCGCCCCTGTTGTTTTTACTCAGAAAACCTCGTCATTAGAACCTCTAACTCCACGTACAGTTGGTAATTTTGTAAGTATTATTTTTATTAATACTTTAGTACCTACAATTAATGAAATCTGAAATCAAGAAAATATGAATAATTATTTTTAATAGTACATGTAATAGAACAATCAAAACCATACTTTTTCAGAGGCTTTACAAAACCTCAATTCGACCTACCCGAACACCTCCAGCTTTCGATATGATAAAACCAATAAGAACTCCTGATTTTAGAAGTTTTTTGTCCTTTGACGATGGAGCTAGAGGGCCTGTAATTTATTTCCCTACTCGTACCACACACTCGCCTGAGCCAGAGAGTGCGTCTACCAGTACAAGTCATTTGATTAATGACATTGACGAAGATTTTATAAAACCAACTAGTATTATGGATTATAGAAGAAAGGACGACGAAAAGAAAGCTATGGATAAATTGTCTGGGAAAGATGGAGACGACTCATACAATATGTTAATTTATGATGACGATGGCGAGATTACAACAAAACACGTTTATCACAGTTTCACTGACACTGATGACGACAAAACAGGAATCAGCGAAATCGATTTTGAACACTTACAAACTAAAATATCTCTAATTACTGATATTGATTCAGAAGAATATGAAAATAGCACGAAAGCTGATATAAGAGATTACAATGAAGAGGAAGATATAAAAAAAGGGACTGTATTGGCGGTAGATTATGGCGGCAATGCAAATTATAAAACTACCAAAGTTTTAAAAGAAACTGTTTCCAATCAAACTCGTAAATGCAATCTTTTGAAACTTAGACCACTGTCGTTTAGTTCGCCACGTACCCTTCACGAGGTAAACTTATATATATTTGTTAACACCAGAAACTGATCAGCATTATAAGTAATTCTTGTTCCCTTTTTAAGATAACATCGCAATTGCGGCAGTGGGCTGAAGTTAGTCCCGTTGCCAAATGGGTGGATATAACGGACGGAAATTATACAGTTATGGAAAATCCAATTTATATGATGATCGTAGATGATCCTAGTAGTGGACAGATAATGTCAGCGAAACAGACTGTCATGATTGTTGCAGGTATTTTTATACGCATTCAAGAAAAATATGTATATCCTACTAAACCTAATGGATCTTTTGGCTATTTTTACTGTTACGCGCAGTAGTTCTTCAAATACATATGTATAAAGCTGATTTTGTACACTTAATAAATCATGTCTCTTTAGCGCCTTGTATAGCAGCAGCCAATTTGGATGCTCGTGTTAAAGGCTCGCGCGTGTTTTATTTCTTTTTTCAATCTAAATAGATTTTTAATTTAATACCCTTATTACATGTGAATAATATTCAAGTTTTCCACATCGTCATTTACTAGAATTATACATTTTACTAATGGGGTTTTCATATTTTTTTGTTATTTGTTTACCAACTAACTAAACTAACACGACTGGGCTGTTTCTAATATGTACACCTAAAATGGGCTAGCAATGCTTTTAAATACAATATAACTTTAATAAAAAAGGACCAAACGGGCTATGAAATCGTATTATTATTAAGAATAAATAGTACTTATTATATTAAACAAAAAATACTTACTGCAAGAAACAAGTTCAATTCTTAAGTGACAAACATAAAACACGTAACAATATTTGCTTACCATTTTAGGCATCCAAGGTAGAGATCACCACGCCGTTGCAGCTGCTATGTATGTGCTATATCAACTTATAGACCGTACGGAAGCACATGCCGATCTCCTAACCCGCTATCGATTTTGGATAATTCCTGTTTTCAATCCAGATGGTTACGACTATTCTATGACGTTTCCGCGAGTAAGATGAGAAACGATACGTTTTATATATTACTAGCTGTGTCAGCGACTTCGTCAGCGTATAATAGTTATTTTACACATCAAATTTGTTTTTGCAAACTTAACTTGGACCCCCATTTTAGGATTTAAAACCCACGACGTCGGTCGCGTCTCGTCGTTTTCGCGAGTTCATCTTAAGAGATAGATGTCTAAGTGTCGTTGACATTTTTTTAGATTATTTAAAGAAGAATAATTCTAATACATATTTTTTGGGTATCTTGAACGTTTTTCGCAGCGTACGGAATGGAATTCCTCTAAGATGAATAATTTTCCCGTTTTTTTTTTCATATTTCTCGATGTTTCTTTGCTCCTATTATCCTTTTATCCTAGTAGTTAGTAGATAAATGCTCTAACAAACACATTAAGAATTTTTCAATTCGAACCAGTAGTTCCTGAGATGAGCGCGTCAAACATACAGACAAGCTCTTCAGCTTTATATACTATTAGTATAGATTTTACAATTACAAATAGCTTCTTCTTCTTCCGTAGCTTCTCCTCTTTGCCCTAAGATGAAGAAACGGGGTTTCAGACACAGACACCTTTGACATATTTATTTTATTCCATATTCGCTACTTTTTAACTAATCGTGTATTTTTCTATTTCAGCGTAGGGAATGGTCAAAGAATCTTCGTCAAACATGGGACTCATGTAAAGGTCGTGACTCCTGCCAATCGTGTGAACTGTACGGCATAATGTGTACTATTCAGCCTTGTCACGGTGTGAACCTTGATAGAAATTTTGAGTACCAATGGATTCCACGTAAGCTATTGATATTATAACTAAAATTTAGAAACTAGGCTTGCTTATTCCCCTAGTAAGATATGTAAATAGATAGTGACTGATTCTATATAGACCTACGCAAAATGCATATTCATAAAAAACGGCTCATTTTGAGGAGTAGAAGCATCCCGGTGGCACTAGAATTTTATATATCTATACTAATAGATAAGAATAAAAGTTCGTTTGTTTGTATGTTTGACCGCGGTAATCTCAGGAACTACTATTGCAAATTGAAAAAATATTACTGTTAGAGCATTTCTCGAGGAAGGTTATAAACTACAAAAACGACTATAAAACATCGCACTACAACTAATAGGAGCAAAGAAATAGCAGGAAATGTGGTGAAAACGGGAAAAATGATTCATCTTTCTGGGTTTCCGGTGTTACGCCGCGTAAATGGGTCAAGGTCCTCAAAACATATGTATAAAATAATGATTCCTTTAAAAAAAAAGCGCTATAATTGCATTTTTTAAGATTAAGTTGCAAGAACGTGGAAGGACGCGTGGGTAACACCTTAAGTTAATAAAGAGGTAGAGGTTTATAAGTGGTTTAAAAAACGAATTTTGACGTCCAAAATAATGATTCTCGCGGACAAAGTCGCCGACACAGCTAGTCTGATATAAAATGTCTTGTGCATGTCACCATTCGTTTGTAAATACGTTTTGTTTCTACGCGTGTTCAGCTGAAGAATTGCGATCGGAGCATCCGTGTGGTGCACTGTACGCGGGTCCTCGGCAGCTTAGTGAAGCGGAAACCAGAGCGCTGACTCACTATTTACACGAACAGAAATCTCCTCTCTACACTTTCATTGCGTTCAAGGAAGGCGACGTACTTGTAAGTTTTATAAAGTATTAGAAATGTATAGGAAACATTAAAATGCTATATAGTAATTTTTATTGTAGTACAGATACTAGCTACTAGTTAGCGTAAAATAGTCATTATGGGCATTCAAATTTGTTTTTGCAAACTTCCTCTTCTTTATAAATCTAGGCTGTTACCCACGACGTCGGTCGCGTCCCGTCGTTCTTGCAAGTTAATCCTCTATCTAGAAATTAAAACAGGAACCATTCTTTCATTTTTTGGGTAACTTGAACTTGACTTGACCGTTTTCGCAGTGTACGCATCTGAAACCCACGGAGATCAAAAATTTCCCCCGTTTTGTTCACATTTCCCGCTGTACCTTCACTTCTATTAGACACAGTGCGTTGTGTGTGCATGTTGCGTGGATGTTTTATAGCCTTCCTCAATAAATGCTCTAACCAACACAACAATAATTTCTCAATTCGAACCAGTAGTTCGTGAGATTAGCTTGTTTAAACAACCAAACAAACACTTCAGCTTTATATATTCGTATAGATTTAATATTTACATTAAATACCTGTGAATGGCTTTTACGTCTTTAGTTTTGCCTATTTACTGTCATTAATTGCGGTATACTTGGTTAATAGAATTTCTTTTTTCGTTTAGTAATATTTTTGATGAATGAATTGTTGTTAAGTCTTTGCTTATCAAATCTGTAGTTTTTGTAAGCGAAGAATAAACTTGCATCATCTACCATATCCTTAATTGGTATAGATACCGATAATTAAGCTTTATTATGATTTATTAGCAATGTTGTAGTCTACTATGTATGCTACAAATTATATATTACAGGGTGTACTTATAAAAATATGTGTATATTCTTTCTAGGGCGTAATGTACCCATATTCGCACACACGAAAAAGGCGAGCTTTTGACCACGTCTACGTGAGTACTTTATTGGCCCTAACAATAGTAATTTATGAATTAGATTACCCAAATTGATTTATAGTTGGAATAAATATAATTGAATGGCGTCATGTTTAATAATAATAAATTCAAATATCTTATCAATGTCAAAATATAAATTCACGTGAATTACTTTGAAAGTGTCGTGAACTTACTATTTTAAACAAAAGGATTAGGAAAAATTCAATCTTATTTACCAATCAAAACGAACAAGGTAATTTCATTCTTGTATGTAGGTAGAGTGGCTAAAGTAGGATACATGCAGATACAGACAGTATTTAAAGTAGGATTCATGATTTCTAGAGGCTTCCTCGGGTTGTTGAGAAATTTTCATTGACGCAGGTTTTCTCATATACGTAATAGTTCTTATAACATTCAGTGGTTTTCCCTTCGAATAGAAGTGTTACATTCAATATAAAACTGTTATTGATTATATTTAACAACATTAATCATATGAAGAAATGAGGAGTATAAATTTTATAAAGTATATTTTATTTTATTTTTGATTAAATGAATTGTAATTTAATCATAAGTTAAGTTAATAATATTGAACAGAACAATTTTTGACTGGTTATTTAAAATAAAAACATCAACATCACAAGTCTTGCACGCTGAGGAGCTAAACACACAATCAGACAGATACCTATCGATTAGGTAAGCTTACTCTGTCTGATGAAATAAGCCATTAGAAAAACTAACGCATTTCTAGCTTTATCAGACAACCGATTTCTTATGTGATTTACTATATGTCCTTAAGTTGATAACACTCTTTTATTTTTAGTTGAAGTAGGCTTAAAGAAATGGCGATTTAATTTCTATCAGGGTACTTGATTTGTTGAGTTCTCAAGATATACAAAGAATTATTCTTCTTTACATAATGTACGTATATTTATTTTTTATCACAAGAAACTTTTTTATGGGAATCAAATTTAATCGAAATGTCTCATATGGCAAAAGAACGTTTAACAGGCTAGTCTATCGTAAAAGTATATAATTAAGAATATTACTTTAGAGACAACGAGCTTCCCGTGCATCTGCAGCTGCCTACAGTATCAGTGGCCGGCCGTATGTAGCTGGCCAAACATCTGAATTTCTACGTAAGTAACCTTAGCATCCTGGAATGTTTGCAATACCCGTAAGAGCTTCTGTTCACTGAAAAACACTTCTATAGAAAATACTTTTCCAACTTTGGTTAGTATCGCCTGAATTGCCATTTGAAACGCGAGGCAATGCATATATGCAAATATGTAACAACGTTGCTTCATGCTGTGAAATGTCATACTTCGTTTCATACGTAAGTGCAAAGTACGACTAAGTGTTTATTGACGCTAAGCGTAGCTTGAAGCTACGCCACAAAGTGTGTTTGATTCAAAAGCTACGTTTTCGTTATTAATAGTGTGAGTAACTCACCCTTAAACACGTAAAATCCAATGCGTTTAAAAAAGTTGATAAAAACCATTTTATTTGGAAAATTCAATCATTAAATGCACTGTAGTTTGCGAGACTAATAAATAAAAAACATAGTTAGACCCATAATACATATTTTCATGAATGTATGAATCGAATTTGTAAAACAGTGAATCAAATCTTTTATTTGACATACGTAAATATATTATATAAAATTCAAACCGTACTTAGTTATTTGTCCAAACACAAGTGCCTTAAATAGTAGTAGTTTAAATTAAACGCAAAGCATCCGAAACGTCGGCCCGAAGTTAAAAATCATTTTCGAATAAGTTTAACTAATATATCGCGTTTTAAACCGTTAAAGTATTTTATTTAAAAGTAAACTTCTCACGTAAACTATAGACAGTATTTAAGTATTAGTACTAGGTTGTGAAGGTATAAGTTTAATTGATAATTAATTATTTTCTAACTAGCTTTATACGCTGGTGGCATCGAAGACTGGGTTGATAGCCATCTAGGTATAGACAACACGTACACAGTTATGATGTTCCGTCCCACAGACTCGTACAACTCTAAGCTTTTAACAGAGGTGAGTAAATCCACGTACATCACGAACTAGACAGAAGAACGAGTTGTATCTCACTTGTTACATTTTTCGACGGCAGAAACCGTTTTTAGTCCGGAAAATGTGTGTTAATATAAATTAAAGTTAGTGGAAAACACCTGCGGGGCTTGAACCCACAACAAGCATGGCACGAAATTCTTGTATTGATTCTTCTTCGATGTTGTTGTATTCATTTTTACATGCGCCTCTCGCGCAGCGTCCTGTTAATTTGTACATTTACACTCTAAGGACTTACTGAAAATCAGTTTCAGGTCAAGAAAGGGCCTGATATAAGCTGAGTAAGATCCTATTCTCCCAACTAGCGGCATACATTATTTAATACTGTTAATATTAAGTGATACCGTTCATATTAAATTATTTTTATTTTATATTTAATAAGTCTTATATGAGTTTGTGTGTGGTACTAAATTTAAATATTACATGGGTGGTAGGAATGTAGCAATTCCGTCCGGGTCGCGAACCACACCGTCCACAGATGAAAAAGTAAAGTGCCGTAAAGCTTAATCGCGTTTCGTTTAGTCTATGGATTTCCGAATATCCAAAGCCAAAATAGGTTGACACCTTGTTCAGATGCTATAGGCTGGGGTATATCACCTATAATCGAGAGAGCCCCATGCCAGGTCTGTCTTCCTCTATCATCATCATAAGTTCATCATAAAATTTTACCAGTACCTTCATTATGAAACATAGAACATTATTATGTTTCCCTTTCAGCGAATCGTTCACGAAGCTTATGCAGCTGTAGACACTCTTCTCCTGCAAAGCGTCGAACCCTTAGGGCCACCACCAGTCACGCTGAGCAGATCAAATGCCTATCCACTAGCACCATCTCTTTTAGCACCGCCAATCTGCTATATTGTACAGTGGACTAAATAATTGTTCTATTGAAATATTATTCAAATTAAGGAGTTTTATATCCACAAGAAGATCGCCATTTTAGTCAATACTTTAAAGTTGTGAAGTGGATTATTAATTTAACCGACATCATGTAAACAAACAGAATGGTGAATGATATATTATATCGGCGTTTTTGGGTGCTGTTTGCATTTTATAAGATTTTATGATAGAACCGTGTTTTATCTTTGAATTACGATTAATTTGCACGTCGTATTATTATGTAAATAAATGTATTATTATTGAATTTGTGGGTTTTATTAAATTAAAACAATACATTACAATTTTATCCTTGAATGAGTGTTTGTTGTTTAAGTTTTTAATACTACTAATTAGTAAAACTATTCCAAGAGATATAACAGAAGCGAGACTTATCTGAATTTTTGCATCATGTAAAATATTCAGATAACATATCCACATATGTAATGAGCCATGATAGCAATATATGGTTAAGAGTCATCGGGGTGTAGGTTCGATTTCCCAGGCCCAACATGTTTCTAGTCATTTTACACAACACAACATGCAAGACTTCGTCTGGCAATCTGAATATTTTAAATGGACGGTAGATATGTCGAAAAATCCATCCGGGTCACGAATCACCGTCGTGTGTGGTGGTGCTTGTCAATCATAAATTTTTTTTTCATCACGGAACCCACGAGCGCCTTTTTCTTTATCACTATACACTACGCGTGTTCCATACATCGTAATTAATTACCTTGATAAATATTTATATGTACCTATTTTAATGAATAATATTTTTCTAAAGATGCATTTCTCCGTTCTACCTAAAGTGTTTTCTTTCTTGGATCTTGGACAACTATTTATCGGTTTAAAATGTTTATATAGACAATATATTTTTCATGTTTTTATAATATGTAAGGAATAACATTGAGATAACAAATCACAACAATATAGGTAAACATGAATATAATTAAAATCTGTACCAAAAACATAATGGTTCTGCGCACGTTTGTTTGTTATTATTGTAAAAACATCATTTACATTATTTCACTTTTGGAAATGGTTTAGACTTATTTTATACTTACTTTATGTAGTAGATTTATGTATGGAAGTATATTATTTATATTCAACTATTATTAACAATCCGTATTAACCGTAATATCGATACTTCAAAAACTATAGTGAATTTTAAATAGAAGACGGAGCAACTATACCGTAACAAAGAATGAAAAACCATATTACCGTAAGTGAAAAAATTATGACAATAGCCTGCATGGGGGTATTGAAAAGAATACCAGCATTTTCCTGTTTACACCACCTGAAGATCGAGCTGGTGACGTAAACGTATAAATTATATAACATAAAATCCTTTTTCAATACTGCGTATACAATGCTTAAATAACACACTATTAGACTACACTTAGTAATTAGACAAATTCATTACACGCTTGTTATAGTTAAACATTAAATATATTACTATATGTTAAAAATATTGTAGCCATATACACTGCCCACAGAGACACTGTTTCCGACTACTGCATTTGAGGATCTATTAAAGATAGGCACTACAAATATCTAAGACTGATTGAAGGTACATCGTTACTGGACGCCGCTTCTATTGATAAATGCTGATACCTTATTATTATATAAGGACATAATGAATATTTTACTTCATTCGTACGCTTAATGTCTTTTATCACGGTACCCAGCAAAAACTGGAAATATTTTAATTGAGAAAATGGTAAGAACAGTGACTTCTCAATATTTCCCCGTAAAACTAATACTATTTCTGATACTCAGTTTAAGTGTATGAGTTAATTCAAAAATTAACTTTAGTGTTAAACTTGTACAGGGTAGATATTTGTTGTAATACGATAGTGCCGTAAGTAGAATTTGAATAGTTTAATTAATCTATGGGCCATTTTTTTTTAAATTATTTTACTGTGTTAGGGCATGTATTTTTAATATTCTGTATATTTGTTTATTTTTTTATAAACCAGTAAAGTTTATATTTACGAGTACAGTTTTAAAAATATTTATGCAAAAAGCATGTTATCTTTGAAGCCCAAACTTTTACGCTTATCGATAGATATTCCAAAATACTATCTAGGATGTACACTAATAAAAGAATATAACATTTTTATTGCAACAGTAAAATACTGATAAAATTTAAATCCTTCATGTAATGTAATATATTCATTGGGTTAATTATCATGTATTTTAATTTGAAGTAATTCCCGATATAACGGTTTTAAATCTCTATGAAAGTAGATAAGATTGAGATAACTGTAATATTAACCACGAAAATAATCATAATTAGATAAAACAATGTAGAAAATCCGATACCAAAGTTTAATAGGGTCGGAGAATGGTTTTCGAAGTAGATTTAAAGTTATTAAAAACCAATGTTTACACATCGCCAATTATTTAGATTGGCAGCCTAAAAATGTTGTTCACGATATTTGTATATGACACAATAAGAAGTAACTCCCATTTTCAGCTGAGGGAAAATTATATTTTCCTTAAAACTTTATTTCTCTGAATTGTAAGTAATCGCTAACTGCGCATTTCTTCAAAGTGTGAAATAATACTATTTACTAATTTGTCGAATCTGAAGAAAATGTATGCGAAGTTTATTTATTTGCAAATCCGTTTAGAGCATTTGTGCGTTTATTATATTTTCTGTAGTGATTTTATATTGAATGTTTCTATCGATATTAGAATTTTTATTTGGCAAAGAAACTCTAATATTGACAAAGGAAAGGTAAAAATCTAAAATAAATTGAAAAATGTACGACTTGGGCAGAACTTAACTTGAAGGCTCGGTAGCTCAATTGGCCCCCGCGCCCCCCCTTCAAAACCGAACCAAAGCTCTAACCAGAGCAACAGCACGGAACGCCGACAATGCCGGTTCGTGTCCTGTCCGAGTCCTACATTCGATCTATCTTCGATTTTTATTTTATATAGAACAAATAAAATATTACAGTTTTCAAAGGAAAAGTTGTCTGTCAGGCATATAAAACTACATACACTTACTTAATATTCTAACATTTCAGAGTAAGTCGGATAAAAATGGATTGGAGAATCCTGCGTTTAGTGAAGCAGGCATTGATCCAGCTATCAACGAGGAGAAGAAGAATGTAAGATTGTTTTCAAACTGAAACTTAAATACGCGTGATTGTAAAGATAGAGCGGTAGATAAACGTTATAAGGTTTGACCTTAAAACCAATACAATGCAATATTTTCAAATAATGATAACATTATCGATTTTAGTTTTTATAAAAAAATCTAAAGTAAGTCATATGTACATTTTGTGTACTTGCCATAGGTTAAATACTGTCTATAGTTTACGCGAGTAGTACACATTTAAATAAAACTACTATACTACTTTGTACAATCTTTAGGCTGCTGAAGTTGACGAAGAAGAGCCCGAACGTGCAGTATGGGGAAACCAAATAGAATTTCTCATGTCATGTATCGCAACATCTGTTGGTTTGGGAAATGTTTGGCGGTTCCCATTTGTCGCGTACCTAAACGGAGGAGGGGCCTTCCTGATTCCCTACATCATTGTCCTGATCTTAATTGGAAAACCGATGTACTATCTGGAATGTGTATTAGGACAGTTTAGTTCGCGAAACTCCATCAAAGTTTGGTCTATATCACCGGCCATGAAAGGTAATTTTAATCAATATATTCGATGCGTTAACGTATCTTCTTTTAATGTTTAACGGATGAAATTTCATTAAGTAGGTTTTATTAGATAAAAAAACTAACTTAAAATAAACCTGTCCTAAGCATATAGCAAAAAGATGCATAATTATTAAAAGACTGTCTATTTTTATATTCAAAAGTTAAAGTCATTTTATTCACGTAGGTAACTAGTTACACTTATGAACGTTACACCCTTTAAAGAGTAAAGACTCTTAATTTATATTTACTACCAGATCTCAAATCAAGAACGAAAAATAGATGTAAAATAAATCCATACATACAACATAAATGCCTGGTCGTAACAACCGAAAAAAAGAGTATAATTAAAAACAATATAAAATGTAAAACATAACAAAACAAACACAATGCCTTTTTTCTGTTTTCAGGTACGGGATATGCGCAAGCGCTCGGCACTGGTTCTATTTTATCATATTACGTGTCCATTATAGGACTTTGCCTCTACTACTTGGCTATGAGTTTCACATCCACGCTGCCGTGGGCTATATGCCAGCCTGAATGGGAAAACTGTGTTCCTTCAGGAGAGACTGAAAATATCAACAACACTGCAAACGGAATTAGTAGCGCGGAGTATTATTTCGTGTAAGTGAATGTACTTTTTAGCTTATTTTATATACAAGATAAGTTTACAACGATAATTAACCGTAACGATAACTAACCACTTTAACGGTTTAAAACGCGTTTTAAACTGTTAAAGTGTTTTATTTAAATGTAACAGTTTATTTACTTTTAATTTTAATTTTGTATTTAAGCCGCTAAAGATGTTTTATTAATTTGCTCGCTTTAACTGCAGTCTTTAACATACAAAAACAAAATTTTATATCAATCACATTAATAACGATAATATATTTTTAGACGTACCGTGCTACAGAGAAGCGACAATATCGACAATGGTATTGGTAAGTACAACTTTTATAGAAAAAACGCATTGATAAATAAAGTGCGAGGTATTCAAAAACGTGTTTTCTTTCTGTCAATCTCATGCTACAATAATAACATTTCATTTTTGCAGGCGTGCCAATTTGGTACTTGGTGCTGTGCTTGCTAGCCTCTTGGGTACTAATATTCCTGATAGTATCCAGGGGAGTCAAAAGTTCAGGAAAAGCTGCCTACTTCCTCGCACTATTTCCTTATGTAGTCATGATCATATTGCTTATAAGGTAAGTCAATTATTAAAATTGTAAAATATAGGAAATGTGTGCATTATAAATTTATTTCAAAGTACTATTTATTACGCAAATAAAGTGCAAAAGCCTAATCGCCAAATTCTTTCTAACAAACATTGTCTATCAAACATGGAGAATAACGAACATTCGAGAATCGAGAAGCATATACCTATTTACAGAGCCAAATATATTTGGAAGTAAATTATGAATAACTTAAAGATTTTGTCATGTAATTATGACATTTGGATTTCATTACTTTTATTTTTTTCAATTTATTTTTACATTATATTTCAGCACTGCCATTCTGCCGGGGGCCGGAGATGGAATATTATTCTTCATTACTCCTCAATGGGAGAAAATTCTTGAACTTAAGGTAAGAAGCGGCGATTACATCACAATAGTACATTTATAATATAAAATAATACATTTGCGTTAGTAACGTTATGTAACGGTTACAAACAGAAGACACTTAACATGTGCATATATTAAAAGACATGATATTGTGTAATGGTAAATACTAAATATACCATATACATACTTCATGTTTGAACGAAAACATTAGCCTAAATTTTTCTGCGAATAAATATTGATCGATATTTAGATCGATATATAATATAAATTTCTAGTTGAAGTTAAAACCAAGGTATGAAAACCATAGTTTTACGACAAATCTAAATCAATTTTATTAACACAACCGTTTTTTTTTCTGTATATTAATTCTAGTAAACGGGTTAATTCATAAACAAATCATTACTTAAACGAATATACCCTTAAAAATAAGGGTTGAAAGTATTTGTTGCTTGTTAATTCTATAACAAAGGTAATTAATCATTGTTTTAAGTAATTTAAGTGTTTCGAGTCTGCTGAACCACGAATGGCATAGCGAAGGGCAGCTATTAATATATAGTATAACTATTTATTATTTCATTGCTTTGTGTATTGTTACAGGTGTGGTATGCAGCTGTGACGCAAGTATTCTTCTCATTGTCCGTATGCCAGGGGTCTATTATCATGTTCTCGTCATATAACGGTTTCAGACAAAACGTCTATAGGTAAGTGTATATTCTTCACGGCTATACCGCGACTTTGTCCTCGTAGAATAGTTATTTCTGCTTCTTCCCTCCGATTGGTTTGCAACGCAATGTTTTCTCAATAAATGTACTAAATAATTCAATAATTCAATTTGAACCAGTAGTTTTTGATATTAGCGCATTCAAACAAATAAACAAACTCTTCAGCTTTATAATATTATTTTCGATTAGAAGAAAACCTTTTGCCGAAAGATGAAAAATCTATAGACTGAGACCCGTTTAACATTTATATATAAAGATATTTATCACGTATTTACGTGAACCGGTAGAGACAAATTTCCATTCCCCATAATTTTAAGATTAAATTCGTTATAAAATAAATAATTGCACTAAACCTTTTTTATTTATTACATTTTATTTCCAGAGATGCCATGATTGTCACGACGCTTGACACCTTCACCAGTTTACTATCCGGAGTAACGATCTTCGGTATCCTTGGTAACTTGGCTTTCGTATTGGACAAGGAAGTTGGGGAAGTGGTGGGTTCGGGTGGAACTGGTCTCGCCTTTATCTCCTATCCAGACGCCATCGCTAAGACCTTCCAGCCACAGGTAATTTTCATACTGAACTCATCAAGAAAGGGAAAGTTTAGGTTTTTTTACGGAACGATTAATATTTCGTCACATATTTTATTCATTGAAATATGTATGTAACCAAAGTCGCCTGCCAATATTAGAAATAATTTGAAATGCCATTCAGATTCAACTATCAATTCAGAATTTAAAGCGCCACAGTGAAAAATATAAACTGACACCATCCACCACTGACTTGGTACCATGAGGTAGATCGAACAGGTTACTTTTGATTTTCAAAAGAGGTAAACAACATTCATTCGTTTCAGCTATTTTCCACGTTGTTCTTCTTGATGATGGCTGTATTGGGCGTCGGATCAGCCGTGGCATTACTTTCAGTATTAAACACAGTACTAATGGATGCCTTCCCCAAAGTTCCTGTGGTCTACATGTCTGCTATTTCTTGCTCTGGAGGCTTTCTCATCGGTCTTGTCTACACTACACCCGTAAGCTATCTAGCTCTAGTTTTAAAGAAATCATTAAGACAAAGGTTAACATAGATTTGTATTTTATATAATGAATCATGCGCAATAACGTGTGAAATTTCCATCTCCAATGTTGTCTTAAGCTTCAAAGTATGGGGCATTAAACCTCAAAACGTATGTATTAAAATTAAAGATATATTCCGCGAGAGGTGCATGTATCAATTGGAGGGTTGAAGAAATTCGATGAGAGTCGAAACACGGCAAGCGCCAATTAAATAGATTTTTAATTATTACATTAGCATAACTTCATAATAAAAATTTAAAGGAAACAGACCGTCGTAATAATAGGGTCGAATCTCAACCGTATTGTTTTTATATAAGTTTTATATAATTTTATATATTCTTAAGTATTGTCTTCCTAAAAACTGTCCCTGACAGATAATATTTTGAAGACATAACTAATTTGCACACGATGGCACTATATAAAATACAAATCGTTTTTAGATTCAAGTCCTGCCCGTGTCGTATTTTTTTTCACTCTACCTGTAATAATAAATAAATAACTACACAAGCATACAGCGCCTACTGAATTTGTCATCGACATTTAAAAATCCCTAGTCGTATTGTACCCAAGACTTCTTGCATTAATTAAAAGACAGGCAATATGTTTTGTCGCTGATCCATACTTTGTTTAAGAATGCATTTATTTTCAGGGGGGGCAGTTCATATTGGAACTCATCGATCACTATGGTGGAACGTTCTTAGTTCTTTTCTGTGGTATTGTTGAAGCTGTTGGTGTATTTTGGATATATGGTAAGTTAATAAAAATCATGTTACATGTTACATGTACAAATGCACATTGTATTATTATAAAAAAAAAATGTAATCTACTATCCATGGTACGTTAAGGATCTTTAGGTATTGAAGAAAAAAGCAATTTTACCATAACATCTTATTTTTGTAGGTTTAGAGAATCTGTGCCTTGATATAGAATTCATGTTGGGCATCAAAACGTCTATATACTGGCGATTCTGTTGGGGAGTCATCACGCCAGCTATGATGATCGTCGTCTTCGTTTATGCTCTTGTGACGGTTGAAGCACTTAAATTTGGCGGATGGTACTCTTATCCAGTATCTGCTCATGGTAAGAATTTTCACTTATCAAGTAGACGGTAATGAATCAGCCTTTAAAAAGTTTTCGTTGTTGGGAAATCCTACCAAGGAAGCGGCTTATATTGCTTGATGACTAAACGTGTCTTGGCTCAAACAAATGTCATCAATTGTTTTGTTCTACGTCCTTTTTTCCTTAAAAGAGAGCTCGGGTCCGATTGCATAAATGAAAGTTGTTATATTTGCACTTGCATTATCTATAAGTTCAAAGATCCTAAACGTCGGGTCAAAATAATACATATTCAAAGAGGACATTTGAACAAATATTTATAATACCAACATTTACATAATTCCTATTTCTTTTTTTTTAGTTTCTGGCTATTTATTACTCGGGGTTGGCATCGTGTTTGTTCCGATTTTCATAACCATCGCTATGTATAAAAGGAGAACTGGAAATTTGATAGAGGTATGTATTTTACAATGATAATTTAATATTCGAGCCCCAATCAATACAAAACCGCCTATTTGCTCAGCTTATGTTACGGTTAAAGGGATGTGTAAATTTACAACTACACTAAAGACTTAATCTCTACTAATATTATAAAGGTGAAGACTTTGCCCATTTATTTGTTTGTTCGAAAGCACCAATCTCACGAAGTAGTGGTTCAAATTGAAAAATTATTATTTTTTGATGGAAACATTTATCGAGAAAGGCTTTAGGCTATAAAACATTAGGTCGTGACCAATAGAAGCGAAGAAAAACGGGTCAAATGATTAATCTATTAGGGATTCCGTTGCAAAAACGATTCACGATACCCAAAAAACATGCGTTAATTACGTCCATCAGTCCATAGTAACAATTTATGTCTCTTAAGATGAACTCACAAGAACTGGTTTAATGAAATTTTGTAGAAATACTTTTTAAGCCAAAAAAACGTTCACCAGGTTAGCTATTAACATTATACGTTTAACAAAATATAAATTATGTGTCGTTATTTTATATGTAGTCTTTTCGTTAAATACCTAAATCATTTTTCTTATTCGATTTCAGCTAAACAGTTGTCAATGTTTTTAATTGTTTATCAAATTACAGACTATTAAGAAAGCCTTCCATGCGAAGAATACTTGGAGTCCCAGATCACCAGCTCTGAGTCGAGAATGGAGAGCCTTCAAAGCTGATGCTAAAGAAGCGAGGTTGTTGCAGTGTTCCTCGAGGCTCAAACATCTTGCGCTAAGTTTATGGGGAGGCTATAAACGGTCATAGTTATATGTTTAAGAAATGCCTTAATAAGAGCTAGCTGCTTAAAAGCAGTAGGTAATCGGTGGTGATTTTTACCATTGCTGTAAAATATTTGGTTGTAAATGAATAGTCTCATTGTACTTAACTGTTTTATGGACTATTACAATGTATGCTCGAGTTGTAATCGGCGAAAATTAAGATATAAACGCATAAAACTATGAAATTGCTATAAGAAAATTTGTGCCACCTTCAATTTAAAATTACCACAGTGACGAATAGTGTTGTATTTAATAATCATAAGGCGATATGTATCGTTATATCTGTGATAGTATTATTTTATTTATAGGCACTCTATGGAAAATTTATCATCGTTTTTTATCTACTACACACAATCTTGTTAGACCATAGTGAGTTCCTTAGAGCCACTTAACAAAAATAATTATCTGACGATTAAAGATGGTTATTTCTAAAATCTAATACCACATTTCATGTTTTATCAAAGCATATGATTGCTTTGATAAAACTAATTGCTATTGCACAATTAATCAGCAGTTTTGACCGGACTCGCTGCTCCGCTGACATTGACAGACCATATGGCTAGTAATTAATTGGTCGTCGGTTTAATTCCATCCCGGTATAACATGGTTCTGAACATCCATTAATAATTCATCTGATACATGACTTAATTTGGAAATTTGATCGCGATCACGTCACAGATAAGGCGGAAGATGTTATTCGGTTTCGGTCTGTGGATTCCGAATTTCGAAAGCCGAAAAAGATCGCCAGCGCATCTTATTAAATTGTTTTATAGCTGGGTTATTCATCTTCTGTTATAAAAAGTTCAAACCCACATTTCTTGCAATAATAATAAAATAAAGACTATGGAGTAACTATTGATTGAACTTCTTCATTGGTTGCGCTCTTTTTCTAGATAGCTTATTTAGATATTAGCTTATTTAGCTAGATACCTTTCATTCTGTAAATAGAAAAATAGTAAGTATATTCACATTTTATACAGTATAAGTGTTGTTAAATAGGTTTTAAAATTAGCGTAGGATTTTAGATATAATTAAATGTCATAAAACTGTAAATTATTGTGTAACATGAATAAAGTAATCAATTCAATAAAAAGTGTAATTCATTCCTTTGATTTTGAAACATTTAAAAACAATTAAAGGTGATCTCTTATTATATATAGTCATCGTTATTGTAATTTCTCAGACTAAAAAAAATATAGAGAAATTAAGCAAATATATTCGTGATATCAGTCTATTATCAAATGATATGACAATATTTATATCAAAAAATAAGGTAACATATGTACGTGACAGATATTTAAGAAATATTAATAAGGGGGCTTCGGCCAAGATAACATTCTTTCTTACAGTCTTTATGTCTGCTAGTATTGATTAAACAAAACCCATATATTAAACGAAGTTAAATAAGCCATAAGACTTATAATTTTTAATGATTTTCAGCCGCCTATTAATTAATTAAATCGTAGGTTCGACTCTCTGGAGTTCCGGCATGGTTCTAAAATTAATGTTTATTCATCTATACTAATATATAAAGGTGAAGAGTTTGTTTGGACGCGCTAATCTCAAAAACTACGGGTTCGAATTGAAAAAATCTTTTTGTGTTGGTAAGGTTAAATACCTTACCAACACAAAAATAATTTTATAGAAGGCTATTAAACATCACGCTGTGACTAATAAAAGCCAAGATACAGCGTGAAAAGTGAACAAAACGATGGAAATTTTCCATCTTTGTGGGTCCCTGTTACGTACGCTGCGAAAACGGTTCGAGATAACCTAAAAATTAGTATGAAAGAATTATTCATTTTCAAATGATCTAAAAAAAAGTCCGCGACGTTATATGTCTATCTTATAAGATTAGCTTGTAAGAACGTCGTGGCTAACAGCTTATGTTTATAAAGATGACGGGGTTTGCAAAACCTAATTTGGATGCCCAAAATAACAATTCTCGCGGACGAACTCTCTGGCACAGCTAGTATTATGATATTAAACGGGTGGTAGAAATATAAATCTTCCACTCAGGTCTTTCATCGCGTTTCTGTATGTCCAATCAAACGTTAAGGAGTAAATTTTTACCTTCCATCGAGGTTTCTTCAAACTATTGTTTGTCTTCTTTGACATTACTGTTTTTTAATGTACTGTTTTGCATACTGGGATTAAATTACTTATTTAACCTTATGTTTGTCTGTTCTCCTCTGTCATAAACAAGCCCCAAGGATATCGCAAACCAGATACATAGAGATACAGCAAACAGATAGGAAAGCTTTCGTTATCTAAATCCAAGTGGTACATAAATTAATATTCTCTAAACGTAAAGACATCTTACAATAAAAAGATAATTCATAATTGATATGATTTAATACTTCACGTGTTCTGAAATGTGTTTGGGAATTCGGACTTGACAAAAATTACTAAGTTATGTCATGTTAATTACAAAAGTAAAAAATCGCGTTCTATAGTTTTCTTACACGTTTTAACACAATTGGTTCATGTTGAACCTTAATTAACTTGAGGCGAATTAGTCTTTTGGTTTAAAATCAAATTTAATTATTTCCTTTATCAATAAGCTTTCGTCATCACGTGTTTTCAATACGTAACGCTTTTTAGGGTTCCTTACCCAAATGTAAAAGACCGTAATATCACCTTTTACGAAGACTTGTCTGCATATCTGTCTTTCTTGTATGCGTTGCAACGCGGTAACAAAGTTATAACGATTATGTTCAAAACTATTTCTATTACAAAAAAATACTGAAAGCAAAATAAAACACCTGTGTTACAAAGGAATACGATTCTTATCTCTATCCACTTATTCTTATCCTATAACAATCTACTGTTGCAGAATAATTTTCGTCTGAATTTATTCGTGTATTGGTTTAGGAAAAATACCGGAAAACGATTAAACGATTTTATGTACTTTATATTTGTAAGGAAAATTCCGTTTTGGTTTTTGAAACTAAAAGTAACGATAGGAAAAAAAACTAAGTATAAATATTACACAACTACATGTACATGTATGCCATGAAATGAAAGGAAAGGATATGATTATTTTATTAGCTTTTTAACACATATAACAGGCGACCTAGTTTATTTCTTAGTGGACTCCAACTTTAGTGGTTTTGTTAAGAGGGGATAATCTAGATAACTTTTGATAACAAAACTACCGACTTTTATCAAGGTCTAACCTTTACTCTGATTCTTTGATAAAGGAGGTCCTCGATAAAAAAGAGATGTTAATAAATTCTAGTGTCATTGTACATTGTTCAGGGGGTCGAGTGATGCAGTACATTCGAGTTTTATCCAAATAAAATAAACTTTTAAAATTAAATAATAGAATTAAATTTATAAATTAATTAGAAGTGAAGCTATGAATTCCGACCCGTTAAGTGTAAATATAGAAAATGGAGTTCGTGAAAACAAAGGCTTCGGTCCAAGTCCTGAATCGACCGATATCTCAGAAAACAAAAAGGAAAAGAATGAAAAAGAAAGCGATTTGGATAAAAAGTTAAGGGTAAGTTATAACTTAGGTCTATCTTTTGGTTGCCTTTAACTAAGAATTAAAGTAAATGTGAAATATTTTTTGTTAAATATTTATTTATATACACATAATTAAAGAAAAAAATTATTAAATTAAGTATTATCGGCTTTGTATAAAGTTAAAGGGGCCTTTTAATTATTTTTCAATTGTAGAATTATACAGATTCCTAATATAGGAAACATACTTTTTGTATAAAATAGACAATAATAGATCAGTAGGCTAAGTAAAATCCTCGCAAGGATTTCGCTTTAAACATTTTTATCACGTGAATATTAAAAGTAACTTTCCAATATGCTGTCAAAAACTTTTACAAATAAAATTTACAAGCTTACGTTTTTAGATTGATGTCGGATAATAGTGTATATATAATAAGTAATTTAATTTGGTTCTTACAATAGAATTTATAGCGGAAACAGTGTAAAAGAATTTGAATATATTTTTTTATTTGTATGACTTTTCCTATATTGCTAATTTAGAATTAATATAAAAAAAATACACATCTAGTAATTATATCTTATTTTATGTACTATCATTTAGCATTTTGACTACTTCTCAATGTTAAAAAATATGCGCGTTTTGTATTTGTGGATGAACTAAAAAGTTTGCTAGACTGTAAAAATAATGTACAATAGCACTTTTAAGTTTATAAAGAAAATATAGTATTTACAGATAACAGAGTCGTAATAGTCTGTAGAATCACGACGAACGGACAGACAAACATATTATTTTTATTTTTATTATAATATTTAGTTTACATATAAGTGTGAAATTCCTTATTCTGTCTCTTCGTGTCTCTGTAAGTCCTTTTCACAGATTTCTTCTTTTGTGCTCTGTCCGACAGAAATTTTCATTCTCAACCACACAGACGGTTTTTACCTCATAGATACAATATAATCGATCAAATTATCACTCGAATTAAACAGTTGTAATAATAATTGATGAAGTAATCGAAACGAATTTTACAATTAATAAAATCCATCAAACACCGTAATAACATTTGACACATAAAATAAATGGATCAGAATGTTACGTAAAAACCACTTATCAATGATGTTTTCCATCAGACTTCGGGCTCTATATTGAGCTAGATACTGAAACATATTTAAAAAACAAGAGGAACTGTCCAGTAAATGTTGAATAACACTTTTATCACAGATTTTGTATAGAAACACTTATCTCTATGTAATCCCTGCCAGTTGCATTGCATTTGAACGGTAAATATTATTATCATTCATGAGTGTGCATTATGATGAATTATTTTTCTTGATTTCACTTAATCAAATCATGATCGTGATATTTCACTGCGTATCTATAAAAACAATGATGAAAGAATTATGCATAGACAGTGTGTCCACTCTAAAGGTATTAACGCAAGCAAATACCTGGAGTTGTTATCCCGCCCATGCTACGTTTCGCAAAAACCACAGATAAGGGCTATTTTGCCACCTTTAATAATTTACACTAACTAAAAGGAACTTTAATTGGAATTTCAAACATTCATTTATATGTTTAATGGTCGAACTTCCTCTGTAAATTTACATATATAAAGAAAGTATTTTGGACTGTGTGTGTAAAACGTTATAACTTCTGAAGTCTGGCTATTTGCCAGGCAAACCCGGGGTGGGTGCTAGTATTTTAAGTTAAGAATCTCAACATAAATAAATTGCTTAAAGTAAATGACAGACAAAATATCACAAACGTCATTCGCATATCACAAGAGACGCAGGGGGTTTAAGATATTGACGTACACGCTTAATAAATTTGTTATTTTGCATATTATATAATGGCACAATTGCAAATGCATGAGTGAGAATGACCAGTGAAAATTTTGCGATTCTCGGTTTAAGATACCTTGCTGTTAAGAGGTGTCGTCTATACTAATATATAAAGCTGAAGAAGTTCGTTTGTTTGTTTGAACGCGCCGATCTCAGGAATTCAATGGAAATATTATTTTGTGTTGGTTAGAGTATTTATCGAGGAAAACTAAGGGCTATAAAACATCGCCTTGTGCCTAATACAAGCAAAGATAAAGCGGGAAATGTAAAAAAAAATGATAAATATATTCATCATTATGGGTTTCCGAGACCCAAGAAATGTGTATGAAAGAATGATTTTTCTTTAAATGATGCAAAAAAAAGTCCGCGACCAATCCCCACAATCCCCCGCGACAAGTCCCAAAATAACAATTTTACGCGGAAAAAATCGCTGACACAGCCAATACTGTACCACTAAAATAACCTTTGATAGTATTAGGGGTTTAGTTACTGTATGTAGGTACATTACAATCGATGTTAACTAATAATCAATTTCTAATAATCGATTTTATATAATAAAAATCGGCATGTGAAACACATATGTAAATTTTCATAACCGTAACATATTTGTCACTTTTATACAATCTACGATAATCTGTGATAATCTTTATTGGCTAATTATTTAATAGAGGATGGATATTACTATCGAGGATAAAATTTTACTTATTTGTTGTACCTGATATTTATTACCCACAATATTATTTTATATGTCAATGGCATTTTCCTGAAGGTCTCGTGACGATGTAGCCCGTTTTTATGACGTCATATAACCTGTGGCTAGAAGACACAATTTAATTCTTCTAAGTATTAACATTTTTTATTACACGTCTAAGAAGCCGCGACACGTCGGGTCGTACTCTTACATTCTACATTAGATCTCTTTTTAACTGGTTTAACTTAGTCCCGTAAACTTCAGATACACTTTTATAAATATTAAGATGTTGTGTGTTTAATTTCTTATGTTTTGTTCTATCTCTTTCAAAGAATATAAAAGTCTTATTCTCATTTGTCCATGTGAGAAATATTCAAAGCATTCGGACGGGACCTTTAATGCTTCTTCTATTATTATTTTTCGATCAAACTCTAGATTACCCTTCTAATTAGTTAGTCACTTAACTTAAAGCCTTGGTATAATAAAAAACTTAAGAAATATTTTGTTGGAGGTACAGAGCGCTTAAACTTAGAATAACTGTACCTTTGAAAATCTATGTTAACATGCGTAGGTCTTATTTCACAAATCTTTTAATATGATAGAGGAGGATAGAATAACATTTTTATTTGAGTGATTCATTAAAATATTTTTGATGGAAACCTTTTTTAGGTGACCAGTGAAAGAATAAATTCGAGACCAAAATGGGACAATCCAATCGAATTCCTTATGTCTTGCATCGCTACCTCAGTGGGACTGGGAAATGTTTGGCGGTTTCCCTTCGTCGCTTACCAAAATGGCGGCGGAGCTTTCCTCATTCCTTACATAATAGTGCTCTTAGTAGTTGGAAAACCGATGTACTATTTGGAGTTGGTACTTGGACAGTTTAGCAACAGTAATAACATTAAAGTCTGGGCGATGTCGCCAGCTATGAAAGGTAAGTACTTTAGTATTTTTGCAAATGTTAGGGAGGGTAGATGGAGAAGGAGAAGAGGTGGAGGAAGGGGTTTATTAGCTGACCGTTTTAATATTTCAATTATAAATATATAAACAATACTGACTATAGTAAAACATATTTATTGGTATAAACGAAAACGATGGCGTTTAAAGCATCTTCAGCAAGCACCTTCTCATAAGGAAGGTTCTCTAAGGAATTATTTAAAATTTAAAATGTAACGAAGTCTTCTCATCGCTTTCAGGTACTGGATATGCACAAGCTCTTGGGGGAGCTTACATAATGAGTTATTACGTGTCGATTATTGCCCTTTGTCTTTATTATTTGGCAATGAGCTTTAGCTCCACCCTCCCGTGGGCGTTGTGTGACGAATCTTGGGATGACTGTGTCCCTTCAGGGCAATCTGTCAATGCCTCGATGACAGGAAATGCTACCAGCAGCGCCGAACTGTATTTCACGTAAGAGTTTAAAATATTATTTCGATAAAAGCCACACGAATCTTTACGCCTACTCAATTTATATAATTAAAGAACGTTCTATGTTTTATTCTACGAGTGATGGCATTTTTAATTACATTAGTTGCTCTATAATAATAACTTTAATGAATTTTTAGGAAAGTTGTATTGCGTCAGTCTAAAGGAATACACGACGGAATCGGTAAGCTCAAAACTTTATGTATTCTTGTATCTAATTTTTATACTAGAAATAGTGTGTATCTACATTAAATTAATCATTAAGAAATTATTATCGAACTCAATGAATCCTGTTTATCTGTCTACATACGGTTAAGATTAGGGTATATTACCTAATACGATAATCCCAAAAAGTACTTGAAAGATATTGTAACAATAAATTAAGATCGGCTTGAGACAGCGCATAGTGTTCGTTTCATTTCATTAAAATGCGCCAGAAAATAGTCCTGTTATTGTAGTACGCGTATATGCCTATTAAAAAATTTAAACAAGTATTTAAGTTCGTTGTCATTAGAATTAACTTTCTGCCGAAACATACGAACTGACGGACGAACTAACGGACAAGAAATGTAGTAAATAATAATAAAATATAGACATTGTTATTATGGCTTCGATGATAGGTATTGATAAAGTGATAATCTTAAATTTATTACTTTGCATATAAAGTTTGTTTATCGTTCTTAAGGAAATATATCAATTACCCAATATATGTTTTACTGAGTAATTTGTGTTATTTAACAATGTAATTATTTTCAGGTCTCCCGCTATGGGATCTAACGCTATGCTTATTAGCGTCGTGGGTCATAATATTCTTTATTGTGGCTCGTGGGGTTAAGAGTACAGGAAAAGCCTCCTACTTTCTCGCCCTTTTCCCCTATGTGATTATGATAATTTTACTTATAAGGTGTGTATTTATTTTTGAGTGTGGTCGAAATAGAAAAACAAAACAATCGCAAATTGAAAAGAAATCCTTATAATACAAGCCTTATAATAGAAGCAGTTTTAAAGACTAAAAGGGATTTGAGCATCAAAAGCATTATGTTGTTGTTGTGTAATGGTAGCAACGTATAGCTAATAATCAACGTGGGTTCGATCCCCACCAGGACCAACATATTTCCAATCTATTTGTAAGTTTTCTGAAACATGTTGCGCTTCGTCTATAAATGTGAATATTAAACGGGCGGTAGAAATATCCAAATTCCTTCTGGGTCACGAACAACCGTCCGTAAATAGATGAAAAAGTCGTGAAATTTAATCGCGTTTCGGTTTCAGTCTGTAGAGATCCGAATATCTCTGTCATAAAAAATGTTTTACTGGGATCCAATACGATGATAACTACTATCACCAACCAACCGACCTTCTTACTTAAAGTATAGATACTTAATGGTTGCTCTGAAATATTGTATCTAATAATATATTTTTATACTTCAGAGCCGTGACACTGCCAGGAGCCGTAAATGGAATATTGTTTTTTATAACACCCGAATGGAGCAAAATTTTACAAGTGCGGGTATGAAAATCGTTTTGAAATTATTAAAATATACGTAAAAAGTTCTTTATAAATCTGGCTAATGGACGAATAATCTGGTGAATTATAAAGTTGCAATATGTTTCGATATAAGGGCATTTTTGACTTAAAAAAACTATTAGCCATTATACTCCCAATAAATAAAAGTCACGAAGATTTTAATAAACAATTTATATACTTTTAGGTGTGGTACGCAGCTGTCACGCAAGTGTTCTTCTCTTTATCTGTATGTTCTGGAGCGCTTATTATGTTTTCTTCTTACAACAAATTTGAACAAAATGTCTACAGGTACAAATTTTTTCTAATCATTAATTTTAAGTCACACACTAAATAGGTACGTATGTAACGATATAAAATCGATATATTATATATTTTGTTTCTACATTACCTTATTTACGTTGACAGTTATTTTTTCTCATAAACCTACTCGCATAAACTAATTCCGATTTATATCTTCTAGAGATGCAATGATTGTCACCACTTTGGACACTTTTACGAGTCTACTTTCCGGAATTACAATCTTCGGGGTTCTAGGGAACCTTGCTTATGAATTGAATTACGATGACGTCAGTCAAGTTATCGGCACTGGAGGGACAAGTTTGGCCTTTATATCCTATCCTGATGCTATAGCCAAGTCGCCCGTAGTACCTCAGGTAAATGTCCTAATTTCTTCGAATGCCCCATGATTCGTTTAGCTCAAAAAACTGAAGCTTTTAGTAGAGAGAGAATACCATAGATAATTTTGTAATCCCAATTTTTCATTCAATCTTCCATTTTTATGTTAGAAGAGGGCAGACAAGCACGGAGTGCACTTGTTGTTAGGTGTAATACCCCAGTCATATAACATCTGAACAAGATGCGTTGACGACGTTTTGCCTTTGGATATTCGGAATCCATAGCCTGAGACCGAAACGCCATTCAACTTTATCTCACAGATGCCTGTGAACGGTATAATCCTATGTTTCAGAAAAATCCAAGCTTTTTGTTTAGAAAAATGTTGGATCCGGTGGGGATCCATCCCACGACCCGTTGATTATTAGTCATACATTGCTACCATTACACAAACGATACCGTCACTTTAATTTCAGCTATTTGCGGTTTTATTTTTCTTAATGATGGCCGTGCTAGGCGTTGGTTCTGGCGTGGCGCTACTTTCTACCATCAACACAGTACTCTTGGATTCATTTCCGTCAGTGCCGACGGTGTACATGTCTGGAGGAATATGTGTTGTAGCATTTCTGGTCGGCCTGGTCTACGTTACACCGGTAAGTAAATCTTTAGATCTAGCTATTGCGTTTCCTATAAACGCAATCATTCCGGGTAGATGAAAGTATAAATATAAGCATTATGTATGAACAAAAAATCATTTGCTAAGTTTCTGATTGCGCCTAACATTCAGTATAAATTCTTGTAGAGGATATGTTCAATTGGACCACGATACTCACTTTTAATATTAAAAAATACTCGACTTTAATATTTAATAATAGAATAAAAATTATAAGAAATGCATTTCTCTAAGCACGAGGTCCTGGATGTTAAATTATTTGTAATAGCTTAACAGAACTTCAATAAGCTATAAAATTGTATTTTCAGGGCGGTCAATACGTACTTGAAATAGTAGATTATTATGGAGGAACTTTCATGAGGTTATTTGCAGCCATTGCAGAAACTATTGGGGTATTCTGGATTTACGGTACATTTGGCTAAAGTTTATTATATTGTTTATTAATTATTGGTATAATTTTTTATATTCCAGAAATATCCTTTTATTGTTTACAGGGCTAGAAAACCTTACTATAGACGTACAGTTTATGTTAGGAAAGACAAGTTCCTTCTATTGGAGAATCTGTTGGAGTATTGTTACTCCTATTTTGATGATAGTTGTATTCTTTTATGCAATGATTACGACAGAGAGAATACTTTTCGGCGGTACTTACGAATATCCAGCTGCGGCCTACAGTAAGTATTGTTAATACTTACGTAATGGAAGTAGAAAATGTACCTATATCTAAAATGTCTGTAACAGTTGCAGGAAATTGTCTTCAATATGCCGGTATAGCTATGATCCCTTTATTCATAATAGCAGCTTTATGGAAATATAGATCAAAGAGCATAGTAGAAGTAAGTCTCACCCCTTATAGATTCAATTTATTAGTTTCTTCAATAATAATCACTTTATTTGTAACATTATCTGTTTGTAGACTATAAAAAGAGCATTCAGTAAGAAGCCAACATATGGACCAGTGAACTTAGAAAAACGCAAAGAATGGCAAGAGTTCAAAAGAAATGCTAAAGAAAATCGAAATAGGTTAAGAAAAAACTGGTTTCACCACCTTCTCGTTATTCTTTTCCGTGGATACCAAAGATAGTCTTTAATTTTCCGTTAGCTTTATTATTAATTATATTATTATGACTAGTTAATGTGGATGTTTTATTAACCAAACCCTTCCTTTCTAATTTTATTCTTTTAGCGAAGGAAGCCTTGGCTTTAGGGGCTCATAAAATAAAACAATACTGAAAGTCAATAAGCTGTATTTCACCAATTGAATACGTAACACTACACAAATACACATACTATATGGAAAATTATAAGAGATTTAGAATTTAGAACATTCAAAGATTTTTGAAGGACCTTACCTACTAAGCCATCAATCGCAGTTCGAATTGGAGGTGAATTTTTGATAGTGTTTTGTCATTATTCCACAGATAAAAATAAGATGCTTAAATATTAAACTTACTTATATTTAGATTTCTTCTTCTTCTTGCTTGACTTTTTCTTATGCTTACGTTTCTTTTTCTTCTTCTTATCAGAACTGGAATCCGAATCACTATCGCTTTCACTTGCAACGCGTTTCTTCTTCTTCTTCGTCCGTTTTCTCTTCTTTTTGCGTTTACGAGCATCGGAAGAAGACGATGAGCTCGAATCATCAGAACTCGAAGATCCGCTTTCGGTTTCGGGTTTTTTCTTAACATTTGTGAGATCTAATTTTATAGTTTCGGTTTCAAACTTAGGTTTTTTTGAATTATTAGGACCAGGAGAAAGGGAATGCTCTCGTTTTTTGCCAGATTCATCTTTTGTTTCATTTTCAGATTCTACATTTTCGTCATAATCGGGTTCAAAGTGTGCTTCATCGAGAGTAGACTTCTTGCGTTCCTTTTCATTTACTGATTGTGATTCTGTTTTATCATGGTCTTTGTGAAGAATAGTTTTGTCATCAATAGCTGATTTTTTCTCTTCCTTTGCGGTCTTGTCTTTCCTTTTAATCTCATGCCTATTGTCGTCAAGTTTCACAACTTCTGCCTTGACTCGTCTTTCTATATTACGGTCTTTTGAATGCTCAGCCCTATTTTCTAACTTTCTACTTTTATCCTTTTCTACAATTACTCGACGCATAGAACTTTGTTCCTTCTTGGGTGTTTTAGATCGGGATTTTACTCGTTCTACTGTACTTTGCACAACACGAGGTTCCCTACTCTTGTGTAAATTCTCAACTTTACCACCAAGCCTTTCTTTAACAGACAAGCGAGGCGGTGGAGTTTTAGAATACCTTCCTTTTTTATCAACATTATCTACTGACTTTCGTTCCAAATCAGTAATTGGAACAGTTATTTGAATATTATTTACCAAGGATTTTGGTTGCTCATCCCCGTACAGTTTTAACCGATCACCGCTGATTTTTTTTATTTCTATTGGGCGCAAGGAGTTTATAGCCTTCGCGAATATCGCCTTTTCTGCACGTTTTATAACCTCAGATGTTACTTTCCTAGAGTTCTCTTCATCTGCAGACGTTATTTCTCCGGGCTCTTTTGCTTTCTCTGGATCTTCATCAACTTCCCATTTTGACAATGCCGGCAATGGAGCCAAAACTTCTTTGTTCGCACTTGAAGGAACATCCATATCAGCAGCAAGTTCATCTACAGCGGGCTGCAATTCTATACCGTCAAATGGTTCATCTCTAACTGCTGTATCTTTTACTACCTCATTACCCTCGGCACTTTCTGCTTTTATATAGTTTTGTAAAATTATTTTATCGACAGCTTCGGCTGCTTCATCACCATATAAATCATTTTTTAAATCCTCAGGTTCAGTTGTCCTTTCCTCTTCTTTTATTACAGTTGAGTCTCCTATATCTCTAATATCCGTAGAATTCGTTTCTTTCTCTCCTTCTGTTTCTACTTTTGGCTGCAGTGTTTCTACTAGAATATTAGCTTTTTCATCGTCTTCATCTTTTTTACTCTCTTTTCTTTCCTTTTTGTCACGCTTTTTCTTCTTTTCGGTTTCTCTATCCTTTTCTTTTTCACGTTTCTTTTTCTTGCGATCTTTAACTTTTTTATCTTTCTCTTTGTGATCTTTAGTCCGCTCAGTTGATGATTTTTCACGAGCTCTCTCTTCCTTCTTTTCTTTCCTACTTTCACGATCACGTGACTTTCCCCGTGATTCACTTCGACGCTTTTCACGTACATCGCGAGATCGCCCTTTTCTGTCTGGTGTAACGCGTTCATGACCTCGGTCTTTATCATAATCTCTATTTCTGTCATGCTCTCGTACTCGATCTTCTCGTGAAACTTTTTCACTGCCACGAGGTCTATCCAGTCTATCCGAGTTTTCACGACCATCAGGATACCTTTCCCTTGATTTTTCTCTTTCAGGACCATTTCGCCTAGATCCTCTATTACGCGATGAATTGCTAGATCGATAACCTTGCCTGTTATCACGACTTTCATCTCTTAATCCTTCGCGAAGGGAGGGGTCGTGGAATGGCGCTATCTGTTCTCTTGGATCTGCGCTAGGAGGTCTAAACGGTGCTCCACCTTCACGGAAATTATGGGAAATATTATCTCTATAATTACCATCACGATATGCCGTACCCCTATATGAACTGTCCCGAAATTGCGGCGGTCCACCTCTATAGCTCGCGTCTCGTGGACCCGGTGGACCTTGGTCTCTATACGGTATAGATCCACCATCACGATATGGCGGTCCCGGTCTGTAATTATCTCTGTAACGGTCTACATGAAGAGGTGCCATCTCATTTTGAATTGGCGGAACAGGGCCATCTCTGAAACCATCAGTATATGCTGGCGGGCGATAAGGATCTCGATAGTTTGGTGGCGGTAATCTATCACGTTCTATTGAACTAGGTGGACCAAACTGCTTATCAAAAGGTGGTGGCTCGAAACCAGGTACTGGCGGCTCTACGCCAGGCGGAATATCGTCGAAACGACCCCGATAGCCCGGTGGAAGAACATCAGGAATTGGTTGGATATTAAGACCCATAAGTGCAACTGGTTTCGCTCCCGGAGGAGGGTATACAGGTCCAACATTGTTCCTCGGCCCATATCTGTAAAAAAAATACAAATGAATAACATATTAACAAATACTAGCTCTATAAAGTCGAGGTTCTATAGTTTACTATAGTCTAGATTACTTTAACGAACCGAACCTGGCGATATTTAACTGCAAAAACGATTCAACTATTTTAAACAACAAGAAAAACTAACAATACTATTTATATGGTATATAAAAATTTTATAACACATTCCTCTAAGATATTAATTGTAAAAGATAAGTTATATCACAAAGAAGACAGTAATTGATGCTGCCTGCTATGGCACAATGCGTCTCTACTGGTCAACAAAGACCAAATAAATAGGAATTCGGAATACAATTTAAACATAATATTATCATAGATGTAATGAGAATGTAATTCCACTTCTTTCGGCCTTGATGGCAGCAACTGAAAAATAAATATCTGGACAATTTAATAGTGTTGCAATCATTTAGAATTCTAACATGAATTAAGACATTGTCTATTGCAATTAATTTCTCTACGGGGATATTAAAACCATATTGGAACAGAAAAAAATGTTTTTATTAATACAGTTTAGAATTGTAAGAACAGAAATAAGTACAATTAACAATACAAATAAAATAATAGTAAAGTTTTTAAAATACAAGCAAAACAACTGTCAAAGCAGCACGTATAATTTTATACTTTCTATTTCATAACAATTTATTATTTAATTGTCAAAAAAGGAATTGCAATGTATATGAAAATATTAAGATGAGGAATGATTAAATACTGTCTATAGTTTATGCGAGTAGTACACATTTAAATAAAACACTTCAACGGTTTAAAACGCGATATCCTAGTTAAAAATCAATTTCAAATAACTTTAACCAATATATCGCGTTTTAAACCGATAAAGTGTTTTATTTAAATGAGGGATGATGTTTCCTCTCTGCAAAAAAAATATCTTTATTTTTGCAGTGAGGAAACCTCATCCTTTAATTAAATAAATGCGTGATTATCATAAAAATGTATACAGAACATTAAAACACTATATATACTATATATAATATTACTTAGCTTATTTAAATGTAAAAGTAACTTACATATTAAAATACTTAACAGCAATGAGACAGTTAGGACATTTAAAAACATTAACAATATCAAAACTACATTCCAAAGTTTATAAAAAAAAACTATTGTCTTAATTGAATATACAAATTGCTTGTAATAACTACTAAACTATATCTTTGCTTTGAAACGACTTTACGTACAAAACACAATGTTATTTAGCAATCGTTAATTTTTTAAAAAGGAAGACAAAGTTGAACTTCACAAAAGAAAAGATATCAGGCCGATATAAAGATATATAGTTGAGATACTTGGCGACGCTGCATTTGAGATTTTGTGCGTCAGTACAGCGCTATAGGTAGCATCTAGGTCGTTCATAGAAAACTATACATATCCAAAATGTGTCAAGGCGCAGAGAATAAAAATACAATAATAATTGATTATTGATAATATAAAATGATAGGCAGGAAACTCTATACCACTAGGTACCTATATAATATTTAAAAAGTAAACGAAACAGCGTATTCACAAAATATTACCAGCAAATGTCCAAGCCGAAAGCCAAATATCAAAAAACAATATTATGTGTGTATATTTAGTATATAACGTCGGTAAATTTCTATAAAAAAAAACTTACCACAATTATTATCATCGGAATTAAGAAAATCTAACAGAAAATACATTTTAACACATTTTAACAAAATATAGATCTTTAAAAATGTATAATCGATAAAATCAGTACTTTTACATACATATAAAAATAGTTCTTCACTAATTATTACTGAAGATCTAATTAAGTAATGTACAATTCACACTAATTAAACAAGTATATACAAAAATAGAGGCTTAAACAGTTCATTTCATCAAGACTCATGTTATAAAGAAGCACGATTTGTATTGTTTTGTTTGTCATGGATAAATTCAACTCTAAGTGTGCCTGTGAAAGAAGTGTGTGTTGTGGTGTAACAATGTGTAAAAAACTAAGTAACTTAACGTATATCGTATCAATTTTTTTGACTGACAACTTTTTGCGTTTTTACCGAAGCTAGACAGACAGACAGCTATAATATACATTTTCATAGGTAATCTAGAGGGTCAGCTAATTTTACTCGCATTTTATTCGCATACATATCTAAATAATGCTTCTAATAGTATTTCATTGTAATAAGCATCGAAAATCATTAGGTATTTTTGCCGGTTACGTTATTTGATGAATAATGATTAAAAGGAGGATTTAAAAGTAAAGTAAGTATTTTGTTACTTCAAAATTATAAACGGATTAACAGTATTGACATTATTACCTTGCAAAACCTTTCTTCTGGTCTTTAAACGGTCTGGTGCTTCTTTGGATATAAAGCCTTGCTAATCCACATTTCAAGATACAAGAACCACTCTCAAAATTTACTTGTTGAAACGACGATGCTCGTTTATTTGCCTTAGTGGGCTGAAATTGGATAAGGATTTTCTTCCACTCTCTCATTAGGTAAAATAAGAACGCCATGCCTTACGCATTGTAAGAATAACTCTTCTAATAAATTCACATTGGTTTGGATTTCTTCTTCCCTTCATTCTTGAATCTTCTTAATCTGAGTAATTGTTAGTAGTAGTTCTGCATATAGTGCCGTTTTCTTTTGTCAGTTTTTGTTTTCAAAAAGTTCATTCACTCTTGATACCTATGGCGTCATTTATAAAACAGGGTGCGAATGCGTAGAAACAACATGTCAAGTCGAAAATGATTTATTCAAGTAGGTACTATTTTATACATAACTAAGTACACTTATGAACGTCACACACACAATTTATAACTTCTACCTGTTCTCAAATCAAGGGCGTTAATAGCGAAAATTCATTTGACAGTTTTTACGTACTTTAGTGTACTATATACGTATTTTATCTTATTAGGGCGGGTTCCTCAAAATGTTTGCATACGATTTAAACATTTGATGTTAGTGCTTGCACTTCACTGAGGATTTTATTAAAATACCGGATGAGATTTTACCTTGTAAAGAATTACTACTTATATGGATATTTTTAGTTGGGACACTTACTACGTGTATTGTATTAATAAAAAGTGCCTTATTTTATCTGTCTCCATTTTTTTTAATAAACAAAAGATTTATATAAATATATCGAGATGCAAACGTTAGAATATTTAAAGATATAGAACAGAATCCCTGGGGAAAAGACCACCAATCGCTCGGCTAGTCCGTTTTATATGTAGTTTGAACATTGGCCGTATTACCCCACAAAAAAATACCACAAGATTAATGTCTTATGGTATCACACTGTGGAAGTTACTAAAGTTGACAAGCTTGGTTGTATTTTCTTCAGTAAGCTGTCGTATCGTCTTGTCAGCGTAGGCTGTAAGAGCCTAGTTTATTCCAAGTATTTATCTGTTGTCACAAAAATGATTTTTTAATCCGAAACAATTTCGACTTTAACAAACTAAATCAATATTAAACTACTCTTAAACTATTTATCACGTTTGCTATCACAGTCATTTGATAATTTCAGTCTTAATACACAGGTGTTCGTAATGTTAAATAGCTTTAGCTATAAGCCTTAGCTAGCTAACCATAATCCTCAGAAACATGTTCATAACATTTCATACACGCATTATCATTATTAACATGAAATATAACAAAGGCTTACAATTATTTTATCTTATTATGCTCTCGCATAAAAATACGCCCAAAAAAAATAGGAGTTGGTGATAATTATAAAAATAATTAAAAAAGGTCTGTATCGCGGACTGCTATCATTAAATATTATTTTTACATTCCATTAGCATTCACAGCGCTCCATGCATGTTTGACTTATAAATCTCATACATATATTTTAAGTTACTTTTATCTTAATACATTTTTTTATAAATAATACTAATGTGAAAATAGTACACACAGTAAATAAATTGTACAGAGGGAGGGCACATTCAACTTGGTTTAGTCAAAACATTAGAAAGAAGCATTACTATTTGTATAAAAAAACAATTTAAAAATAATATTTTAATCTGACTTGGTTATAAATGTATAATTAGATATCATTATTTAATAAAAATATGTAACACCTTCACATTCATACACAAAATTAACAATTATTTCATTTAAAAGTATAACTATATTATATTTATTTAAACGAAACAATTAACTTCTAAGAAGTATTTACTTAATCGAAAAACATACACAATACTTAAATAAATAAAAATATTTTAACCATCGAAAATTTGTAACTTTTATAACTAATTAGACATGTATAAACAGATTTAGTACATAACAGTTTGAACAGACGATAGCTTTTAAAAAGGCTACAAAATATTCATAGATTTTAATTTATGGAAGTCCTTATACTATGAAATTTCGTACAAAAGTTTATGTTATGATTAGTGATAATAAACTATTCATTGGTGATAAGCGAGGATTAGACCATAACTGTCAAGTAGATAACTTACTACGCATTTAGTAATTCGACACTTTAATTGTAATAATATAATACGGTATGATAAAAGTAATATATAATAAATACTTATTTCTACCACGCTTAACATAGGATGGTAATTTTGACAATACTCGCTAATGAAAGTATTTATTTTTTTATTTAACTTTCCTAAATAATATCGTATTTTACTGACTAAAAAATTAAATAAGTTTAAAGTAAATAAAGGGATCTAAATAATAATTAACACTTTGTAATAAATCAATAGTCGAACATATTCACAATCATTTCGAATCAGCCCAAGCCTGTTGTGAGTTGTTAAAATATCATCCTATAGACAGCGTGTAATAATATCACAAGACTAGAGTATAGTTAAAAATAAGTTAAACTCGATGCGTCGAAAGAAACCAGCTCCACACTCACTTCGCAATCGGATAGGAAAATAGACAGGGAGCCTTGTTACTTTTACCGAAGTCGGTTTCAACAATAAAATGTTAAATATAAATGCATATAATATATGGGAACATGTCAAAACGATTGAATCGCGTCTGTTTATAGAGGACTGGAACGGCAGGTTCAATCCGATATCGTTAAATGGGAAGCGCTGCGTTTGGACGCTATTTAAACTGTTACTATCGTACCTGCCACCGAAGGACGGCTCACTACGACGCGGCGGTGACAACAATTCGTCGTAAACTCCCGTAAATCTGAAAGGACGTGAAATAGACTTTAAATAATTCAAACTTAACTAAGTAAAATATTTATACAAAGGTGTACTATATAGCTGTTACTAGCAAAACATAACATAAGTTAAGAATTGGAAATCTTTGAATGTTCTGAGAATAACCACAGAACGCTGGTCGGGTCCCGCCAGTATCGTGCATTTTTTCAGTTCGAATAGATGTTTAATTTATATAATGCCATCATGTGCAATTACATGGGAACAATATTAAAGTTTTTAAAAGTTAGGCAGTTAACTAACGTGTTATAATATCTCTACTAATGTTTCATAACTCACGTTAATAAAACACTTTAACGGTTTCAAACGCGATATATTAGTTAAACTTATTTGAAAATTATTCTAACTTCGACGCGACGTTTCGGATGCTTGCCAGTTTCGCCAAATACCAACTTCGACGGAACAAATGGCGGTAGTGTAGCAATTTTTACTTTGACGTCAAAGACATCCTCCACTTTTAGTCTCCCCGTGACCACGGCTGCTGCAAGGCATCCGATACGTCGGGCCGAAGGTAAAATCATTCTCAAATAAGTTTAACTAATATATTGCGTTTTAAACCTTTAAAGTGTTTTATTTAAATGTGTACTACTCGCGTAAACTATAGACAGTATTTTGTATTTTTTTTATGTAAATAAATGCAGGGAGGTTATATATCTAATAATCATATACCTATGTGGTGACAGCGGCCGAGGTGAGCGTGGCCCGCGATGCGGCGAACGCATAGGCGAGTGCGGGAGCACAGCGCGTGGGGGAGAGCGCAGCGGAGAGCGTAACGGGGTCCGGACTACGGAACGCATCGGGGAACGGCCTCCCGGTGAACGCATTGCCGAGCGGTAGCGCATCGGTGAGCGGATCCGGCGACGTGGTGACGGCGACCTGCATTTGCAAAGGTTTGCTTATATTATAAAAAAAAACGTATTTTTTGCTTTAGTAGATGTTATATGGCTGGGGTAGTTCACCTAATGGGCATGCATAGCATGGGATTTCATTAAGTAAACCCTCTATCATAAAAAAAAATATATTTAGACTTTAGAGGATGATAAGTTTAACATGTGAATCGTGTATAATAAATGAATTAAAGATCAAATACTACAGCTCTAGCAAGTCTTAAAAATATGGTCAGGGAAAGGATATAAATAAATATAACGTAATACATTCATTTTCTGTCGACCTTCTGTAAAATAGTAAGGCAATAAACAATGCTACCCTAAAACTTTAACTTTTTATCACACTTGTCACCCCATATTGTTCATAATAAAGGCACAACAATTAGTAAGCTATTTACACACCGTGATAAAGACATAGTTCTGTCCCTAGAACGTCTTCTCCTTGGAGACCAGGGCGAACGACGTAAGCGGCCACGAGATATCGAACGCGATCTAAAATGAAACAATTATTAATCCATATAGCCGTATTTGAACACAAGACCACCACCGCCAAACACCACAAGATTAACTTCATGATACATAAGGATTAGAAACCAGTTTAATATGATTCAAATACTACGAGGCAAAGGTTTACAAAAAGGGTTTTTTGAACATGCATTTTCTATTAAATCCGAATCCTGTTTTAGCTTCTTCCACAATACCAAATAGGTGATAATAATTGCTGAGAACCATTTTGTTTATTTTTATATACAATAGTAGCACAGAACAATTGTCCATGAAAGTAATAGCCTAGGAATACAATATAAGCCAATATGTCATGCTTAGCGATACATCTAGGAATATGTAATTTTAAAACAAACAAAATTGAAGCCGACAACAGACAACGAAACTAATGTAATGAAAAAGCCATATATACAATGCAAAATAAAAGTTAAGGAACGTTGCCAGAACATGCGCCGAGCTAAGAGTGTGAATTAGATCGATAACAATTAAGCTCTTTCCAGACTATGGTATTATAATTTAGTTGTTATCAATAAATAAGCTTACATTATTATAACAGCTTATACCGCAACTCACACTCAACTATATGCTATTATATTATAGCTTACAGTATGAAAAGAGCTTTAACACGAACCTAGAATATCGGAGTCGACTGGAGCCACGACTCCTGGGGCGAGCGCGGGGAGATCGCGGTGAGCGGGAATCACGAGGAGGTCGCGGCGAGCGTAGGGGGCGAGGCGATCGAGATCCGCGCAGGGGTCTGGGTGAACGCGAGCTACGAGGGGGCCGGGGAGAACGCGAGCTACGGGGGGGCCGGGGAGAACGCGAGCCGCGAGGGGGCCGCGGCGAACGGGACAAACGTGGGGGGCGCGGCGAACGGGAACGCGATACACTGCGTGATCCGGATTTCACCCGACGCCGCTCCTCCTCCCTCCTCCTCGCCCGCATCTCCTTCTCGCGGATCATTCGATTGAACGCCTCGAGCGGATCCTCGCTGCGCCTGCACCAAGACACGACAACTGTTAGATACGAAACGACCACACCTAACACTAAAAGACATTAAAAAAAACCACTTAAATCCAGTCTCAACTAAGGACTAAAACGATAGACAACTTTTTAATTACACGTATTGTTTTGCGCCTATTATTCAGGTTTCGGCTTATTTATAGATTATATTAAAATTACCCATTGGGCGAATCCTTGATTCCAGGCGGCGGGGGCTGATAGGGATCGTGGGCTGGGTACCGGTCATTGTAAGGTCGTCCCATCGGTCTTCCGTAAGGAGCCGGCGCACTGTAATAAGTTTAATTATGATTAAATACAATAGCCTGAATGTTTCATGATTCCATTGTTATCCAAACGCATTATTAAGAAAAACAAAAAAATGTCGATCATCGGCAAGTCAATGATCTGATCGAGTACCTTAGTTATATGGCATTTCGCCGTAATCAAATAGCATTCAGATGTGAGTTTTTCTGTTTTTTTTATCCCTTACCAACCAATATAGATATAAAACCAATGTAGTAAAAAAAAAAAAATTAATATATCTTTCTATAGTAATAATATGCTTACTTATAATGATGCGGTGGCATTCCCGGTAGATATGGCGGAGGACCCCGATTGTACACGCGCTGTCGACATAATTAAAAAAATATATATAATTTGTTGTACGTAAGAAATTATTACACAAAGTTCTTGGTACAAAAATGTAATATTACTTTTTTTATTCATAACTAAAGTCGTAAGCGTTTGAACTTTTAATAAATGTAAGCCTTACCTGTGGCGGAATATTAGAATCTCTTCGCTCGTCAATCGTTGGCGTGCTTGCTCTTTGTTCGTCTCCTCGAGGCATCTAAAAAGAAAGTATTCTGTTGTTAGACATATATAATTAATAAAGAAGAACCCTTGACATATTTACGTAGTTCTTCTACTGTTCAAATGATTTGTGTAATAGTAGTTCATGTAGTTTATATATTTGACCAGATGTAGTATTTTTACAATAAATTCCACTAAAGCTTTGTTAATATTTTCGTATAGTCTTAAACTTTTATATTTTCAAAAATATTAACTTATATTATAGGCTTTTTAACTATGCGCATTGGTGAGCTACCAATTACTTTACTTTTGTTGTTACTATAAAAAGACAAACTTACATTTGGAGGACCTTCCATGTTGGGTTTTTTAGGTGGTCCTAAAACAAATATAAATTGAACTTTATAATTTTCCCATTATGTTGAAGCATAATCAAGCATAGTCTTAATATATGTCAGGCGAGCTATGTGTTATATAATAAAATATAAACCACAACAACCACCATACGGCAGATAGTATATAAAAGTGCAGTGACTTAGCAAGCGGTGTTACTAATCTAGTTTTTATTACGCATGATAAACCAGTCTATATTCATAGCTTAGCATTTATATTTTAGGAATGTAACTGCATTTAGTTCAGTTTAATATTTCCATTTAATTGACTCTTAAGAAGAACAAAAGCATAAAGGTTTCTTTTAAGCAATTGTATTACATTATTTGTATAATTTAAAACAGACAATAATGTGAAAATACAAAATTACACTACGGACCTAAAACCCATAATCAGTAGCATAAGTCTAAAATTAAAAAAGTTATAAAAAAATTTAAAGCAAGCTGATAGCAATTAAATTTAAGTTGAATATTTCTTAACTTCATACAAAAATTATAAATATTCCACTTATTAAGTATTAATGAATTACATAATTTGCAGCAACAACAACAACATCCGTATCTCTAAGTAACTATATTATACCTAGATAGACAATATTTTAATGCATTCCGACATTCGCTTGTTATAAGTATTATTTGTGTGATAGTATTGAACACAGAGCACAGATACATGCACAACGGTGACGCTATACCGTAGCGGGGCGCATGGTGATCATATCGGCCGCGGGGCACTTGCGCGGGACCCGTATGCTGAGCTATATGCGCATGCGCAGGCGGCACGGTGACCGTAATGTTGTCATCTGCGGACCCGTCCGATTCGTCCGCTCTACCGCCCCGCGCCCTCGCCCTTTCTTCAGCTTTCTCCTCTACCGCTTCTGACACACGCCATTTAATCACTCAAACATATAAACCACACTTTGTTACCACAGGCACACGCCCTCGAGACTTAGTAAGTAGGTTAGCATTGAAAAACTTTTTTTTGAAAACATTGGAGGATTTTTTAAACAAGAATATTAAAAAATTCATAATTACCATTTGCCACAACTCCTCTACTTGGTGAGACTGGGTTGGGCACTGGTTGTTCTATATGAAAGAAAACACAAATTATAGGTTTTAATTTATCATTATAAAAAACATTAAAAAAGACTGAACTTACCTATATTTGGTGGAGCCGGGGCAGCTGAAGGACGATGAGGTGCCCGTCGACTATAACCAGTCTGGTTGCGGAAAGATGATACTGAATTCCTTAGAAACCTACAAAAATTTGAATAAACACATCACTCATCAATACATATAGACAAAGAATATGAGAAAATTAAGACAAGTTTAATCAAAATTACCTATTAGGGATCAAAGTAGTAGGTGCTATTTCCTTTTCACGACAATCGGGACATTCATGGTCCTCAGACTCCAATAATGCTCCTCGAATACCTACAAGAACATAAGAAAAATACAGTTTTCTTAATGACAAAAGTGATCAATATAGTAATAAAAGGTGAAATGCTATAATGACATTTAAGTAGAAGGCAGGAAAGATCTTTTTTTGGATGGTTGAGAAATCCACAAATAGCAATAAATTAGCAAAATTAATTAAAGTATCACATTTATAAACTTACATTCATCACAAAATGAGTTTCCACAACATGGTATCATAACAGCATCAGTGAGAAGGTCCCTGCATAGACTGCATATTAACTCATCAGGTATAGTGGGTTCTGGGGCAGCTGGTGCATTGGGTAAAGACTCGGGACCGACTGCACTTTCAGATGCTAAATATGCTTCACTGGAAGTGCCAAAATTTGCTTACTATAATTACTTATAAAAATAATACAACTTATATTGAATACAAATAATTTTGATTCCAATAAGAATGCCTGACATGACGAGGATATGAGTAAGCCACCTTTTGTTGCATTACTTATAGGAAATAAATAAATGTTAGTAAAAAAAACTCATTAAGACTTACTGGTCCACAGCAGGGACTGCAAAAGTTCCACTTGGGGTCATCATGGCTCCAGGGGCTTTGGGACCATCAACAGGAACCATAAAACTGCGAGGTATACCCGAACTCCTTCTTATCTCTATTGGGTCACCCTTTATACATAACAAAACACATTATTGGCCTTACACTCAACATTAATTATTAAACAAAGGGTAAATTTGTTAAGCTATAATCTTATGATAGCTTTTAATACTTACAGAATTAGCTACAGGACAATCTTTAATCCAGTGTCCTCTATTCTGGCACTTAAAACAGACATAGTTACTTGGTACAGCACCTCTTTGATTTTGACCACGAATTTTCTGATAACTGAAAGTTATTTGATTAATTAATTTAACAAAACAAAATAGCCTATGTATATCCTATGCCGATATAACAGGACTGGTGCTGTAGTTTAATGCTAAGCCTCCCTTATATGATAATATCATCATCATTTTTAGAAGATTGCCCACACTGTTAATATTTTTTGGCTCTACCTCACTATAACTAACATTACCTCTACATCTGATTAAACTTAAAAACTCACTTGCTTGGGTCATAATCAAAAGTAGACTGTGATATCATAGCATTAATTTTATCCTGCTCGCTACCTTCCATCCGTGACAGATCAGCCACTCCTTTATTAACAGACACATCTTTAACAGGTGCTCCTTGTGTATCTTTATTATCCCATTGTTTCTTAGGCTGCTGAGCTAAAGGAACTCTAGCTACTAGTAAGGATGTATTCTTGGGAATCAAAGTGAGATCATCCACATACACTACAAAAAATAAAGCTCATTACATACGCAGTCTAAAACAAGATGTATGTATTTAAATTAAAATCAAGCTAACCTTCTTTAGTCTGTGCATTTGTTATTTGTAGGTCAAAGTCTGATGTTTTTCCAATACGCTTTTGCTGGGAAATAGCTGCTTTTAAATCTCCCACTGATATATGTAAGCCATCAAAGGTTACTGTATCGTAATCCAATGCACTTTTAAACTTATAATGCACAGACATATCTGTTTATTACAAAAACTGTATACTGGAATATATTTTATCATGACACTAAAATGTTCACGTGTTTGAAAATATTAAATATATGACAAACGAACACTATGTTTGTAGTACCTCGTTTTACATCACCGGCATAAAATATGACAGTCACGAGTCAATGTACAGGATTTACAAGAAGTATCATTACATCACTGCATAATAATAAAAACTTTGTAACAACTTAATTCTATAAGTAATATTTATATCATTCATTGAAATGAAATAAAATAGACATTTAAATTTAGAAATTATTACAATTTACCACCGCCATTTTAACACAGCATAGCATAGCCACAGCGCAGTAAAAGAATACCATAGCAATCAGCATAGCACTGAGCATAGACTACAATATATTGAACTGAGACACTGGTAGCATAGTCCAAAACTGGCATAGTATTTATTTGTTTAATTGTGTAAATATTTAATTGGGAAACATAATATGACGGTTTTAAATATATTTTCTACACAGCAGTGTTTTTTCTTAGAAAATTGATTTAATATTATTAATTTACATTATTAGGAAACATTTAATGTCTTGGAATTTTTAGAAACAAAAATAAAATGTTGGTAAAAACAACATCGTTATTAAACAATATGACATTTTAATCGCACATTATTAATCGCTGTCACAGAGTTGCATGACATCAATCTGTGACGGCCATTTACCGGATGTAGTTAATTAATGTTAACATACTTTTTAAAATATTCGTAAAATAAGTTTCATTTACGATAAATTTAAATTATTTATGCAGATAAAAAATTAAGCTTTATTTTATTTGATATTGCACAAAATAAGTAAAAGTTTGCAAAAAATATTTGTTTTATCGTAACATATTTGGCAAATTGCCATGAACTTCCGGTGTGTGAGATAAAGACACGCGGATCTATCGAGAAAAGAACGCGAATTATTAGAAAAATAAGTAGTAAAGACAAATTAAATAGAATTATACGTTGCATTGCTCTTCAAAATGTCCAATAACGGTGCTCCGGACTCGTGGGAAAGTCAAGCTGAAGTTGTGGGTGAAAAAGGTGCAAATGATCCTAATGATATGTCTCCAAAAAAATTTTCCACATTAAATGTAAATGCTGTGGAATTCGTGCCTTCTTTTTGTACTAAGCCGTCTCAGGATGATTCACCAACAAAGTCACAAAAATCAGAAAGTAGTCCTACGAGCTCTGATGGAAGTCCGGTTCTGAATGGTATGTCATGTCATTATTTGTAATACCTGGATTTCGTTAGCTTTTGTTGCTAGAATTATTTTAACTTAATATTCTATATTTGGTTTGCTCAGAGTTCATGTTTATACGTTTTATAGATCTTAAAGGCAATGCCTATTTTTGCCGAATCCAGTTCTAACGGGTTATGTCAAGACACGCGGCGTGACTATAATATTACAGGAAACTTTCTCCCATTCTTTGCTATTAATAAACATATGTTTTGAAATATAAAAAAATGAAGCAAAACTAATTGATGACATAGCTACTTTACTATCTTTAAGATACAATTTAATTCAAATTAGCAAAGGACTTTCACCTATTAGGGTAACTGAATGTTATGTATAAAGACAATTTTAAATTGCACATTGTTCCTTTTTAAACAGTCTTCAATCTAACAGTCAGTCTGTCAGTGATTATTTTAACTGAAGTCTTACTGAATATATGCTTATCAAAAGCCTACTGAATAAATAACTGCTGGTTAATAGATAAACTGCCTAGTTATATATCACTATTGTATTAAGATTTTAAAAAGTATAAACATGATTTTAAATGTGTATTCTATAATTTTGATTCAAGTAACAAATTAGGTTTTTGTTAAGGCCATGGCCGGAATTTATTTCTTATATTGTCACTTCATTTGTAGTATAATATTGCTTTGTGCAACAATTGCTGTCTAAGTAAATAAGCTATTTTGGCCATGGTCTCTGTTTTATGTTTTGATTGGTAATTCAATACAGGTGTTGCAAGTATAGTCAGAATACCTTTTTCCTTGATTTCCTAGAGCTTGTATTTGATTGAAATCTGCATGTTTTATCATTTTTTTTTTTATAAACTTTATGCATCTTGTCACAGGCTGTATAGATCTATTAAGATACAATTATTACAAGAATTACTTTTTCGTCTTCCATTTAGATTACCCTAAAATTAATTCATATTAATAAGTATGAAGTTTGCATTCATATGACATTTCTTCTTGTAAGAAGTCGTTTAGCATTGTCACATTTGCTAAAAATTCCTGATAAATGAGAAATATTAATGAATGAGTAACTACTATGATTATCTTCAGGGTGTGGAGAAGGTGACAATGGTGACACAGTGGCTGCGTCAGCCTCACCCCGGGTAGAGGAGCCCCCTCCTGTGCCACCTGCTGCTGCCGCCGCACCTGTTCCTGAAGTTCCACCTGATGACAGCTCACCAACTGCAGACAGTTGGGAGAATGAAGCTGACAGTGCTCTCCTCACTGAAGAAAACAATGAAGCAGAAGAAGAGGATATCGAACCACAGGTGGCAGAACCTGTAATTAGCATGAGTTTATTTTTTTATTTTAAGTTTTAATTGTAATTTTAGTAATATTTTATTAAAATACTAACTTGTTTTACAGTTAAAATGATTGAAGCCCTTTGGTTACTTTTGTTTCTGTTGCTTATTTCCTATATTCTGGAAGGAGATTAAAATTTTTAGTAACTTCACAGAAAACAATATGAAGAACTAAATAGTCTTTTTAGTACTGCAATGTTGATGCTTCATAGCAATAACCCTAATTAACAGGATGTCAAGAATGGACTTTCTTGCATAGGTTTTGTAGTGTACTTTTGGCAATTCATATTTAGTTGTCATAATTTGTTGAAATTAAATATCTTGCTTACTATTATTATCAATAAGTTGTAGGTGTTATAAATTAAGCAATGATTTATAGATCTCAAAGCTGGCACCAACTTAAGTATATAAGATTTGCAATGTTCATACTAAAATTACTTTATATATTTGGGTTTTTGTTGTTTTTCGCTTCCTTATATATCCATGAATGTCCTTGCTGCGACTTTGTTTGCTTATGTCATTTTTAGAATGAATGATCTGCCATGTGCTTATCATATGCTTATGTTTTGTGTCTGAAATATTAATCCAGCTATTTTTAATGACATTAAAGGTATTGTGTTTTCCCCAAATTACAAAGTTTGAATTCAAAGCTACCATTTTTAAATTCTTATTTAAGGAGGATGGCGAACTGGCAAAAAAGGTTCCCAAGAAAAAGCCGCCGCGAGTGGAGGATACACGAAGCAAAAAGGAACACGTTAATGTTGTATTTATTGGACATGTAGGTGAGTAAAAACACTCTTCTTTAACAGAGTTGATTATAATACATGTAAGTCTAGAGTAGAAATTGAGCTACCCTAGGAGAATTCATAATATATTCTCACATCGATATTTTTCTACATGGTGGACACATTCTCGTGCCTGGTTATTCTTCCCTTTCAACGATAGGCAGTAACTTGCCCAATCAACACAAACTCTGGTGCCCATTTATTGTGTTTGACAGTAAGCTCATGGCATATCATATTATATAGCCATTTTAATTCCTGATAGTAAAAGAGTAGCAAGAGATTTAAGAAATTATACTAATTTCTCATGTACATTTTCATATGGTGATTAGATGCTGGAAAATCTACGATTGGTGGTCAAATAATGTCCCTAACTGGTATGGTGGACAAAAGAACACTAGAGAAATACGAACGTGAAGCTAGAGAAAAGTCGAGAGAATCATGGTACTTGTCTTGGGCACTTGACACTAATCAAGAAGGTAAGCGATTCAGTAATCACGGAATTACGTACTTATTATATTTTAATTTATGCATTACCTATTACAAACACACAGTATGTATCTGTCTGTCAACCAGGCAATATTCCCTAATAAAAAGGGTTAAGTTTTAAAAACTCTCTATATCTTCCTCTCTAAAATCTTACTTTATACATGAGTTCGTACAGTAGTTACGGTTTGCGATCATCTGAATCTGCACGGCTTATTCTTGAAGTTCATGTAGCTCCCAACTTCCTAGGCAATATTTTTAAATTTACTTGCTCTCAACTATCTTTTAAAAGGCTCTTTTACAAACATTTTCTGTCAATAATTTCATACACCCACTGGAGTAAATTGGTCACTATTTATTTATTTTCTGATGTATACCTTCTTATTTCAAGTTAAGTTTCTCATGTACATAAAGAAAATGCATCTAGGTTTTGTGTATTGTTATACTTTTTTTGGCCCCCGTTGGGCCTCCTTTTTCATCAACTTCTTTCTCTTTTCTGGGTTGCCTGTAAGAGATTGCTTGTAAACGATAAGGTGGACGAAAGTGTTAATTAATAAATAAACAGGTTTAATTTTTTCACGTTTGCGAAGATGCGGGAGTCAGAATACTATTTAATTGATTGTTTACTTTTTTTGTCACTTAAACATTCTATTCAAATTCACTTAATCATTCTACTCTAATATATATTTAGGAATAACATGCCTTTAAAATCAAACTTAACTTTACAGAACGTGACAAGGGCAAAACAGTAGAAGTGGGCAGAGCTTACTTCGAAACTGACAGAAAGCACTTCACAATCCTGGACGCACCAGGTCACAAGAGTTTCGTGCCTAATATGATTGGTGGAGCTGCGCAAGCAGATCTTGCTGTACTTGTTAGTAATCTTATTCTATGCTTCATGCTCTGGTATATGTAGCCTTCAAAATCCCATTGTTAAACTCGTTTCTGCGCATAGGCGTGCGTCAAGCGTCTGGATTCCATTCTTGGGTTAACATTAAAATCTTCTCGGGCAGCATTCAGCAAGTACTATTTTTTGTATCTTTAAATAAAATTCCACCACTACAACAGATAGAAATCTTCCTCATTCTCAACTGTTTTTGTATTTGTGAATTATTCATCCAACAGGTCATTTCCGCGAGGAAAGGTGAATTTGAAACTGGTTTCGACCGAGGGGGCCAGACAAGAGAACACGCCATGTTGGCGAAGACTGCCGGTGTCAAGCATTTAGTAGCACTTGTTAACAAGATGGACGATCCAACTGTTAACTGGGATGAAAAGAGGTGAATTTCTTAACATATAACTATTATTTAAGGAATTTTGACAGGTAATTTATTGCGAAACTAAGAAAGTCATTGTAAATTTTATTACTAAAAGGTGGGCTAAATATTAATGAAACAATATAACATTACAGATACAATGAGTGTCGAGACAAAATCATGCCATATCTAAAGAAGCTTGGCTTCAACCCAGCAAAAGACTTATCATTCTTGCCTGTTTCTGGGCAAACTGGTCAGGGTTTACTGGAAAAGGTAAGCGTAAAAACATTATATTATTTAACTTAAATTACAAAGCTAGCGTATTAATAAATGACTATTGTTCTGCTTGTTAGCTGGTAGCAATTATGTATTCGTTTTATGCTAACTGATTGTTATATGGCGAAGATTGTGGAATCAAAACAGATAAGCAAGGGTTTCACTTCAAAGAGGTTTCAATACCCCAGTCCTACAGCATCTTATGATTTCTCCATCCATTAATGTTTAGAATCAAAATAGGCCTACAGCACATTTTGTTCAGATATTATTTCACCTCCCTTTTAATTGAAGCCCATGCTCGTCTGGTAAAACTAAACACATAAGGTATAACTAAATTAACTTAAAATAATTCAGTATTACTTAACTGTATTGTTTCCTTTTTTCTTTAAAGGTCTCCGAGGAGGTCTGTTCATGGTACCAGGGTCCATCATTCATCCAGTTAATTGATGAATTACCCTCCCTTAACCGAAAGATGGATGGTCCATTTATAATGCCCGTTGTAGACAAGTACAAGGATATGGGTACAGTGCTGATGGGCAAGGTTGAAGCTGGTACTACGCGTAAAGGGAGCACTTTATTCCTAATGCCAAACAGGGTGAGTATAACGCTCTATCTATAATGTTGAATTATACTTATGAAGGCAATTTAAAAAAAATTTTGTTTGTTTTCATTTTTTATGTATGGATTAAAATATTTTACTTTTATATTAATTGGCACTTGATGCTAAGTTGAAAAGTGAGGTATACCTCGTAAAGTTAAAAGATATTGAAAACTTTGTTTGACAATCAGGCTATACCATATTTATGTAATGACTAATAAAAATTTATTTTAAAGTAGTACTCCAAAAAATTGTGTGTTGATCGAGTACAGGAGGTGATATTTATTGTGCCCTGGGGCTCTTTAAGTTTTTATTCTTCTCCTGGATCAAAGCCCATGAGTTCTTGTACTTAGCCACAAAGGTGTAATTGCATTTATGTAGTTGTGTTAAAATAATATCATAATTAGTAGCAATAGTATCATGGTATAAAAATACTGATTTACATTTCACAGGTTCAAGTCACAGTAGACCAGCTATGGTCTGATGACATAGAAGTGACGTCGATCGGTCCTGGCGAAAACGTCAAAGTAAAACTCAAAGGTATAGAGGAAGAAGATGTTTCACCAGGTTTTGTTCTTTGTGACACTGCTGAACCTATTACTACGGGAAGAGTAAGTTCAGTTTTATTGTCCACCATAGTATCTAAATAGGATACATATATATAGGGACAATTAAAATAATTAAACTGAAATTATTCTTACAAACTTGTAATCTTCCCAGTGCCTATTTGATTTTTCGTGAAAATATTAATATAAATCAACAGAAAATATAAATATATGAAGTAATTATATATTTTTGGTGTTTGAAGAGAACAAAATATTTTATCAGGATTGTCAAATGCAAAATGATTGGTAGAGATTTCTTTTTAACTCGATATTTTATTCTCCTATATTAATAATAAAACTGATTGCAGGTGTTTGATGCTCAAGTAGTAATCTTGGAACACAAGTCAATCATCTGTGCAGGATACTCAGCCGTGATGCACATACATTGCGCAGCCGAAGAAGTTACTGTCAAGGTTTGTGTTTTTAAAATTTCTTACACCTTTTAAATATAAAATTTGAAATGAAATATCATATAGAAAGTCTGCTTTAATATTAAGAAATGGTGCGAATAGAGAATAGGTCTTTAGCAATGGAATTTCTATGTAATTTTATATCATTCTATTGGTTTTTTTTATTCTAAAGTAAAACATGTAAGTCGAATATAGGCCTTTGATATTATTATATTATAATTTTATTCTTGACAAACATTTTGCAGGCGCTCATTTGTCTAGTAGATAAGAAGACCGGCGAGAAATCGAAGACGCGGCCGCGTTTCGTAAAACAGGACCAAGTAGCTATCATGAGGATAGAGTGTGCGGGGATTATTTGTCTAGAACCTTTCAAGAAATTCGCCCAGATGGGCAGGTTCACGTTACGAGACGAGAGTAAGTATCTACACCCATGTTTTTTTTAACAATTTCATGCATACTCGTTGTTTCAGTCAAATTTATTTAAAAGAAATATAAGCTTACTAATCATATACATATATTATGTAATATAAACAAATATTACTTAATACTACTAATATACACGTTCAGATTCTGCTCTTCTCAAACTTCGAATTATGTATAATACTTTTTATTTGTAATGTTTAATTATTTTATTTAATCCTAATGTAACACTAAAAATCTTTCATCTTCTCTTTTCAGATAAAACAATTGCAATCGGAAAAGTCCTCAAGGTGGTCGAGTAAATTTGGCACTACAATTTGTAATTTAGCTAGGTTAGGCTTTCAATATCTTATATATTATCAGAGAATGCATCTATGTATTCCTGAACTTTGGCATCCATGTGAGAGCTTGATGATGATTTCAGATAGTAAAGCTAGCTCTTGAAGAAATTGCAACTGGCTTAAAGACAGTCAACTCAAAGACAGTATAGCAGCCCTATTGACCTTTATTACCGAGTGAATTCTGAAATATTAGAGATACTGTAATTTAGCCATATACCAAGAGATAAATATATACAAACCTCATACACCAGTAAAGAAAAGAGACAACCTTCAACATGTTATAGCAACATTTGTATGTTCCTGTTGAACCATAAACATTACATTTAGCAAAATCTGGGTTTATATTGAAACTATGTTACACGGTAATATTATTTTCTATAAAATATATAAGTTGAGGTATTTCAACATTTAAAGCGATTCTAGCAATATATTATGTATTAATATTACAACTTTGCAATGAATATGTTTGACAACCTATTGAAATAATGTTTTGTTAACAAAAATTAAGGGTTGCTATGCTGACTAATCAAATCCCATAGGAAAAGGTTTGATGGCTAAATGTTCCGACTTGTAGGTCCATTCTGAAGGCAGGAGTGGATTCTCTGAAATATACTAGTGTAGTTACTCTATATGCCATGGAACCATTTAACTGACATTTATGCATAAAACATGTAAATTAGTGCGCTTAAATGACACCAAGTAAATAAAAATATGAATTGTTGATTCTATTGTGTATTCCATATACTATGTGGTGTTCCGTTTTTCTACAGTTTAACGTGATAGCGTTCTAAGTGCTCTTATTTCATGTGTACCCGCAGAGTATAAAGCAAAAGTTGATATTTTTATACGTCAAAAGTCCGTATATGAAAGCCCGATGTGGGTTTGTAAAGTAAGGATGTGTAATATTGTACTGATGTTCTCTTTTTAAATTATGATAGATTTATTTCGTTCTTTGCTACGACTACATGAAGCGATAAGAGCACGGAGAATTTTATGTCCTCAGACATGGTGTGGTGGTATCTCGCGTCTGTTACGGTGATCAACGGCTTATTAGTGTAATAAAGCAGTTTTAAATATTCTTAAACATTGTTTGCTTTATCGTCGGATCGAGTCATTTCATTTGCACCATAATTGTTTATCTGTTATAGATATTAATTTTATAAATACCTCTCGCTCCCAACTCGTTGCGCTGAGTGTTCCATTTAATTTATCAATTTTAGTCGAGTGTGAATAATTTCGTATCTTACGCTATTAAAGATACTATTAGAAATATTTAGTGTGTAACATTACCTTTATTAATTATATCATTACTATAAATTATAGTGTTGCATATATATCGATATATAAATATGAGTTTAAGATATATACGAAATTATCACTTGCAATACTTGTATCGTAATAGATAATACTTATTTATTTTTTAAAGCAGGATGTTTTCTTATATTTTAATCATTGTCAAATTTAAAGCTTGGGTCACGATTTTGAGGAAAAACCTCTCCTAGCAAGGGCTTCATTATTTGCTCCATAGGGCATAAACCGTGGGTACATTATACTCAACGAGAATTATCCCAAAGTACTTACAGAATGATTTGGGAGTGTGAGTCGTTATAGTAACGTCGGTTGGACCTTCAAGTTGTTACAAGTTTTAATTTTTTAAATGTTCAGCTTTTTTTAAGATAATCCGTTTTATTTAGGACGATGTATCGGTAATATATGTATATCAGTGGTAAATCGTGATGGCGAATGTTTGCACCCAATAGAAAGCCTGAAATTTCCTGCAAGGTTTGTTCTGTACTTTACATGAATATAATTATTTCAGCGCCGCCATAGTGCCTTTAATTTCCCAATGGGTGTCACGTCCGCCGCACGACTACATACTCATACCTTTATTTTGTTTAAATTTAATAAATTTTATTAAAATTGCTGTACATTTAGTTTTTTCTTTACTGCCTTATAAATAGGTATCCTACATTAATAGAAATAGTATTTAACTATTGGTAATAGGTTAAATGCTATACTACAAATGAAACTAAGAGACACCGTAAATGTATAATTTTTATGTTTATACGTGCAGAATACTCAGCTGTTTTTCTTGGCAACGGATTTGAAAGCAATGTTGAAAAATTAAACTTCGTAATAACACTTGACAGTTTATTATTTTTTGGCTTAGGCTTAGTTTCTTCTCGTGTACTAGATTGATTAGAAGATATTTAGGCGTTCATCTTAATCTGCTGTATTCATAAAGATGTAATATTTGCCTTAATAAAAATAATACACTTTCCAATTTTGAAGCATAAATCTTAAGTCATCTGTCTAGTAGCCTTAAGAGCACCAAATTAATGAAAAACATGTATTTTTTAATAAGATCTATTATGCAAGTCCGGCATTCTTTTATAGTAATTAGACATGATACATTTATAAATGATTTTTTACAGTATATGTACATTTTCAAATTATTTATGCACTTAAAAGTTGACAGACTCATTTTAGGTCTAATATTTACAAATTTCGGCTATTTCCAGTTATGGAATGTCAGATTGATTATATAAACAATACATACAAGCTAATATTATATGAATTATTTTCACAAGTACATTATTATTTACAACAAATCAAATCTCTTATGAACCAGCTCTATTCCCTTGGTAATACAATTTAAGTATTACCAAACGGAATTTGACATGTTATTTTCTCTCCATGCAAATATTTTCAGTCTCAATATAATTTTAAGTACTTATAACACCTAAAATTTTGGCATACAATGGTTTTCAGTCCTGAATAATTACATTATTTTTTGAGATATTCTGATTCATCTGATCGTTTTCAAATTCTACAAAGTCATCGAAGAGGCTGGGCCAAGCTTCCGTATCATCATAGCTACTTAAGTCTTCTCCCACAAATTCACAAAAATTTAAAAACATATTCCAAGTATCTTTCGGTACTCCTCGGATGTGTGGGTTCTTCTCTAAATATGCCAGCCATTTGTCCAAAATGGGTGGCTCATTATTTGTGAAGACAAGGCGCCAAAGAACGATAGCAATATCTGAAGGCAGTATCCTCTGACCAGAGGTGACATCTAGACCAAATTTGAATGTAAACCGGTACAAATCTTTAAATTGTTCTGAATCACTATCTAAAGTGTTTGCAATTTCACTTAATTTTTGTTGAATTCCCTTGATGGAGTCAGTTTTCATGTTTTTCAGACCTTGTATAAATTCAGCTCGTGTAAACCTACACATTTGACTAGCATTCAGCTTCCAAGCTAGAACTAAAACTTTGAAATTGTCTGGATCTAATTGTAGATCATTGCATAAATTTTCTATACCTTCAGCCAGTATTGCATCTTCCAGGGAATCTTTGTAATGATCAAATAATTGATTTATTTTGCTTTCGGATACCTTTAATTCGTTTGATCCCAAAGATGACATTGTTCGAGGAATGGAAGGAATAATGTTGTGATAGAAAGCCTTACTTTTTTCTGAATTCTGATGTATTTTTTGTACATAATCACTGCTTGTATCAATAGAATTGTTAGTTGCAGAGGATACTAAATTAGTATTATGACTGTGACTTATAACTTTGTGATAATTTATATTATTTTCACTGTTGTGCAGGAGTGGCTCTTCTTGTGGGAAATCAGGAGTGACAGAATTTGGTGGTTGATTTGTGGTAATTTCTGTTATCTCTGAAACAGAAAAGTATGTTTTTAAGCTAGCTTGATGATAATTCTTAAGATTGGGCCCATTTTTTTTTTCAGAGAATCCATTTAAAATCGGGCAACGTTAAGTATTAAAGCATGAAAAATTTTGATTAGCATTGTATAAAATACTAACAAAAAACATAATTGTTAGAAAAGAACAGAAAATATTCAGAATATTACGAGTCAAGATATACAAACTACAATAATAGTTTGAAAATATTATGTTTAAAATATTTGCTATAATACCATAAGTAAAGAATTATGGTGTGGTTAAACAAACTTTGATCACAATAGTAAATTCAATTATGCAAGTACTTAATTAATTATATGTTATACAGATTTAAAGAAAAATTGTATTTATGATAAAAGTAACTATAGTCAATTTACCATCATTCTTTCTATTTGGCGATGTCACAACATCAGCATTTGTATGGTTATTAAAACAGCTAAGACAATGGCCCATTTGATTAAATGTGGTCAAATTACGTTTGGAATCTAAGACTTCTATGGTGTACACCAACAAACTTTTTCTCTTCAACAGTTTTCCTATGCAACATAATGAATTAAAATCCGTTTGATAATTGTAACTATCAATTTTTTAACAGAGATCTGAAAAATTACAGAGACAGATTTAAAGAACAACAATGAAAGTTATATCTGAAAATTTAAGATTAAAACTCATGACTTACCATCTTCATCCTTAACTTTTCTATTCGTTTCACAACTCACGAGAGAAGTGAGAACAAATACGATGTCAAATATAAAACCAAATTTCATCAGACATTGGTAATTTTTGCATATTTTATATAAAATTTTTGCTGTTGTACTGTTATTACGACGCCATAACAATTGCTTTATAACATTGAATAATATTTAGTAAAATTATTTCCAATATTTTCCAAAATTTTATTACAATCAACAATTAGAATTCAAAGACCATCAGCGACACAAAAATAATATTATAACATGACTGAACATGACAGACAGTGAGTACGAGTAGGGCCCACAGATACAGTGACAAAGGAATGTTATCAACGATGGTCGTACAGAATCTTTTTAATATCCTCACTTATACTAGAAATAATAATTACTTTTGCACTTAAGAAATTAAATTATATTACTATTAAAATGAATGATTAGATATAGATATGTATAGAGAGAATAAGCGAATTATGCCGATAATCCGGTGCAGTTGAGCCGCGTTATTAATGCCATCTGTGGAAATTTCTGGAGTCACTAGCATTATTACATTCTGTAAACCAATGACAGAAAAGGAAGACAATGTCAAAATTCAAATTTTGTCGTTAAAATTTAATTTAAAAAGGCTTAAATATTTGAAGCTTTGAAACGAAGCCTGATTTGTTTAAAGTATAATAATTGTATCATTAAGAATTTAAGATTTATACATTGTTAAACCCAAAATGAACGTTGTCGAAGAGTCGTTAAATTTTATGGCGTTGGAGGATGTATTGTTTAAAAATACCGAAGCTGACATCAACAGCTGTACTCAAGAAATCCTAAGCATATTTCAAAATACTTTTCCCAAAGCTATACCGTATAACGATGATAACTCTGCACATACCCACGAAGAACAATTACAAATATTAAGTAACAGTAACCAGAGTCTAAGGAAAGAAATTGATGAAAAAATTAGGGGTTTAGCCATTCAACAAAGCCAATATGAGAATTATAAGCAAGGTAGTATTATTCACTTTATAAGCAAATCAGTGCAACACTTTAAAAACTAATAAATATACAAGGTAGTCAGTGCCTTTTAAAAAGTTTATGACGGTTTTTCGAGCGAGTTGCTATTTAAAAAATGTCTAATTAATTTTTCACCATAAATGATTTTCAGAACACAAATTTTTGACATGCAAAATTAAAGACACTCACGAGTCATTTTTGATGGCGAGGAAATGTTACAAGAAGTATCTTAATTTCTATTATACTATAGAATCCAGAGATAAAGAGCAGCAAACTATATTTGTTCAGTTCTTTTCTGAATCTAAGAGTGATTCTGAAAAATATTCAGTAAGACTGTTAAGAAATACAAAGACAGGGAAATATTCATGTGAGTATTTTAAAATTGGTGTTGCAATATTCCTTTTACCAAGAAATGTGCTATGCTTAATTTAAAGCATTGAAAATTTATATTTGTTAATATATTGGTACTGCTGGCATAGGTCTTTAAATTAGATATAGCAAGGTCTATAGTCAGAGAGTGTAATAATTAATTTGTACAAATAACTTAATTTTTATTATTGTGGGGAAAACTATAGAAAGTCGGGTGATCAGTACACATCGACTGTTGACCATTTCATCCAACCCCCTACTTACTAATAAATTATTTACAGTGTTAAGCATCCATCCCAAAGACAAGATAAACTTAAAAGATGCACAAATAATATTGGAGGAAAATAACAATGTTCCTGGATTGCTGTCATTTATTCGCCAAAAATTCTATTTGCTGAAATATCGTAAAAAATAGTTTGATTAAAACTTTTATTACACATAAAGGATTAAATAAAAAATGTTTATTAAAATATAATTTATTATGACCTATCTAAATATAACAACCATCAGGTAATCAATTACAAACTGAGGTATTTATTTCACTTTTGTAGATTTAGTATAAAGAGAAATACTTGTAAATACTGTTCAGAATACAAAGAAATTTGTACCTTTAAGTATAACTTTTAATAAAAGTGTAATTTGCAAAAATATATATTGATATTAACAAGAAAAACAAAGTACAGAAGAAACTCCTTTTTTGAAATAAGTTTTAATGTTAATTTTTTATTGATAAATATATGTATATGTTTTATCTATTTGTTCATATAAAAATAGTTCAGTACTAGATATATTATGTTGTACACAAGCAAAACTGATATTTTTTAACGAGAATGCATGTGTTTTCATAGAACACATGAAACTGTTGTCGCGGATATTACGCTCGCAAAATAGGTGTATTAAGTTTATATTATTACTTTAATATAAATAAATAATCCAATTAGTCATAAATTATTCTGGCTAAAAAATTATTTTAATAACCTCTTTTATTTGCCCTGTTACCTTATTTCAAATTCTTATTTGATTTAAAACATGAAAAATAAGCCGCCAGAATGATGTAGTTAAATAAACTCTAAAATTACTTACAAACATCAGTTAGCTTATCATTACACTTCCTTATTAAAATTTTAATTGTAGACACGAGATGGATACATAGTGAAATATATTTTGTTAATCTGACTTAGAATAATGTTATCTTTAAATCAACTTTATAAATCATGTGCATAGGTTAACAATGATAACTATTTAATATTTATACTATTCAAATATTCATCAATAACAATTAATATAATTAGAGTTAGTAAAAATAAGTCTGCAATGTTTCGGGCTGTTAGGATTTGCCACCGTCGTCTTTATGAAGTATTATACCTCAACTGATTGACGCAATAGTTTTAGCCCGAAAAACCACTCTGGGTCTAGAATTGTAAAAGGCTGTGGGTTAAATAATATTTATGATCAAGGCGGATAAGTTCTGACCCGTTGTGTTGTGCATAAATATTGTGCTTATACTTGTCCGTAGTCATCTGTTTTCAAATTCCCAGCTTAACTAATTATATGGAAACATATCAATAGTCATAGTCTATAATCTTCTATAAAAGTGATCTTATCAGGAATTTAATATAATTAACGCGATATCGACGTGCAGATTTACGTTATTTTCAATTTACCATTAGCTTCACCGTTCGTCGTCCCTACTTTGTCAAAGTTAGACTTGTTTGCATGTTCAGTGTTTTGTGAAGCGTGTCGAGTTGTCTTCGGTAGGAAAAGAGCTCCCAACGCCAACAAGTGCAGGGAATAATATAAGCGGCTGAAAAAATATCTTAATTGAAATTTAACTATCAGCACTTGTGACAAAATAGTATAAATACTCATGGGAGTCCCCTAAATACCCCTTATTTATCGTTGGTATAACTTCTACGCGTTATTATTATTACTTTTTTTTATATAATGAACTTTATGGAATAAAACCTAGTTTCAAATGGTCGTGCAATAAAAGGAGATGGGTACTAAACCATACTCCGTTCCTCCCTTTGTGAATCCTTACACTTACCCGTAAAAAGCGAGGCTCGGGGACAAATGTAGGAGCACAAAAGGCACAGTGGCGTACGCCATCGCTACACGTGTCGTAAGAAACGTGAGCGAGTCGTAAAAAAGCTTCTTTAGTGGGCTGTCCAGGAAGAAAGGCCGGGCACAGGCGCGAACCTAGACATAATACGTGCTTCATTGTTATAATATATTTAAGAACACCTTTTTTTATATTAACATCTATATCTTAGCTATTGATGTATTGCTGATAAATACCTTTCCCTACTTAACTATTTGAAGCTCCGACTTGTCTCAAAGACTCAAACAGAAATGTCTTAGTACATAGCAAAATCTCAATTAAAAAAAGAACACCCAATGTCATTTTAAATGTAGCGTTTAAATTAAGATTATTTTAAAATAACAGCGAATAAAAATTTAAACATTAACGTCATTAAAGCAGTCTCACAACCCGAATAAAAATAAAATAAACAGTGTCGTTATTGCAACGCTTAATCTTCAAAATATAAATGTTTAAGGTGACATATAAAGTATAAGTCTCACTAATTTAATTTTAATTTTCAAGGCACAATATATTGAATACCTTTTTAGCAGCAACGGTGAAGACTGCTCCAGCGAAGAACGTCATATAATAGCCAGGGTGGAAACCGTGCCAAATGGCGGATAGTCCATATACCCGTTCAGTACGCCAGGCACTACCTCCACGTTCGTAGGCAACGGTACGCAACCAAGTGTTTGTATTTTTATTCCAGCTTGCAATAGCGTTACGCAGATTACCTGCAAACTGCGAAGAGGATTTTTGTATTTTTTTTTTTTTTGTTCATTGAATAAGTATTTAAACAAAGATACAAAAATGATACACGGATAATTATCGTATTTAAACATTTGGCACGGGTGGAAGTTACCGCGACAGCATAGTTCTGTTTTCCGTGATCATCAAATGATGCATCTCCCGCGCATTCTGATTTCAGCCTATTTAATGTTTAATGGCCTATGCTTTTCAGCGTAAAAATCATTGAAGATGAAATTACATAGTTTGAATGTAACGAAACGTTTTTCTTGTGGAACCACCAATAGAATAGAATACATAGGCCAGGTAAACAGTTTACAAGCTATGTTGACCGCGTTAAAATTAAAAAAAGAAATGATCTGATATTGCAGCGTTCTAAGTCTTCACGAAGCGAAACAATTGTTTGTTTAAACAGAAGCCTTTACCACCTTTCAGATAATTTGTCTAGAGTCTAGACCGATTAGAAAAGATGCCTCAGTAGTTTATATTCTATATATTACACTTACAGTAAATAGGTATATAGTCCAGTGATTCATCGATCATACGATCGTATCGATTAATTATTATCAGAAACAAGTATAAACTTATATAACAAGCTAACAATAGCTACAAGCTATGTGCACGACACGCATATTTGAATTTACTTCGCAGTTGGAGATTTCGTATCGTTTAGCCATATCAACGCACTTGAAATTCCAGATTTGTATAGTTAAAATAAACAACTGTTTTGGGGTAACTATTCAAATCATTGTTTTGTCAGAGAAGGTAAAATGCGCAAAACGTATACGATCTACACGGAAATAAGACGCTGTTGACCTGTCGCAGTGGACAGAAAGAAATTCACAAACTTTACGGCAGTTCCATCTGTAGACGGTGGTTGGTGGCTCCTTCGAGTGTTTCAAATTCAAATAATTTATTTCACACCGAAGAATATTATAATAACACAGAAATTACACATATATATGTTTCCTATACTTGTTTTTCAAATGATAATGATCACCATACATTGTTAAAATTGGACCACCGAGCCCGGCAATACTGTCGTCGGTTGTTAGAGATACATTTTATAAACACATTTTGTTTTTACATTGGTTTCTGAAGTTAAATCTTAGTATGTTTTTTACGTACTCAGCCATACATGAATAAAGTGCTTTTAACGTAGGTATTTTTTATGAACTGTTGCATGAGATATTTTTAGAGTAGGATGTGCACTCAAACTTGAACGTGTCAAGGCTAACCATAAAATAATGAGAAGATTATAATGATAAGATATGATTCTCATAATTGCAAGGACTTGGATATTCAAGAAAGGCATATCTACTGTCAACAACGCAATTAAAGCGACGCGGATTAATATTACTATGTTGGCTATCCATCATTATGAGCTAGTAAAATATTCATGTTACAAAGATAACGCCTTAAGGAAAATTTTATAGGTCCTGTTATTCTGATGTTAAAAAACTGATCACATACTACAGTGTAAACTCTATATAGCGACACTGAAGGGACTGTGCATTTTATGGCGTTATAGAGAGTTGTCGTTAAATGGAGAGAAGAAACATTGTATGAAAAACAAGCTAAACCAACCAAAGCCAATTAATTTCGACGCTTAAGAGAGTTTGTCGTTAAATAGAGTGACGTTACATGGAGTTTACACTGTATATAGTTTTAATTTTTTATTATGTTATAAATCTGTAGTAAAAGGATATTTTTAAGAACCTTTTTCTGTATTATCTGTGGTTAATATTAAGTGTAATAAAAGTAAGTACCTACCTCTGCCTCTACTAAACTACTTGTGTTCAAAAGAGAAATCTCTTTTTTATTAACTTCTTTTAATCTCCGCTTGGTTTGTAGCGGTAGCGGTGCGCTCGAGTGAAAGACGTGCATTCCTAATGTATCCGAGATACGTCATAGGTCATAACTATATATATTTCGCGTTGTAAACCGTCTAAAATATTTTAACTTTTACCAACAGTATGGTAGATGTTTATTTTGGTATCGGCAAAACAAAAGCATTAAAACCAGTCAAAGTAATGAAAACATTAGCAATAAAATCTTACTTCAAATCCAAAAACATCAATATTTGACATCTTGTCCCATTTCGGTGTACCATCATTGTCGTAACCGTTAAAACCCATGCCGGAGTTGTTGCAAATAGCTTCAGAAAGGAGCCAAGCGTGGTAATACTTGCACCTCACCACGAGGGTTGAAAGATAGGCGTACCATAGTAAATATACTGCGGACCACGATCGTGATACCTCGGAAGTTGGATCCACTAAACCTATTGAAAAAGAAAAATATGAATTTAAAACCAAGATTGAAATGAAAACGCGAACCAAGGATTCGGACAAAATGGGGCGTTAGTTGAATGGGCGTACCCAAGTAAACTGTTGGCCATTTCACATAATTCTCTTATAAGCGAAAAAGTGTAGATGAGTTAGTGTTTGCTATAATGACAACTGATGACAAACGGTAACCGGACTCCCGTTACGGAAGCCTAAAAATTATTTTAAAAAGTGTGAAAACATGTCGTTCCAAATACTTTCATTGCATTCAATGTGTTTCCCTATATTTAAAACCTTTTGACTTCAGCGAGTGTACCATACACAGCAATAAAAATATCGAAATATTCAATCAGAAAAATAAATTCAAGGATTTGGTTAACAGCTTACTTTTACTTTATTTTAGCAAACTCATAATGGCATTTAGTATAAAAACCCAAAAGTGAAAAGTTACAAACCTTCTAGAGCCTTAATTGGATATTTTTTAGCTAAGGACAAGTACAGCAAAGCAGCGCCGACAGAACCAGCTACCTTGTAAACCACCGCTCTACGCGGCGAAGGTTCGGATATATTCGTTGAATCTTTTTCCATCTTAAATTTGACAAAATTATTCCTCTCTAAATTATCTTTAAAAAATGTCCACGACAGTATGTGTGTGTGGTATCTTTTAAGATTAGCTAGCAAGAACGACCATGACGTCGTGGGTAACAGCTAGTGGATAATAAACAACGGGTCGTCGGATCAAGTCCCACCGGGTCCAGCGTGGTTGTTAATTAATTTCTCGATTTTTCTGAACATGTCTGGTAAAACGGGCGGTTTATCGAATTTCTGTGCGTGGCACGCAGCATCATGAAGAAGGCTAAATTGCCATTTTAGTTTGTGTCAACTTGTTTTAATTACAAGGCTGAGTTAGAGGTAATAATGCTGGAACATTTCACCCTCCACCCAAGTGAACTTAATTTTTGGCTGTTCTATCGTAAAATGTTGTATAAATTAGTATAGTAAGGTAATCGAAGAAAATTACTCATTATCGTATATGTAACGACTCAAATCACCTCGTAAACCAGGAAGTAATGATTTTTAATTACTTACCCCGTTCACTCGAACACCTTCAATGAAATTAATGTAGTCAGGATAAAAAACAACTGGTCCACACATCAGTGTCTGAAATGCTAGCGTATACGCGAAGTATTCGAGGGGCGACGGTATCTTTTCTATCCCATTTCTGATTTCGATAGCAGAAGAGGTTGCATTATCTTTCCTCGTATGACTGTCTTGCAATGAATACGCTAATGACGTCACTCTTTGAGTTATCACCATTAGCGGTCCTAAAAAAAGGAAGGTATAAAGTCGTAATGTAACTTTATTATCATGACAATTCAATGTTTCATTATTCATTTATTCTGCGTTACGTCTGTTATTTACGAATCGTTTAATCTATTTCAATTAATTTTCTCTATCTTCTATAAAGGAGTTTTTCTTTTTCATTTTTTTTTTAATAAACATAACTAACTCTCATTCCCTTCACCCTGCAAAGCGTATACGTAATTAATTGATCTGCGCATAATTCAAATAAAGAATAGAAATAAGTTTTAACATGCAAACAAAATTTAAAAAAATATCCATTTTATTTATTTATATAGCAGAGACATAGGTTATCATTAAATAAATCTACTTTTAATGAGTCACTCGAAATTAATGAACTAAAACTATAAACGACCCAATTTCGTTCTACGGCCTTAGTTGCGGGGTTTTCGGGGTAAAATATATTGAATAATGTTTAATCATCGCGTAAACTACAAACACAAGTAAACTATACGTTTTAAGTGTACTGCCCGAATCAGGCAAAATACCATGTTACCGCCGTTATACTTGTTACATGAACCCAGGACTTTCGCGCTTTACGTGTTCAATTTCTAAATTATGTCTCTATTTCTATCCGGTGATATAGAGTCCATTTACCGAATAATTTAATTTAACGTGATAAGGAAATGTTAAATTAAATTGTGAGTCAAGCAAAGTAGCATATAATTAGTATTTACGAGTTATATTGTAATTATTATTAATGTAAATTTTACAATTGTTGCGCATTCGTCCTCCATTGTATTTGCAAAAACTACATAGTAAATTTACACCTGATTCTCCTAAAAAAACCGCCTGGGGGTCGTATTCTGGGAAAATATTACAGCCTCGATTAAGTAGCACTCATCCAAGCACAAACCACTTATTGCTTGTGAATTATCTAATAAATTAAAGAGACAAATGTTGTTGCTGTTTTGATTTTTAAATATTACCTGTTATATCAAGAGTGTAGTCTGCAGTGTGGTAAATTTGTCGATGCAGGTGTATGCATGATAGATATACCATAGATACTGCCAAAACTATACTGTGAAGTTGAAGGACTAGTTTATATCACAAAGTATTTTATAACAAGTTGAGTAAAGGGTATCATAATACATACTTTCCTATTAAATGTTGTGAAATAGTCTTGAATAGAACATAAGTAATCATCGGTAGTACAGATAAGTGTATTGCTTGTCTGAAACAAAGATTATTATTAAATTCAAGTTACCAAAAATAAAAACCATATAGCAAAAACTGTTTAAGCCTGCATCTTCAATGTCAATGTAATGTTCACAAATAATTATGAAGGTTTGTAATATTAGAAGTAAAAAGTATATGAACACATTAATATATAGTTTTTGATTTCTAACAGCTTCATTTAAAAATTATAATAAAAAAAAAGAAAAAAAATTATAAAAATACAAGATACACATAAATTAAAAATAATTCTTATAACCTCTCTAAATGTCTAAGGCAAAAAGCTATCTTAAAATATATAAAAAACTCTATTTTACTCTATTAATCAGTGGTTTCGCTTAACATTAGTATAAAAAACAGTATATGGAAGCAATAAATAATAAAATAAAGCTAAACTCACTTTCCAAAGCAGAAATATCCCATAAGCAAACCTATAACAAGGCATACCATATGACGAAATTCTGACGAAGCATATCTCAATGGTTTCCGAAATAGTCTTGCTAGGCACAGTGCAGCTATTTGTGCGATCAAAAAATTAACCTAATGAGAATGATAAAAAATTAAATAGTGCTCTTGTGGTACATAATGTGAATACCTAGAACTTAAAAATTTGAAATAAATTCTATGCAGCAAATAAATTTTATTTAGCCAGAAAAATAATAAATTATACATCTTGTTGTTTTAAATCATAATAGTATACTATTGATATCTACAAAAAAGATGCGTAATGTAATCTATAACTGCTATAATATATAATTTAAAATAGCATAGTGATCCTTTAAAGTTTATGTTCTATTGCCGTTCAACTTTTTACTATTGTATGTGAATTACCGGTACTTACTAGGTCAATTGGAAGACCGATTCTATTGGATAAGAATAAAAACACTTTACTCCCATCATAATAATCATTAAACGATGATGGCATGATGAGACGAATATTAATGGCACATACGAAGCACAGACAAAACTACCTCACCAACTTCTTGTTTAACTTTCACTGAACTTATTAGGTTTAAAAGCGATAATCAAATAGTAACTGGTTATATCAGGGCTTATAGCTGTCTAACAAGTTTTATAGTTAAAATTTTCAAAATTTGATTAATTTATAACACATTCCCTAAAGAATAAGGCTACATTACACTGTAGCTGTTAACACATCATTTAACAAATATATAGTTCAGGTTCTATCAATATTAGTGTTAGACTAAACTAGAAAATTATAACGCAGAATGTTGTAACACAAACAACGAGATGTATATACACAATAATACTTCCATGCAAATGCCAAATGCTATTTGTATTTTATATATAGTCCCTATAAGTGAAGTTGACATTTATGGCTTTATGCTCTGTGGTATATTCGTTACTATATCTTGAGTACTTCAATTCAGTTACCAGTAGCCAGGTTTGTCTCCAAGACCGAAACGTAAAAAGTATGCGGCGGTCTATGTATACCGAATTAATTTTAAAATAAAATTTATCTGTCTATTTAAATGTTTTGTACCGGCGTATGCAAATACTCAAGGGCCTTCTATTGAAAATGTATCGTTACTTTTATTAGCAATACTCAAATGGATATAAAATACTTAAACTCGAAACTACCGAATAACTGTCACAAATGATAAAACCCTATTAAAGTTTAAGTTAACATACAAAATGTGTCTAGAAAATGAATTTCAGGCTTTAATGTTAATTATATTTGGACTGTGTAATTTTCTGCATACACATTAATTGTAATCTTAGTTTATGAAGTTAAAGTAACACATTGTGTTAAAAGGTGCATAAAATAATAGATTATAAAAATAAATAAATTTAGCTTTTATTAATTAAAGTCAGTATTAACTTTTTTAACTTTGGAGAACTTATATCTAATGCAGTATTTCCTTCCTTATTTCTTATGTCAACTTGTGCACCAGCTTTAATTAACATGCTTGCCACAATTTCTCTGTCTTCTTCACAAGCCAGATATCTGAAAATGAAATATTTATAATTTATGTATTGATGTAAGAAACAATTATGTATATGTAAAAATAAATGCTTACTTCAAAGCAATAGATTTCTAGATATTTACTACTTACAGTGGTGTACATTTTGTTGAATCAATGGCATCAACCTTTATGTGTTTGGAATTCAATAAAATCTCTACAATATCTGATCTGCCTTGAGCAGAAGCTCTATGTAGAGCAGTTGCTCCCAAAACATCAGGAATATTTACATTGGCATCTACATTTATAAGGATTTTTACCACCTGCAGTAAAAAAAATGCTGTATAATAAGTATCAATTTTAATTTTTTAAATTTAAGAATTGAATGAATTACCTCTTTATGTCCTTTAGAAGATGCATAATGCAAAGAAGTTTGGTGGCGACTTGTTTTGTGATTAACATTAGCTTTTTTGCCTATAAGTAATCTGACAACCTCATATCGTCCAGCTGAGGCGGCTAATATTAATGGAGTAGCATTGGTATCATCTACAGGGTCAACAGGGGAGCCGCAATCAAGCAAGTAGTCCACCAAATTTTCATTGCCTCCAAGAGCAGCCCAATGAATTAAAAGACGGTTATTCTGTAATAAGACACGTAATTGCATGGGCTCGAATAAACAATTTTAATTGAAAATTACCGGTTTAAATCCTTACCTCATCTGGAGTAACTGCTAATGTTTTATCCTCGTCTATTTTAACTTTTACTTGGTTAAAGTCTCCTTTATACGCTTTCTCATACACTGAACCAATAGACATTTTGTAATAATATAACTCTGCCGTGAGTTGATCAAACTTGAATGAAAGTTCAGTTTTTCGAAGTCATTATCGGAAAATGCAATTGTTGTGTTAAATTAATAAAAAACGATATTCATTCACAAGCCACACCACAGCTACCTAAATTAAAAAAAAATAAGACCACAGATGCATTTCCCATGTTGAATACGGAATAGGCTGTAAAAGAGTGGCGATCACAATAAAAATGTACATTCCATATCTGTGGATGACTAATCTAAGTAAGTTGTCTGTAATTCAGCATTATTTTGATAACAAAGTTTAGCGTCATTATTTAAAATTTAATTTAAATTATGCGTGATATAATATAACTTCCTAAATGTGTAACCAAAATTTAGAAAACAATAGTTAAACGTTATTATGATGCAGTATTGTGACAGTTATCTATATGTATCAATTACCTGATATCCAGCCTAAGAAATATATTGTTTATATATATTTTAAACCGATCCTGTTTTAATAAGCAGAAAATTATTAATTATATTAAAGTGCAGGAAAATGATCTACCGGGAGTAGATAAACAAGAATTGATTCTGAAAACGATGGGTAATTTCCCCTCGAAACAATGAAATCATTTATAACATCTAACGTTATTCTAAATAACTATTATTTTGTTGTTGGTGGCCTGTTTATAGCCTACTTAATATATCGTACATTTCATTCTCTTATTGGGACGGGTAATTTTATACAAACAAAGTATAGATCTAGAGGCCATACATGGAGAAGTATTCAATGTAACAAATCCATCCCATATAACATCCATGTAAGTAAATATTTCATTGCTTTTTTTATTAATGACAAATAAAGCATTATTCATTGGTAAAAAACCTTTTAGTGTGCAGGTTGTGGAAAGCTTATGTTACCTGTAGACGGCCTATATTGTGAATGTTGTGCTGTCAGCGCTTGTAACCTCTGCTGTAGAGGAGTAGATAAAAAATTTAAGTGCAAAGAAATAACTTGGAAAGATGACAGGCCTTTTTCTCATCTTTGGGTTAATGGTAGGTATAAGAGCAGACTATATACATATATGTATAATTTAATTTTTCATATGGTGGAAAAAAACAATTATTTAATTCTAACTAGTTTAACTAAATACTATTTGACACTTAACATTCCTCTCTAATGGAGGACTCCTGTTATTAACAGAATTTATTACAATATTATCGTATATGTATACTAAACAAACCCTAAAAATTATGTTAAGCATGTATAATTATACATTTTATATATATATATGTGCCAATATTTAGTATTGTAAGATAAGTATCAGCTAAACAAAATTTTATTAAAACATGCTATAATAATCTATTTTATTTTTCAGTTGGTGTTTCCAGAGGCGATACAGACCAGAATGAGGAAACAGAAAGTTTTAAAAATTATTTCTGCAGTTGGTGTCAAAGAGTTATAAAAAGTGATGATTTACCAATACATAAAACTGAGGTATCTTTTACTGTGAAATCTTTCTTGTAACATGGCCACATACATTGATTAAATTTACTAGTAAGTTACTCTTTTAAATTTTTAGGCATGTGATTTTCAAAAGTACAAAGATATAATTATACCACCGAGTTGTGTCAAGATTGAGAAAAATAAGATATTATCAATACTTCCAGTAAATGATGACGAGTGGGAGCCATTAATAATTTTTGGTAAGGTACAAATACAAATAAAAGGTACTTGGGATCCAAAGTCTCTTAGATTTTCTTCCTATTCTACAGTCATAATTGATACTTCCTCAACTAACCGACTGCAAAAGCACAAATCTTAAAGTAATGCAAGTGTGATTGCAAAATGTCAACAACTAATTGGCAACTACAATAATCTAACAGCTCTAAAATTAAAGTAGCTTTGCATAAAACACAGCTTTATTTTGTTTATAAATTGAAAGATGCATTTGTGGGAAATTGATAAGTCAAATTTTTAATTTCAGCTAATAGGAAATCGGGAAGTAATAGAAGCGATGAAGTTCTTTCACTATTTCGTGGCTTGCTAAATCCTTTGCAGGTTTGGAATAAATAAATTTTTGTTTTTTTATAGGATCTAGAAATTATAGGTCTTTATTTATAATTTGCATACTTATATATATGTTACATGATAAAAAATGTGTAAAAATTTCAGCTTGACTATATAGGATTTTAAATTAAATATTTATACAAAACGCTAAAAGAAACCAAATATTAAAACTTTATGTTTTAATGTGTCAAATTCAATTGTGTGTGTTATTATTATTTCTATCGGGGACACCTGTGGTAGGACTGGTGATCAGTCCACGTTATCAGGCGACCATTTCCCCATTTCCTCCTTGCAGAGGTTTTGGGTCATCCAACTCTCCCCGTGTCCCCTTCAAACCTTCCGGTTTGCTTGCAGAATCTTATTATTTTTTCCATCTGTAGTTCTTTGATGTCATCTTCTGTAACTTCGTCCGAACACATATGCATTTGTCTTAGCCTTGAGTACGCAGAGCATTCAGTGAGTAGATGGATGCTTGTTTCCTCACTTTCTCTGCCTGTGGACATAGGGGGTCGCTACATATTCCTATCATTGTAAGATGTCTATTTAGACGGCAATTGCCTGTTATGATTTCTACGATGAGGCGGATATTCGCTCTCGTTAGTCTCATGAGGTTTTTGGTCTTCTTTTTATTTAGGCTATGTATGAACATTTTCGACTGTCTTGTGTCCGGGGACCCAGGCAATTGCCACTTCTACCTGATCAGTTAGTTGGTCCAGTGCTTCCTTACATTCTTTGACAATAGCGGATGACTCTTCTTTGCATAGCGCTTTAAGTGTCACTGTAAATTGTAACACGTGACATGGGTCTTAAGTGTCTGACAATCTCTGCATATGTGTGTTAAGTATTTGATTTAAATTATCGAGTATCACCTTTAATTAAGAATCGTTAAACCTCTTCCTACATATTCATTGAGTAGTTATTTACGTATTTTTTTTGTTTTGGACAGGTGATAGATATAAGCAGAACTGCTCCAGAGACTGTGGTGCGATGGCTCCCTCCTCGTTGTCGTGTATTAGTCGCGGGGGGCGACGGGACTATCGCATGGGTACTTAATGCACTGCATACCGTCCCCCATATTAAGGTAAAGAAGATTTAAATAGTAAAATATTCACCATAAGAGTTACTGTTGTTGAACAGGGCACGAAGGAGAGAAGGGATAACATTTCTAAAAAATATTGATGATTTTTCTATATTATTTTGTACTTATCTTATTTCAGGCATCAGTGGGTATCTTGCCTATGGGCACGGGTAATGACCTGTCAAGGGCGTTGAGATGGGGAGCGACTTGCGATTCGGTTTTAGATGCACATTCCATTATTAATTCCTTAATGCGAGCTGTTGAGCAGCCTTTAGACCGGTGAGAGAGTCTTTTCACTTTAAGAGTTAAAGAGTATTTCTAAACTTAGCTGCTAGCAAAGTTTTCATGATTTGCAAAAGCCTCATGCCCCACGAAAGGAAATGTGAATTACCTTTTTTTCAAATTACATTGCAGTGTAGAAGTATTATGTACGTATATCTGTTTACTTATTGCCAGATGGAAAGTGACTATATCACCTAAAAGGCGAAGCCTCGGCCGCCTGCGAGGTTCTCGTGTACTGTATGCTTATAACTACGCGAGTATAGGTGTGGACGCGCAGGTGGCGCTCGATTTTCACCGTGCGCGCGCGCAATTTCTATACAGATACGCTAACAGGACTTTGAACTATGTAAGAATATATATACATATATATTTTTTGTAATTTTTGATATAAGTATAGTAATAGGTACTAGAGTAAGGTAGTACCGTACTTTTTTAACAGTTTAACATGTTTGATCAGATATTTTTTTTTCAAACTGTGGAAACTATTATTAGGGTTTCCCCTTAGACGAAACGGTGAACAACTTTTCAGCCATTACTAGCACAGGAATTATCTTATAAGAATTATATGAATGATTCAAGTCAAAGTAAAAAATAAGTAATCTTTTGAGAACAATACCTTAAAACAGATACAGTAAATATAGGTAGCCTACGCGTTACTTGGTGTTGGACGGGCTTTGGACGACGGTGGTTGTGGTGGCCTTGAACGACGTCTTCGCGTTTGGGTGCCGGAACCCCTCGAACTGCCGCCTGTGCAAGCATTGGTCGCCCTGAACATCCCATCTTGGGGCGCTGGCGTTAATCTCTGGAGTTAGTACATAAATTAATTATATCTAATTGGTGTGGTTAATCTTTAGTAGTTTATAAAGGCAATAGTTGAAAACTCATTTTTCTGGTTCTTTCTATAAGATTTTATTATTTATCTTATTTTCAGGTATGGGGAGTGAAGAAGTCCCAGAACAAAGCATGAGCGATGGAAAACTAGAGGTAAATAAGTAATTTACTTAATAAGTCTTTTTCTATTTCTTTCTCGATGCCTGAAAGAAATCGCTGCTTAGTGATAAGGCCGCCTTTTATTTATAAGTTAGTACGTAAGATTTTTCCTCATTCATATATATTTTTTTGATATTTCATATGAGGCTACCCTCATGCTACTGAAGTTTTACTACATTTTTTCTTACGAGTTGATCACGTTGTTATGTCACTCTAATCTCCACAGGTGGTGGGTATTTCATCATCATTCCACATAGCGAGGCTGCAGTGTGGACTGGCTGAACCATTCCGATTCACCCAAGCATCCGACGTGAGGGTACGGCTTATTTTTTAACTTTCTTAGACTTTTTACAATTAGCAATTAAATTATTTTTACTTATTATGACAATATAAGTCAACTCATTATTCAAATAGTAATTATAAATATATTTTTATAATTATTGGATGCTGATTGGCGACTACGACTTATAATTTAGAATACACATAAAATAATGTTATGTCAATTTTTGGCCTAGACCAGACTCTTCCCTTCACTGTTCATATTGCCAAATTTAATATAAAGTTATTTGTTTAGATCGAGATGGAAGGCTCGTGTGCCATGCAGGTTGACGGTGAACCGTGGATGCAGGGTCCCGCAACTATACTAATACAACATGCTGGTCAAAGTCGCATGCTTGTCCCGTCGGAGCCATTCCAAACTTAAAAAGCCATTTCGTTAAACGTACACTCGTAACTTGTCTCATATACGAAAGGAAATAATCATAACGTGATTCTCTCTGTAGATCTAAAGCAGTTATTTATTATCCATATACTTAAATATATATTTTCCAAATAAGCAGGAAGATTGAATTGATGTTAATAATATGAATTGTAACATATTTTCTGACTCTAGGTACGTCCATATTGTTTGTCTCAAATGCTAGCATTAATCGTTATTATAATTTTGTTTGGATCTGGTAGGGTAGGTACACATATTTATAGTTATTCTATTCCTTGGTAAAGGTACTTAAATCTTAAGGTATTGTTCCTAAAGTCATAATCTCATTACTTCATCGTACTTAGTTAACTTAAGTACACTTACCTCGTGCAATAAATTTAAATAATCATATTAGATGCCAAAGATTTTATTCCAGTGTCATGTGTTGTTTAATAAATAATAAAACGTATGTTTTGTTTTTTTTTGCGTCTTCTCCAAATCTAAGGCATAGTCTACGATGTAGGTAAGGGCACGGTAAGTAAGCTCAGATCAGCCACCTGTGCCTATCCCGAGCGAAAAAGTAATTTTATTTGTTTTTTCGCAACGAGGATTTTTACAAGGTTAGGGCTGATGCTTAACAAAAAAACACCGTGTTGATAACAAATTTTATTAGATACTCAAATAAAATATATTTTTCTACAACAGTGTACATTACAACAATATTAACCATTGATTACATACATTTAATAAGACATCTCATAGCATTTATTTGGAAGTACTAGAGAGTAACATATATATATATACATATATACACTTGATATTTTAAATGAAGTTCAGTTACTAAATATTTAATTGTGCTAAGAATATACGCTATTACTATAAATTAGTAAACTATATCAGTGAAGTATACATATCAATATACATTTCAACTATTTTCATTCGACAAAATATATTCTATCCGACGACAAAAAATTCCTATAAAATATTACAAAGATTTCCTAAGGAATGTCGAATACCTATTGCTAAATACATAAAAAAATATACACTTTAAAATTATGCAATCGGTCTATGGTGCGTATTATTTGGCACAATGTATTGTGGTGATTTTTCTCTACGTCACATTTATTATTCCATTACATTTTTTAATGTAGTAAAAATATATTTCAGCGACGTATTATTAACTATACTGATACTTCTTGTTAGAAGTATCGGTATAGTTAAAAATAAATAAATAGTAACTTTCAAGATTAGTAAATGCTTTACAAATAACTTTTAAAATGGATGTATGAACTATGTACATAAAAATATTTCGCGTAAACAGTAGAATAAAAAAAACTTTTGTGCTGCATAAAATTGCGTAATTTTAAATAGTTATATAAGGAGAAAATGAATAGCATTTGGTCTTTGAGACCACATTATATCACAATAATTATAAAGTAATTCTCTACTACACGATTTCACATAATAATAAAACTGGTAACTTAATCAGCCATGGTTAAAACCTAAGGATGAAAGACTGGACATATTAGCCTATGGAGTGGTTTTATGTACTTTGTACTTATCAATTATGTAAAAGGTATACTTAATTTATATAACCTAATTCTTTTGTAATATGCTGTCCTATGATACAATCAGCTTGAGGTTTATTTGATGGAAGGTAATATAGTTTACGAAGCTATGATACCAGTTCAGATCAGGCCATATCTGCACATTAAATCTTTGTTGCAATAAAATTATAAAGATTAACCTCGTCAAGAAATAATGTTTTGTGACTTAATAAAGTAGTAAAATATATGCATACTTTTCACATGTTTGGAATTCATTGGCTTAAAGTCAAGTGTATACTACATACATATATTCGCAATACATTTGTAACACTAGAAACGTTTAATTCCTCAATAGGAACATTATACCTAAAATTCTTAGAAAGTTTACATACATTGAACACAAATAAGGCCATTTTATTTTACATCTATAAACAACATAACATTTTGCTAAATCGAATATGGTACATAATCATATAAGATTATAAAAAACTCAGAAAATGTTTATAAAAATTCGTGAAAGTAAAATGCTTAAAGGTTTGGCTATAAGAATCGAAATCCAATAATTTTTTGTTTAGGTCAGAAGTCCCTAAATGAGTTGTTTTTGCTAAAAACATGCTTATTAAGAGATATTATAAACGGGCCTGTTATTTATTCTGTTGATTGTACCTTAATAGTCCCAAAGTTCATTCTAAGCTGTTCTAAGAATACAAATGTAAGAATAGTGTGTGGTGCGAGTCTTACAAAGGCTGGGATATAGCCTTTGAAGAATGCGAGAGGACCTTCTTTGCCTGTGTTCATTATCAAACTTAATATACCTTTGATTTCCCCTGGTTTAGCATTCATGGCTCTTGTTTTAAGGACATCAACTGGCTGGGTCATTGTTGTTGCTATAGCACCCTGAAATAATAAGATGTATTTAAGGTGATTTCAGATTTTTGTAAAATTAATAAGTGTAACTAAAGAAAAACTATGCATAAATACCAAGATCTACAAAATATGTTATTTAACTTACAGCCAACAAACTTGATGTGACATGAGTTGCGACATTATCTCCAAAGTATGGTGTTGTTGTAAGGAGGCTTTTTATCAGGTCATAGAATGACAGTTGGCCAATAGTCATAAGAGCAGCTCGGCTACATGTCATTGAAGCACCAGCCCACAGCCGAAGAACACCCTCTTGAGTAGCAACACGATATAAACCGTGAATAGCATTTTTATAACTAAAATAATTAAATGAGCTAATTAATATAAGATAATTATAAAAAGTATTAGGACTCACACTTTTCATAAATTTTGGCTAATAAAAAAAAACTAGAATTTGAAATAAAAACTTTGCTTACTTCCGTCTCTGTTCTGGTGGAAGCTTCACATCATTTTGCATTCTTACATTGACTAGGTCAGCAGGATTTCCTACAAAACCACCTGCAAAGCCTCCAAGACCAGCTAATAATGCAGACATGTAAAATGGCACTGGGCTGCCCTGAAATTTTGTTTATTAAATAGGCAATTTTATAATTATTTAAATTTGTATTTTTTCGTAAATTATTGTGCTGTACTTACATCTTTAGGTGCCAAACTTTGTTTTGCTACTTCATAAATACCAAATCTTGCTGTTGAATATGTAAGCTGACGTAAAAGGGATGCAGATATACCGTTGTAAAGTCCCATTACACCTAAAATATTAGAGTAAAGATAAAATGATAATAATTCATATAACGATGTGTTAATGTTGCATGAATAATTTCTGACCTTGATTTTTTAAAACTATGCCTGTAAGTTTCAACATAGAGATGTTTTTTCCTTTTTGTGTTTGCATTTGGACTTTTAATAAGTCAAGTGGATGCGTAACACATGCCGCTCCAGCCGAAGCCAAGCCTCCGAAGTACCATTTCGATATTCTCACGTCTTTATCCTTTCCCATTCTGAAATCAAATACTGTATTTCACTAGTTCCCCCATGAAAGATCGCAAAGGCGCCAGCGTCAAGGTGAAAATGTCAGTGTAACAATCTATTATATAATAAGGTAAATCAGTTTATTCCGTTAATAACTTAGATTTAACTTAACATGATCCAATTAAATATCACTGATATACCTGATAGTAAAATATCATTCACGCAGATCAAATACACATCGAAATAATTATTATTAATCACGCAATACAACCATTGTTATTCACCGAAAAACTAATAAGTATTATTATTTTTAAATATTGAAATATTAAATAAACATAACCTAGCCGCGCAAACTTCTAACCATAACTATAAGTTATACTTCAGTATCTCTATGACTATAACTGTAAGGTCGTTAGTGTTGTGTTTGACAGGTATGCCAATCTAGATGATAATTGCACGATTATTTCATTGAAAACCGAATACAATAATCGCGTTTATGATGGTTTATATAAAATAAAATAATACGAATAGAATATAAGTTATATGAAAATGTGATTCACAATTTTTATTCATCTGAAGGTGCCTATTAAACGATGTTAATAATTTAAGGAAGTTTATTTATAATAATATATATTATACTACTATCGATTAATAGTGTCTGACAGTTAAGAAAGATCCAAGACCAAGATTGATTTTTAATGTCAAGGTTAAATGTCAAGGAACATAGTCGAGTGACATTTACTCAGCTGGTCAAGCTTAATATAAATATAACCTTAAAATGCTTTAATATACTTAAATATATAACATACCTGCAAAGCAAACTAAAAAGTGCCTTCAAATAAATTTTAATTCTCAGCCACGCACACGTGAAATTGAACACTTCAAGTATTATATTATAAAGTACGAAGGAGAAGTACAAAGTGTATATATACAAAAAATAAATAAATAAAAATTTTCAATAAGGTTCGTATGCTCTTTCTAAAAATATCTTATCTTTAACACGTTACCAGTTGTATAATTATTTATGTATATGTGTTCGCTTGATACATAAAATTTATTATGAATTATAAAAGTATGATATAATTCAAGTTGTGTAATATCTACCTTTCGATAATTCTTCCTGCGTTCACAATTTTTTGTACAGTTTTGTGCACACAACGTTCTTTCCTTTGATATATATTATCTCATTGATAACATATCCAAAATTGTGATAACTATTAAATCATAATGACATTTGTTTTCAGATGTCTGATGTCATAACTAGTTTGCATTTAGATAAAGGAGTTGTTACCCACAAGCTTATAGCAGTAAAGGAGCTGAATGGTTGTGACAGTTCTTTTATTATAAGTTGTTTGCTTGGCCACTGCATCAGAAACAAGAATGCACTCCTTGTTGTGTGTCTACACAACTCTCAGGAGCATTATCATAATGTTGGTTTGAAGATGAACTATAACTTGAACAAGAATGTTGAAAGTGGTCTTATACATTTTTATAATGCTGGTGAAGAACTAACTAGAGCAATATTAGATAGTAATTCAATTTCTGCTAATATTTTCTGCACAAAATTGAAAGAGCAGATAGACAAAATTAAGAAAAATTATAACTCTGTGAACATAATAATTGAGGGTGTGTCTCATTTATTTGATCTAGAGTTCAGTTTAAGGGAAGTCAATTATATTTGTAAGGAAATCATCAATCTTGTTAGAGATTATGATAATTCCTTTTTGCTGATGCAATGTAATGCTGCCTGTGATAATGATGAGACACATGTGATGGCAAATCTGTTGGCTTATAAAGTCCATGTCCTTGTTGAAGTAGATCATTTAGCATCTGGTTGGAGTACAGATGTTTCTGGTCACATCACTTTCAAATATCCAAGCCGTAAATTTGAAAAGGAGCATAAGCATAAAATAGAACTTAAACCATCACATCATCTGTTTAAACTGTTTGACAGAGGAGTAAAATTACTCGCACCAGGTGCAGTATAGTTAGTAATTGGTATGTAAATTGTTACAACATTTTTTCCATGTACTAAGTACAATAACTTATTCTATAGACATGTGTAGCACTCATTCGTGTTTAATTGTATCATGTGGGCACAATTATATGTCATTAATAAAAAACGAATTTTAAATACAAAATATACTCCCTAAACCTTGTTTCATGACACAATTATGATATACACCTTGTATTATAGAATAAAAGCAAATGTTACGTTAAGCCTACATATAAAATGTTTTGTTATTATATGCATTTCTATTTTCTATTGGATTTGCAATGAATTTTTGTGATTACTTCTACTCCTACATAAGCATATTAATCCCAAATATTCCACTTACATAACTGATAACTAGGTGCAAATTCTTGGTACTGACTACTGACGGTTTGGCAAATAACCAATGAGTGCGTGACATTCTTATTAGTTTCTATTTACCGCGTTGTAATGCAGATTTCAACTCGCCCCATTACGTTTCATTGCTGTGAAACGAGAACTACGATGGGATAACTGTACTCTTCATATTAAAACTATTTCTTAATTGATGTGAAATATTTATTATTAATTTTAATTAACCATGCAGATAACAAGGTCAGAACGGATTCTATAAATATAAGAGCGTTTTCTCGCCCGCACTATAGTTTTATCTATGTGCTTGTGTACTTACATTATGGAATATGATATTGTTATTATTTGCTAATCCACCAAAGTGTTTATAAGTTTATCTGAAAGATCTATTAAAATTAATCTCCAATCTTTTGAATCTTTGTTTATATCAAGGGCTACGAATCGAAAATCCACCGTTGATGTCAAACGGTGTAATAAAATGTAGTCTTAGAACGCATTATGCTAGTATGACGCCGTAAATAACTGATTTAAACGAATTGAAATATTATTACTTTATATATCTTAAATAATTGAGTATTATCTTGGGTATATTCATTTTATTTAATTTATACTACTCGCGTGAGATGCAGGTGCAGCATTTTAGTGTTTAGTGAGTGAGAAAAATAAAACATATCGCTGAAACAACGCATGAAACTTTCCTTTGTGATGATTAGCCGTTACCAGAGCGACCGTCAAGTGCTTTCAGGCTGTTTCTGGTTGATGTTCAGTTCATGCGGACGTAGAGTTGTGATTGATATAAACGCCGACGTGCGATATTTTTAAATATTATCTAATTATAGCGCTACATTGGCCATCATAGAAGAGTTCAAAATCAAATCCAATTATTGTCTCTAAATAATTTGTTAGTCTTGATTTAAAATTTGTTTTGTTAGTCATAAAGTTTTAGTAAGCTTAAAAGTCGTAATGACTCAGAGCAACTTTGGTACCGATAAGCTTAGCAGTGGACGGTCTGTTAGTGAGGAAAAGTTAATGGTAAGTATAATAAAAAATACTATATATATATCTCGTATACTTTTCATCTAATTACTAACAATCCAGAAAAGGATTCACCCATGTTCTATGGAAATTTTGTTCGTTAGCGATGATTAGTTTCGGCCCTGTGTTATGATTGAAATTAAGTATTTGTAACACAAGGTTAAAGTTTTTTTTTAACATCAAGAAATCTAAGGCTATGCACGTTATTCAGTCGCTCGACTCGAGTCTAACTATACTTTAAAGTTACTTTTACGTACGTATACCATTGTTTGTTTGAATCATGGTTTATTTATTTAAAAACTAATTTTATTTAATCTATATTTATATATAAGTTATAAGATTGATTCATTCTTATTTCACAACTATCAACTTACTCAGATTATTAGAATGATAGATAAGAAACACACTATAAAACCAATACAATTATAAACAGCTATAAAATTAGTAATAAGAAAATTAACGCCTGTAGCTATATACTTAGCCATAACCACTGACAGGTAGCCGTTAGAGTGAGACCCCTACGAGCAGATGAGGGTACGCGAATCGTTCATGTCGTCAGCGATAAGGTAAGGTAACTTCAAAATACTTTTACATTATAAAGATAAACGCACTGTTTCGCTTACATCATAAGCGACAAGCAGTTGCGTCAATCACCTTATCAATTAGGTTTAAAGCACTTCACCGCCAATGTCACATCATGTTTAGAGATTAAAAGGAAACACGTTTAATTATAGATAAAAGTAATTACTATCTCTATACAAGGATATTTCGTGCTTCTTTCAAACGAATATCAAATGAAATCCTCCTTCTATCATTCTCTATGAGGATGGCACAATTTAGGCAGAAAAGTTCAATAAATGTAATTGTACTTGCTGCTGAATATAAGAATATTCATTGAAGACACAATCCGTTTGTGTGGCTAAGTATAAGAGATGATACCTTTGCCAAAATATAATATAAACATAACATTTTATTCATAATAGTTTTTTCGCGGTAAGTAATAGGTTTCACTCAATGAAGAACACAGCTAAGCACATAGTTTCTTGTTCACTTCAGTGACATCAAGCGTATATCTAAAGCCAAAATTGTTGGACAACACATCTTTCTTAGATGTTGTATGACTGCGCTATTTCACCTCCAATCAAATAAACCAGCTTGTCTATCCCGTTTATATTTGAAAAAAGTGTTTAAAGAAACATACAATAGAACTACATCTTTTCCAAAGTGTTACTCACAAAGCTTCAAACCGTTTTACAATTTTAGTTATTTCTTAAAGCACTATGTGGAATAATGTTTATAATAGATCATCATTCATTGTATTATTTGACAAACAGATGCTTGTCTTAGAAGAGGAGACGGATAGTCGTCGCGATGTGCTTAGACAGCGTCGAATTAACGATAAACACTATGTTTACGATAAAGTTTTTGGAGAAAGCAGCACTCAAGTACGTAGAAGTATTTTTTTGTTATATCATATTATTTACATGCTTAATTACATAGCAGATATCTAAAAACAGTAGGCTTATTTAGGAGAAATACTCGACCATCGCTTAACGGAAGGCTCCATGCGGCTTCGATTATTTATTGCCGTGAATATGTAAAATAGACAAGACATATTAATGCAGTTACGGCAGTGTTTGTAGGGAAGCAAAATTGCTGTAATATTTCAGTATGATTACGTCTAGATGTCTACGCGCTAGGAATAAAAAGTCCAACAAACGTGCGACATAACAAGCGTTTAATATCCATGATTGGTTAGATTAGCCTCTACCTTTTTTAGTTTTTTATTTATTTAACATAACCTTTACTACGGTGCTACGATGCAAAATGTCTAAATAATAAATGTATTTTCTTATACCGACTACGTTCTAGGAGCTTTGAAACAACCGAACTGCTATCATTATATATTATTATTATTAATAATTACATATTTGATGTTTAAATAAAACAACTTTAAACTGTATTTATCGCGTTAACTACTGGCGTTAATTGTAGATCATACTGATATTCGGTATTAATAAAATATATAGGAAACAAGGTTTTTAGAATGTGCTTTATGTATCATCTTCAGTTAAATGTAATTAATAGTTTAACTTAAAAAATAGGATGAGGTGTACGAAGCAGTTTGTGCACCATTAGTCGGAGATACCCTTAATGGAATAGCTGGTGCCGTCTTTGCATACGGAGCCACGGGCGCTGGCAAAACACACACCATGACCGGTTTGATGTCGAGAGCGCTGAGCCATTTATTCAGTTCGATAGCCAAAAGTGATAATCCCGATGCCTTTGAGGTGAGTTTTATTTACTGGAGATACTATGAATACCGAGAAAATCATTATTAGTCTCATATTCTTAATGTTCCCGTATTATTATGCGACGATGCCCTAGTCTGTTAAAATCTGTCTAGATGTGTCACTTTCAACAAGTCTGTGCGAAAGTATTTTTTTGTGTTGAAATAGGAATGGGACTTAAATGTAGAAAAAAGAACTTCGAACAGGTTCAACTACAAAGTTCTTTATAAGAAACTTTAACAACTGCGAAAATAAAGTGTATAGCATTAACATACACCACTGCTAGGTAATATGTCAATTATACATTTTGTTCTTTACGAACTTCGTTTTCTAATTGTTAACTTGACTACAGCCTTTAAAGGCCTAATAGCCCCTGTCACAGCGTATTATGTGAACGTGATAAAACGGCATTTTGTTTACCCTATAGATTATTACCATAGCGTGAACGTGTTACACTCATTTGCTCAAAATCAATAAACGTATTATTTTTTCATCTTTCAGCGCGACGCATATCGTAGTGTCTTTATATATACTTCCATGCATTTGTATTAAATATTGCCTCCTACATAGCTCAATGGTTAACTAACGCGGTCCAACGCGATCGCTAGTTTGAATCTTGGAGAGACCATAAATAAATAATTTCGAGCATGGTTTTAAACTTGGGGATTAAGATTACAGTTTAATAAATTGACATAAAATCGGGTCCATTCTCACTACTGTAGGGATTTCACTTGTAGGTACAGATATATACACAAGAAACCAACGTTCCTTTTAGAACTGAAATCCAAAGCATTTTTGACGATAATATTCAAAATAAATCATTATATTATTAACTATGATACGCAATTTACTTTAGCTGTTAGTATTCTTAGTTGTTACCTTTATTTGCGAAGAAATGTGACCTCGTTCCTATCGGTGCCACGGATTCAAGAATGAAAGCCTTGATCTTATTAATTATACTCGTATTAATAACTAGCCCTTGCTCTCGTCCAGTTACATTTAATGTTATGAAAAGAGGTTATAAAATCAATTAATGTTTAAAAATGTATTCTATATTATTGACACGAACCGGCCACACATTAAATCTCTATCTGCGCTTTGTTTGAGGAATCAAACGGAACGGAAGTTCTACATACCGTCTTTTCTTACATTTTGCATATTATAATTAAGGTTAACAATGTTAGTTGTTGTTATTATATTTATAAGAAACATAATTATGGTATTGACCTTGACCCATGAAAAACGACACTATTAAGCTTTTTATTGTTTCTATGGCGATTGTGTTTACTGTTTTTTGTTTATTACAACATGAAGCTGCTTAATAATAAAATTAAATAATATCTAATACAGAATCATATTTAGCCACTTTTTTATCATTCTAAACTTAAAATAAATTTTATTTCAAACAAATTCCCAGAAATAAGTTGACATAAGTACCTTCTTGTATTTCATTGATAAATTTGTCTACGACATTTGAGTTCTTTGTAAAGCGTTCATTGTAGGTATACACAGAACGGGTTATTAAATTTTGTGGTTTGATGGTGTTGTGGGTGGTGGGGGAGACACCCTCTACTCAAGGTCATTGCCTATCGCGCTCCGCATGATTAACATTTGAAAAATCGAATATGTAAGTTTTATATATCGTCTCCTAAGCGTAGTCCCTATTTGTTGTTTAACATATTAATAAAAAATATTGTGTACTATTGTTAAAACTGTTTGTTTGTTTTTCTTCACGCCCTAAGTAAGGGCGTGAATTGTTTTTAGGATACAGTTTGCAAAAGGGTTGGTGAGCACCGTTGGCTACATTTTTTAACAAAAATAAATGTTCCCAAAAAAAGTAAAGTTTTAGCATTGGTGTATTATTTCTCGTGGCGTAAAGAAGTCTTAAACAAAAGATAAACATTATAAAATATTTATACGGCCTATTACAATTGCATTTATTCATTTTATCGTCAAATGCTTTACTTCAAGCCGTGCTCCAGTTAACAGTTCAAATAAACTGTCGGCACATTGCCAAAAGATCTGCAAGCGATTAAAAGGATTTATTCACCTGTTAAACACGATTTCTTGAATAATATCATAAAGGTAATGCAACATAATAACTACTTTCAAGTTGAAGATAAAATAAATCCGAAGCATCGTTGGACCGCTGAAGCCTTATAAAATAATTTTACAATTAATAAATTATTTTCGCACTATACCAACATCATTAAGATCTAACCCGACGTATAACCGTAGTAATTTAATTCGCCAAGGTTTTTCTGAATAAAACCAATGTTTTTGAACTTCACAACTGCTTTGAAAATGATTAAAAAGCTATTAACATGAAGAAGATAAGCTATTTCTCATATTACCATTTTTTATTGTGCGTGGAAATTAGTTGAAGACGGTAGCGGGGATGTATACAGTGTTACAATGCAAGGAAAGCCTTCTACTCTATCAATCTGCTGACGTCACGAAGGCTGAATCGAAAGCCTTCGTTAAATATTCAGGGCCATTTTAGTAAGACGTGCTAGATCATTAACATTTCTTTGCTTTATATATAAAACATATTATAAAGATTACCAAACTGTAATGTCTTTAGATAACAAAGACGATCGAATAAGATCTTACTATAGAAGAATTATTAATATTTTTATCTACAAGACTGATATGAGCTTTATATAATAATACAATTGTAATGACAATGTCATAAAAGGACATAAGCTCGATATTAAAAGATATTCCGTTTAGATATACATATCTTAAGTAAGGTTAATAAAGAAACCGTAGTTTAATGCTTCTTTGGGTTTAACGCTACAAGACTGAACTTTTAAATCAAGCTTGGGCTGTTATCTTAGGTGTCATGTTTACCAGATCATTTGCACAATCTTTTTAAATAAAAATGTTTATAGTGTATTTACGCATAAAAAATTACATGCTAGTGTGTCGTGGTTACGAAGCTACCGAATAAAAACGCATTTAAATAAAAATATAAAATTATAAACTACAAAATAAAGAATGATTTTACGTGAACTTTCCCCACTTATTCATTCCCGTTCGTGCACAATGCATAATAGATCAACTTAATCTGCCTTCAATATGAAATGTGTTGCAATTGTTTTATTCTTGTAACAAATTTATTGACTGTGACATTTCAAGACATTATTCAACATTCGACAATTTACCTGTGTATGAGTAATATTGATTATTATTTATTCCTTCACCGCACATCGTAAAAGTGTGAATAAAAATGTATGTACATATTTGTATTTCGCGCCTAATGTCTTTTTTATGTACTGAATAAATATTTCACTAATTGTTGTATGATAGCGTACGTACGAAGCCTTTTTTCAATGAATTTTTGGTTGCGTTTATTAATCGAGACCTCGTCTTTTATTTATTTATACGTTAAAATTAATCGGTGAATTGGATACAGAAGGGTTTCGTCTCGTGCCTCGAAAAGGGTAACAGGGTTCACTTAATTTATTATTTGTACATTATTTTTCTATATATAAGATAACTGCTCGGTATAAGCGCTTCGCTACGCACAGTTCTACACGAGCATACCTCAGGATTGTAAAAGAATCATATAATCCCATAATTTTATATTGTAGAATAGATAGATTGTTAACAAACTTCATTTCCGGTTTTAAGAATATACCAATAATTTATTAACAATTATAATTGAATTGATTTCTCTGTTCTGTAACATCTTTTTAAATACTGAAATTAAAAAGATAATGTACATCAGTAATTGAGTACTGCTAACTACTAATAAATTAAAATACCTATTATTTTAATTGATTATGATACTTAGTAAAATGTAAGCGATACAATATGTAAGCGATCTGCTGATATATCATGATGAATATATAAATAGTAACTTAATAAAAACTATATAGTCCAAACAGTTGAGCTAAAGTTTTAACTTAAGTTCAGAATGGCTTTTCTATTACTAAAATACTATTGCACTTACCTCTACTACAAGTTTAACATACTTTATCATTTTGTAGGTAAAAATGTCATATATCGAGATCTACAATGAAAATATTCGTGATTTACTCAACCCCAGCGCGGGGCCTTTAGAGTTACGAGACGAGGGTAGTTCTGGAGCGCCGATTGTAGCGGGACTGAGTGAGGTATTCTAGTTAATTAAACCTTGGTTTAAATCAAACATTTACTTGCTTTTTATATCTTTAAAAGTAAGGCTATAGTTATTACAAGGTTGTTACAATTTACATTACAAACTTTGAAAACGCAACGTAATAGTACATTATGATATAAGTGCGTTAAGTTGAAAATTTGAGCCGAAGCGATATTACTATAAGAAAGCAGAGGCTGTAATTTCCAAAGCGCACGTATGTCATACGTCGTTTTATAACATATTTACGAGGAAATTAATATAACTTAGTTAAACGAATAAATCTTTAATTAATTGTTAAAACAGTTATAAAAATTTTTACTTGTCTACATATAAGCGATGCCCGCGCATCAACGTTTTTTTTAGGCAAAGGTACAAAAACAGCCAGCATTACTAATAAAGTAAATTAATATTTTTGTGTTTTTGTTATAGAAAAATGGTTGTAATTTATTGCGAAAATTAATTAAATTAAAGAATCAAATGTTTATTTGTTATATTTTATTTCCTAAAGTTAATTTTATTCATAAAATATTGACCACTTGACATAAAACCTCTTTGCTAAGATTTTTAAAAGTATCGTTCATTTTTAGACGTAGAAGTATCTTAAAACTTTATTTAAAAAAAACACGTGCTTTTTACATTACATTATCGCACAAGTACGATATTGAAATTGGTGAAATTACAACCACTTTACGAGCAAATATATTATAAATACATTTTCTACTTCAAAGAAGGTTTTCTGTAGAACAAATATAAGGATGGTAGTGGCAGAGTGGCTAATAACAAAAAACATTATTTTCCATAAGGAAAATAAAAATGCAGGATTAACTTAGGTGAAAATGAATTTGTAGTATTATATGTGTAAGAATTATGTTAACAATTTTCAATCACTGTGATCTTGTTGATTAACATTTTTAGACTATGAAAGTATACATAACTCAAATCATAAAATTGCAGTTAGGTACTCTGCCTCTAGCGGCCTCATATAAAGTAGTTATGTAAAACAAATCTATTCGTTAGCGATGCTTGACTTATAAGAGAGTAAAATAATTTAAATCTCGTAGCTGCGTGCTACGGATGCAGCCCACGTAGCCGAGTTACTGGCGCGAGGCGATCGTGCAAGAACCGCAGAACCAACTCAAGCAAACCAACATTCCTCGCGGGGCCATGCTTTGTTGAGGTAAAACCGTGTAATTAATATTAAAAAATATGGTCGTATCTTTAACAATTTTCATTAAACTAGCAAAAGTTGGCAGTCTTAATATGTATGCTGTTACTATGTCACCAACGAAAACATAACTCACTTAGTTATTGTACCATATTTGTCTTAATCGCCTCTGTCGGTCAATGGCTAAACATCTAATCCAGTACATTGACGAGCTGGTTGGGCTAATGATAGTAACGTATGGCTAACAATGAACGTCTCGTGGGTTCATCCCCACCGGGTCCAATGTGTTTGAAATTATTATTTTTTAATATGTTGGACTTGGTCTTGGCGGTTGACGGCGCCACTTGTTGATAAAACCTCTATGATAAAAAAATGTGTTAGGTGTCGTAGATTTGAATTCTGCCGAACATCGTTTTAGTCATACGGACACAGAGGTCTCATAAACTACTTTCCTGCAAATTAAAAATCCCATTGTGGGATGGTGACAGAGAAATTACAACCCCTGTCCTACACCAGGGAATGTCATACTTCTGTGTCCACTTCACATGTTTGTATCACTTACTGAATTTTACTTGTTTTTTCTTGTATGACAATTGAATAACAAGTCTATTGTCCCCTGTAATGGTTTTAGTGTATCTGTCAACAAGTCTGTATCAGCTGGGCTCCAACGAGGGCGACTTTTTCTAATTGACCTGGCCGGTTCGGAACGTGCTGGGACTAAAGCGAGGCGTCTGGAAGGTGCTCATATTAACCGGTCTCTGCTTGCTTTGGGAAACTGCATTATGGCTTTGTCTGGTGGAGCAAGGTTAGTATGTAAAAGCTGATATGACACAATACAATATAGTTCCTAAATTTGATAAATTACCAAGTTGTCTTGTAATTGCAACTTGTAATTATTGAGAAATTGTTCACGCCATCTCAACTGATGGAAAACCGGATTTCCATGAAATAATTAATATTAACTTGAATATGCACGTGTTGTGGTTGAAATTACAATGCGCGAGAGGTAGCAGCGAATAGGTTTCAAAAAATCGACAATGACACGTAGGAGACAGTAGCTCAATTGGCAACAGAACCTCACGCAAATCAATATTTTTTTTTTATGAAATACTTATCTAATAGATATGTCAACTACCGAGATTCTAAGCTGACGCGTCTACTTCGGGAGGTGCTGGGAGGCCGGTGCAGGACAGCTATGATAGCCCATGTGTCTCCTGCTGCAGAGCATCGAGACACCACCCGTTCCACTCTACATTATTCTCAGCGCGCCTCTACCATTACTAATAAGGTACAATTCAAATTTACAATGGAAAACCTACAAACATATGGCCATGATTATTCCGCCAGAGTGTGTCATATTTTTTCATCAATCTAAAATTAATTTGAAAAATGTTATAGTATATGTTTACATTGATATTACATTGCGCTAGAGATGCGTGTATTAATAGGTTGAAAAAATTCGACAATGACGTATAAGACTCGGTAGCTGGTTGGTTAGAGCAACAACACGAAGCGTTGAGGATGCCGGTTTAAGGCCCTCCCAGGTCTTTTTTTCTTAATCAATACTTGATTTTTAATATATTTTTTAATAAAATAAAACTCTTTCCTTATTTCTGTTGTTTACGTGACCACAACCTGTTTTTTTTCAAAACCCGGTGCAATATTAATCACGATTTATTATTACAGCCACTTCAAAGTATTCGTCATAATTATCATTGAAACAAACTATCGTCAAGTGGTATTGAACTTCTAGTGAAGGTGGACGGTATAAAATCGATTCGTATAACATAATGCCTTTTTAATTGTACGGTATCCCTTACTTATCTACTGCAATATGTATGAAATTTTAACTGTGCCACTTAAACTGCGGTACCTATTGATAGAAGGAAATTTCGGCTATTTCTGGCCACACATGAATTATATATCATAGAACATATCTGTTCTGTGTATATAATTTACTAGCTGTGCACTTCGTCTGTGGACGACGTCTGAGTAGAAGAGTTATTTTGGGCATCGAAAATTGTTTTTGCAAACCTCTACATCTTTAGAAATTTAAGCTGCCCACAACATCGGTCCCGTCTCGTCGTTCTTGCGAGTTCATCTTAAGAGATAGACATGAATCAATATTTTTGGTAGCTTGAACCGTTTTTGCAGAGTACGCCTTGGAAGCCCATAATGATAAATAATATCCCATTTTTTTCACATTTCTCGTTGTATCTTCGCTTGTATTAGTCACAGGGCGATGTTTTATAGCCTTCCTCGATAAATGCTCTAACCAACACAACAATTTTTATATATTACTATAGATTTAGTTTATATAAATCATTTAGTACAATTTAGTTTACGTAAAAATAAATGTTATAACCAACGTTAAGAGATTTTTACTCACACTGCCTCAAGTTTTAAATGTATTTTAGATCTAAGTAAATAAAAACTTTAATATATCTAATTTTATTCATATTTTAGCGTACAATTTGGCAAAAAGTAGTGATTTCCTTTTTCAAGTGAATGTTAAGAATTGTAATTTTCAGGTTGAACGGGAATTAGTACAAACCCCAATGCACTTGTCGCAGTATCGCAGCGTGATTAATGAACTCCGTGAAGAAATCGCGCGACTAAAAGTCAAGATGAAGGATGACCGTTCAAGGTAAACAATAGACGACCACAGATAAGGCAACTGAAGCCTGATAGATTCCTAGAATTATCAACTTTCGCGAAGAAAATGTTCCAAATAACAAGTCTTTTATAAATCCAAAGTGCTATTGTTTGCATTCTTTAAACCTAAGAAGCCCTTAGTTTAAAATTCCATTAAACATGAAACGTTGGTATGCTCGGCAAGGGGACGAATTCTGCTTGGTTAAAAATAAATTGTCCTTTCCAAAGAAAGTTTGTTTTCTGCACGTAGGAAACTACGTGTACAAAAAATATTTCTTATATGACATAGCATTTCAGGGGGAATTGTATAAATTAGTAAGCAAGTACAAAATATATTAAAAATCTTCTAGGGCACATATTTTTTTTTTCTTTTTATTTATAATTTGTGTAACGGCCCAACAAATTTTGTCAGCGTATTAATGTTGTGTTTATTGTTATATTAATAATCGCGACATGCATATGAATGCAAAATTCAATTTAACATAATATGATAATATATGCTATATTGTAATTAATAAAACGTACTTGCATAGTAATTAATATTGTATATTGTCTATTTTCAATAACAGACCCTCAGAAGACCAGCGAATAGAGGAAATAAACAAAGTAGAGAATGAAGATAATTCGGCACATTTAAAATCACTTCGCGAAGCTATCGTATCCACGTTCAAGCAGCAGATGCGACTACGAAGACGTCTGATGGAGCTTGATAGTCATTTGTTGGGCCTGGCTCTGGATGCGGAGAGACAACACGCCGCCATATCACATTGGGAAGCTCGTTTCAACCGATTATATAAACCTATCAGTTTAACGGGATCTCGCTTGAGCACACAGCAGAGTTACAGGTAAGATGAAACAGATGCAAAATATACTAAAACCCAAGCCCAGAGGGTAAGAATAAATTGGTTACCTCTTTGGTCGCCTTAGAGGAGCAGAAGATCGTTCCATTTTTAAATTACACTATAAGATATTATATAGAATTTTATTTGGCTACTAAACACGACAAGTATGGATTTTTAAACAATATTGTCGGCCGCTGCTTCGATATTTAAAACGCAATCAGCTCTTTGAAATGCCAGTCCCCATTATTTAGGGATAGTAGTGTGTATTGTACGTTGATTTGTGAGAGGTGTGACGGGAATATCGAGCAGCAGTGGCAGCGAGAGGGCTGAAGCTGAGGTAGCTGTTGAGCAGGCATGGGCAGAATTGGCGGCTGTGGAGCGTGAGCAAGAAGCGGCGCGGACAGAACGAGACCGTGTTGAAAGACATCTTGAGCAAGTCCGCTTGAGAGGTGCACAATTAGAGAAGGTATATCCATTAAAATAAAATAGAACGTTTAAGGTAAAGCCTAAACTTAAAAGTTTTTTTTAAAGGAGAAATCTAATCGACATTTAATAGTATGAGTATAGCTAAATGGACAAGGGCCCCGTTATAAAAAGAGAGAATAGGGCCTTGGAATATATTATATTTTTATTTTTATTAATAGGTTCAAGGAATAAACGATATTTATATAAACTATAAAACTATCCAGATAACAGGTTAATTTATGTTACCTTTACTATAGGAGCTTCCAGCGCATATAACAAGTGGCCCTGAAAGAGAAGTCCTAGCTTTAGTATGTAGAGTACATGAGCTTGAAGCAGACAAACTAGCTCTACAAGGCGAGCGAGCGGCGCGTGCGCACGAGTTGCGTAGACGCGATCTCGCCCTACAACGAAGAGATGCGCAGAGGAGACTTACTGATGAAATTATTACGCGTCAACGGAGGTTACTAGAAGGTACGGTATACACTATTAAGACTAAGATATATCTCACAATCATAAGCACAGAAATCTTGCAGATGATAAAAATATTATAATCCCATTCACACTTAACTGTACATTTTGACTACACAGTCTTACATTTTAAAATTCTAAAATATTTTTAGTCGCTTACACGCTTACGTTTACTATTATGAAAAGCGAAAAAAAATATATCTTTTAAATCAAAATGTATTTTAAATTAGAATTACAAACACATTGGAAATTATACAAGTAAACTTAAGTGGAGGATAGTACCTAGGAGTAGGTAAGCGATGAATGTTGAATAACTATTGAAAACTTGTTTAAATTAAAGTTATTTTAAAGATCATCAATAAATCGGTAATAATTAATTACATGTAAACGCTTGTTTAATAGAGAACGGTGTAGGTGTTCAACCTGATTTAGGTCAACTCTACGAACTGTATCAACAAGAGATTCACGCTTCAACTTATACTGAAACGAGTGATCTGTACACGCCATATCGCCTGCCGCCTATATCTTCGAGGTACGTGGTTATTTTATAGGCACATAACCTGGTTTTGAACAAGAAATCTTTTATTTTATATGTGTGATTAAGTTAATTAAAGTTGTAAGTACCGAATACGGAATAGCACGGAATGGATACCGGTTCAAGTCTTGCCTGAGTCATAATTTTTAAAAATGTATTCAAGATTTATAATTTTCTTAATACAAAGTATAGTCGAATGTTGTTGGAATATGTACTCGTGAAAATGGATATGCGTTGTGACTGGACTGTTTTATGGTTTTTTATTCGAATGATGAAGATGTAAAAAAGAAAGTCAAAGAAAGACATTTCGCTGCATTGCCCAAGGATACAAGGTCACTTAGTATACAGACATTGTTGAATACAAACAAACATTGATTATTGTTTTTGGTTTTAGCAAAACTAAGAGTAATCTTCTCCTTATTCTAGTATGTCAGAGCTAACCTGGTCAGAGAGTTCTAGTGGATCGGGACGTGGTTCCAGTTCAGGATCCGGTGGAACTTTGGGACTGGGATTAGATCGCTTGCCAAGGCTCGCCCCAACCCCACGACCACGTACGAGATACAGGTACTTAAGAAGATCTATAGAAACATTTACATCTTTTTTAAATTAGCAAAAAACACCGTTTATTTTTAATTTTTGTTATACTCTGTCGGGGTTATATTAGCTGGTGTTCATGGTGGAGCACTCACGATTTCTGATAAACTTAAAATGTTAAAAATAATTAAACAAAATCGTGTTTTTAATATGGTATGGTCTAGATATGTTATCAATTTAAAAATATATATAAATATGTATGATTAATAGAGAATGTCTCCCGCTCACGGTCCCTGCTTATCCTAAAGATAATGCAGATGAAACTAATTCAGTGTTGCATAAAATAACAACTAAAATAGCTATAGTCATAAATATATTGATAAAATACATGAAGAAGATGACTGCTTCTTTCAGTCAAGCAAGTGCAACGACACTAAAACGGTATTCCAGCGACGACAGCATAGTAATGGCAGCTCCACGGAATACTGAAGATGGTGCACCCTGAAAACCTTTAATATTTTTTCGGTGACCTGCTTCATCACGTTTGTTAACGTTTTAACATTTTGCTTCTTCGTTCCTCGGGCTAACGCAGCCGATTGTATTCAGAAGTTAACGAAGATATTTTTAATAGAATAGATAAATAATAATATAATAATTAGAAGTTTTTTACGTGTGATCTGTAGATTTGCTAAGTAAAGCCTTATGTGAAATGGGAATTTTGCTAATTAATTTTTCTATGGTGTTCGTAGCTTTGACTATAACATATTAACAAATATGTATATCAAACAATATGCCAGAATATTTCTGCTGAAAATATAAGTTTTCGGAAGCTGCTAAATGTAGAAACTGTCTAACTGTTCTTTATAAAAACTCTATATATTTATCTAAGGGGATCAATATATAGAGTTTTTATAAAGAAATAAGATATAATTTTAACATATAGTAATACTGTCTATAGTTTACGCTAGTAGTACATATTTAAATAAAACACTTTATCGCGTTTTAAACCGTTAAAGTGTTTTATTTAAATATAGTATGTCAATTCTTATACTTAGTACAGTAATATGGATTGGACGGCTTTTGCACAAATTGCGAGTAGAAAGGTAAATATCGACAAAGTTTTAGGAAGTTTATTTACGATATATTATAATGTTATAAATCTTTATGTATTGTTAAGTTTTTAAATTATAAAATAGGTCATTTTATAATGGTAACTTTAAAGATTTAGTACGAGTACTTGAACTGTAAAATAAAGTGTTATGTATGGTATGTCTTTTTATTCTTAAAATTATTGTTAATCCTACATAATAGATAATAATACTGTTAGCATAAAGTAATACATTAAAAGTAAATAATATTGTACAAATTCTATGTTATTACTTTGGTATTAATAAGAACCTAACCTCAATTCTGTTATAAAATTTACTTCAAAATGAGTGAAAGCACCAACTGTGAATTACACAGTTAACTAAATAATACAACAACAAAAAACTGTACAATTATTTAGTGAATACTATTTCTCTGTGATTTGAACACACGATGCGTTCTTATAGACAGTATACAAAGGTCCAATATAGAATGTTGAAGCACAAGAACATTAAAGGAAACAGAAGTCTGGAGCGCTTGTCAATCCAGGCAGCGATCTCTTTCGGAGTCATTTCAGTCCACGTGTGGTGCTGCGGAGGATCGTCAGAAATGTCACTGCCCGAGTTTAAATGTTGACGGCGTCCCGGAGATTGCCTCGTGTTCATATCGTCGCAACTCTGTGTCGTTATCGTGGGTAAATTCATGGCAGATGGGAAACTCTGAAAATGTACGTTTTGAAATATGAACTGCTACTAAATAATAGAACTAGCTGTGGCCGCGACTTTGTCCGTGTAGAGTAATTATTTTGGGCGTAAAATTTTGTTATTGAAGACCTCTGTATAAATTATAGCTGTTACAAACGACGTCGTCCGCGGCGTCGTCGAACGACGGCATCGTCGTTCTTGCAAGTTAATCTTACAAGATAGAACTGTCGCCGGCTTTTTTAGATTACTTTAATATTATATACATATTTTTTGGGGATTCCCCACTGTTTCTACGGTCCTCCGCAGCATGATTATTTATATCTTAAAACCTTCTTCGATCACAGCTCTAACTAACAAAAAAGTTTTTCAATTCGAATAAATAGCTTCTGAGATTAGCGCGTTGAAACAACTCTTCAGCTTTATAATATTAATATAATAGATATTCTTTTGGTGAAGTATACTCACATGTACTGTAAGATAATTATTATAACCAGGGCCTGCAGGTTCAGTGCTCGTTTCCTGTGACAGCGAAGAGCAAGACCGTGACTTGCTCAATTGTGGCGAAGATTCCTGCATCTCCTTTTGAAGTTCCTTTCGTGCCAGTCGTGGAGTTAACGTACTTTTAAGGATGTATTTACTATTGACTTTCTTCAATGGTGCCACTTTTCTAAGAATTAAGAGATAAATTAGAAAAGACAATGGAGAATAAAAGAATACATGTAATATTTCACGTGTAGTATTGTGTTGATTAGTGCATACGAGGTGTCGCAATAAAAAATCAAGTTAATTGAACTATTAACGCTTAATTCCCCAACGTATAATACACTAGCGACCCACCCCGGCTTCGCTCTAGTGCAAAGCTGATACTAAATACACTACAGAAAAACTTTGAATGTTGTATATAAAAACCTACCTCATAAATCACTCTATCTATTTAAAAAAATCCGTTGCATAGTTTTAAAGATTTAAGCGTACATAGAGACAGAAAAAGCGACTTTGTTTTATACTATGTAGTGATTAATAAATAATTACTTTCTGTGGTATATAGTGTTGACAAATGCAAACTCGACAAGGGCCGCAAAAATAAATCCAGTGCATCCCAGGAACCAGATTTCACTCGCTTTAATATAAGAGACCTTCGGTAAGGTTTTAGCTTGTGACGAGGCCAGAGTAATAAACGACAACATAGTACTTGTTCCTGAAAATATATCGCTTGTAATTAATTTTTTAATTTTACACTGCAACTGACGTCCAATTTCTAAAAAGCAAAATGTCTATAATAAATTTATAAGTGTTACCCAATGTAATTCTTGGAGGTGACGCATCAGCTTGTAACCAAAACGTTACCCATGACATGGCGACTATCATCATAGAGGGTATAAAGTAATCCATCAAATAGTAACCGACCTCACGTCCTAACTTAAAAGTGAACTTCAGGGCGCTATAGTTTCCAGCTAAAAACATTATATTTATAGTACGCATAGTTTAAATAAAACACTTTAAATAATATATCACGTTTTAAACCGTTAAAGTGTTTATTTAAATGTGTACTACTCGCGTAAACTATAGACAGTACGCATAGTTATTTTAGTGACATTTTATAAAGTAGTTATTTGAGGACAATATTTGTGTATGACAACTTTAATATTTTTCACATGTTATTGTACATGGGATGGGATTAAATAAATCAAAGATCGATTTTAGATACTTAATATGCAACTGTTAAGGTTGAAATTACATTGCTCGTGGGGTGCATGTATAAATGTTTAAAAAAGTTCGACGTTGACGTGTAGGACACGGTAGCTCAATTGGTTAGAGCAATAGCACGGAACGCTGTAGATGCCGGCTCAAGCCATGCCCGTGGCGTAAAATCGTATCCAAAATCGATTTTTTTAAAGTAACATTTATGTTGTATTCTGTCATTGATTTAATAACAACTAAAGTTAATCTTTAATTCAGATTATAACATTCACCTCCCCCCACTCTCATGTGAGCCATATCTCCTCGAACAACGGACTCGTTGGTCCAGTAATCAAGCAAAGAATATTCCGTTAAATGCAATTCAGACGACAGACGTACGGGGTTATCCTTTTCCCACATCAATCTTAAAATGGACGCGTTGTATTTCCCTGAAATAAGACGAACGTAAAGAATGGTCTTAAGAAACCTAATAATACACAGTAAGCGGAAAATTGACTTACAACTCTCCAAATTCATGGAGCAAGTCTGCTCGTCGAAGGGAAACTTCTGAAGGTTCATCCAACAATACAAGACGCCCTGCATTCTGCGGCTGAAAAGAACTTCGCCGCTGGGAGCTATCGATATAAGGACATCCTTACTATCTGTCCCCATTAAGCTGGAAGACTGCTCGTTAGGAATATATAGATGGGGAGCCCAAACCCTTGATCGAAGATCATTTTCTCCAATGATTCGCGTACGTTCAGGGGAATAAATTGAGTAGGCCAATCGTGGGTCAGTCCAACGCAGTTGCAAAAGGAAATGCAGTTTAAAGTTCTGTAAATAGAGACATACTTAAAAATAAATAGAAAATAATAACATAACTGTTAGTGTGTTAATAATTTATAGGGAGTTTGACTTATCAATTCTATGGTGGATTACTTATGTTCCTTAATTTTGAATCAAAAAAATTAATGACGCGAATCACGAATAGCTGTCGTTATAGGTTCGAGTCCCAATCGTGCCATCGATTCTTTATATTTTTAAATACTCTCCATAGTAACGTAATAACTAGCATGAATTTTCATTTAGATATTGTTTATTGTCCTCCTACATCGCATCTATTATAATAACTAAACCGATCAAATTTCAAACTAGTTTAGTGAAACCAGATTAAAATTTAGTTATTTTATTACCAAATCATGGGCTTCGGCCGGTTGAATGAAGTAAATATAAGCACTGGCATGAACATAGACCACATCTCGGGTCTCATATGTCGGTAGCAGGAGGCGATCGTACCGACATTTGTGAGCCAGTCGTGACAAAAACTCTGACTGAGTATATATATCACCGGATTCCAGTGCAGGGCATTCCAATGTATCTATCCTGAAAAAAAAATATAATCGTTTGTCTCTTAATCACAAGTCAAAAGTTGTCATAATTTTAAGGGCAAAAGGCGGCTGATCTTCTGAGCTTTATGAAAAACTTTCATCTCGATCCTGATATTTTAACGCATTTTACAATGGTACCGTGAAGTCAGTTAAACAACTTACTAACAGTACAGTTCTCTCCAAACTTTTTGGTCGGGCTGAAGTTGGCGCGACCGGCCCCCGCACCCCTTAAAACACTAACAAGACAACTCGGCTACCCCACTCGGCGCAACATAGTTTCGCCGATCAAGAGGTACCAACGAAGCCAAGAAGAAGGAGAAACAACCACCAACGAAGACCCCCAGGTCGACACGTCGCGCCCACGAGCTGCGAACCGACGGCTAACTTCAGCCCAGCCAAAAAGTTTGGAGAGCACTGTACATAAGTAAGTATCGTTTGTTACGTACTTGGGACACATTGACTAAATAAACGAAACATCGGGTAAAAAATTTACCCGCATGTTTCGTTGCTGTAATGGGTGGTAGGAATATCGAAATTTCACCCGGGTCCACAGATGAAAAATCCATGAAGTTTAATCACGTAGCGATTTTCATTCTCTGGTTTTCTGAGTATCCAAAACCAAAATAGGTCGACGCAGCATCTTGTTTAGATGGTATATGGCTGACGTATTTTACCTAACGCTTTTTTACATAAGTTTGTCAGAGCAAAACCACAAGATAACACAGAAGAAAGACTATATTTGTAATTCGATCACATAAACGAAGAGGTAAAGCTACATTCTTTGTTCATAAAATACATTTTCACATAACATGACCCTGATAACACATCTAACAAATTCACTTAGCAAGTAGATAAGTATTAGAAAGATTTACTCTGAGATTAATTGCTAATCGCTTTAATGTACCTACATCAGCTTACATTGTACAGCTTATCTTGGTGCTATCAAAACCTACATTATAGCACAAGCTGCCATTAGACTTATCAAATTTGAATAGAATGTGGCATGGTAGGTTCCGAGAATATTTGCAGAAGTACTTTAAAATAGGCCGAGTAGTAAACTAGAACTTTTTTCTAATCGACAACCAGTTATAACAACAGACACTAGATTTATTGTCAATCATTTGTAACTACGAGGTGCGTGTTGTCAATGTCAAACACAGAAGGTGTGGTAAAATTCAAAAACTGTACTTCCTTAAATTTTATGATAAATCAGACGGCTCCCTTTTTACAGTATATGGTATGTATATATTATAATAATAATATTATGCCTCTGCAGACAAAGCATACGTTTTCTAAGACCAAAAACTTATTTATTAATAAGATGGTCTTATGACTTTTTTAAATATTATTAATATTGGTACGATTTGTTATGATTTATTGCTCTATGCTGCGAATTATTAGAGAATATACTTCAAAATATGTACTCATATTTCCCTTTAAATATTTTGCAAAATACACTTGGTTTTGAAATTCATCGTAGTTGAAAACATTTTATCGGGTCCCAAAGTAAACACCATAGCAGGTGACTTAACCATACTAATAAGATTTATAGAGCAATTACATACAATCGTAAATCATAAAGTGTAAAATAAACCTTTGTTATCAATTTTACAACGTGCGTGACGTCATGTTTCTCCATCATCAATCTTCGAGCAGATGTCACGGCTCACGAGGTAAGTTTTCGTAAGGCCTAATTATCTGTTAATAATCAGTTAACCTTGGATAATCTGAATGCCAAATGAGTTCTGGGTTCTGTGTTATATATCGCAACTCTTTAACGATCCTTTATTACGTGGCATGGTGGATAAGGTTGCGGTCCTTAGTTGAGCTTTTACGTTATGAAAAAACTAATGTCGTAATATCTACCAAGATCACTGTTATAGAAACATATTCTTCTTTTAAATAAAATACTTTAACGATTTAAAACGCGATATATTAGTTTAACTTATTTGAAAATGATTTTTAACTTCGGCCTGACGTTTCGTTGCTGTTAAACCGTTAAAGTGTTTTATTGAAATGTATACTACTAGCGTAATCTATAGACAGAATTTAACATATTCTTCATAAAGTAAACACAAATCTTCGATTGACAATTTTGAGGGTAACTTAAGGGACAAAATTACGTTTTGTATTTAAAAATACGAAAAACAGCTGTTTCTACTACGTTGCTTTAAAAACATTATTATTTGTCCTAATTATCATATGCATTATGAAAAAAAAGTTCCAATACAACGCAACAAATATGAATCCCTTTAAGATAAATTCAAAAGCACGCTTTTCTTAGTATATGTGAAATGCGATCATTAAATTATAATGTAGCTTAATAAATGCGAACCACAATCAAGAGACAAATTTAGCATAAAAATAAGCATATGGTTCATCTTCATAGAAACACATATATAGCACCTAAATTGGTATAATAAAAAGACTTACGTTGAATTCAAACAGGCAGCACATTTGAAAACAACAAGAAGACATAGCAAAACCGCACTAAAGTTCATTTTAACTTCTAAAACATAATCCTATCTAAAAGATTAAAAGATAGTGCGCACGCGTCGGTCAGTCTGCTTCCTTAGATCGATTAACCACTACTGTAAAAAGATTGCAGGCTGTTATCATTGATAAAAGTCTGGGTTTGCTTTTACGTAGGCAATATGAGCTTACAAAGCATATATTAGAGGGGCAAATATAAACATTGTAACGACAAAAAAATATTAATTAATCTTAATCTATATAGTGAGATAATTCTGTGACTTCATTATAACCAATATCCAAGCGAAACACAAGTATGACATAGTGCTATGAAGTTTACTCTGTGTAATGCAGTTTTATTCTCGTTCAAGTTAAGAATTTCTTAATATACAAATAAAATATTTCAAAATAGGTTTTGAAATGAAATGAATTGAATTTAAATAAAACACTTTAACGGTTAAAACGCGATATATTAGTTAAACTTATTTGATAATGATTTTTAACTTCGGCCCGACGTTTCTCGCCCGGAGTCTCCCAGTGACCACGGCTGCTGCAAAGCATCTGAAACGCCGGGCCGAAGTTAAAAATTTTCAAATAAGTTTAACTAATATATCGCGTTTTAAACCGTTAAAGTGTTTTATTTAAATGTGTACTACTCGCGTAAACTATAGACAAGTATTGAATTGTTTTTCGGGCTGTTCAGCCGACGTGAGACGAGGTTCTCGAAGTTTCGTCATCACGAGCGGACGGCATCTGATGTTGTTAACAATGATATGCTGAACAATGGCCGTGCAAGCCTTACAAAATTTATTGAAGTAGTTCTTTTTACTATTTTTCTAAAATCCATTTCGTAGTTGTGTCTGAAATCGAATAACAAAATTTGTATTTGGTACATCATTACTTTTGAAGGCAAAATTCGTTATTATTTATATCTACCTACTATAGTATTAAGTGGAAGTGTTTTTGGAATCAAATACCGGGGAAGTAACCTAATTGTGTCACAAAGAAAACTTGATTCACATTCTTTTTGGCTTTTCCATACATTTTTAGAAATACATTACGACCACGTTGATTGAATTAAAATGTCATGTAATTTTGGTGTACCACTTGACCGCTTGACATTAATAAGTTTTAAAAAGACCGAAAAAGGGTTTTCAAAAATAAGAATTTAACTTTTCACTGCCGTTTATTATTCATATGTACAAAAATGTTGCTAATAACTTTGACCTTATGAATACAATCTACAATAAAAGGTAATATAAAAAGAGACCATACTAATCTAAAATCACATACAAATAAGGCACGTTTAATAGGAGATCTGAAAATATGTTTCAGTAATAAATATTTAATTCAAAAATCATCTTTTACGCTTAAATTATTATAATTGTATTCTATATATGTGTGAATTTATATTCTTCTTCTTGAAATAGATATTTATGCAATTTGCTTTAAGATCTTTTACGTAAATTTAGGTACTACACAGAAACAGGTAAGTAAGTGTATATAAGGAGTATATTATAATTTTCTAGAACTTATGATATTTTTTATTAACTCGATAGTTAAAAGCGAGCATAGTGTTTGCAACACATAACAATTTCTGTGTGCGAGACACAGAAGACGGTTCAGCTTCTCTTATCAGTGACTCTTAGGTTATCTCGTTGCCTATCCAATGACCAGCATGGGGCTTTTACATAGTCTTAAGACGATGACGTTACAAAACTTTAAAGCAAAGATTAGTTCCGAATCAATTAAATGCCTGAAACAATCTTACGGACAGATAGCGTCATTGCCTATTATAATTACTATCGCGGTTATTAAAAATAAATTCTTTGTCTACCAAAGTCTGTCATAATTTTTAACATTGTTTTTAACAATATAAACACACTCTTTGAATGATGTTAGCATTGAACTCGGTTACGATAAAAATTGTAAAGTAGTAAGTACAGAATTACTGTAATATTAAATTTCTACGTTAATTATTAAGATTTTGTAGCGATCTTATAGTTCTATTAAGTTATAATTTATTTTCATTTCTGTTTAAGATTATTTCTTAGATAGAAATGCTCATCAGATTATAAGTACACTAATAATCACACGCTTATGTAGTTAAAATAGTAAAAAATAGTCTTAAATCAGCTTTCTCAGGGTTTTCTATTACTTTCTGTACATCTTCAATGACTATATATTCTACAGACAGTATACAAACGTCCAATAAATTATATTGAAGAATACAAAAAGTAAGGGAAACAGCACTCTCGATCGCTTGTCTATCCACGTTGCGATTTCTTGCGGGGTCATCTGCGTCCAGGTGTGGTTCTTGGGTGGTTCATCTGAACCTTCACTGGCGCAATTATGATTACGCCTATCCGATCTGACGAGTTCGTCGTAGCTCTGTGTTGTTATTGTGGGTAAGTTCAGCGCGGATGGAAAACTCTGGAAATTTAAGAATAGTATAGTTTAATCACTTACATATTTAAAAGTACATCTTTTATATATATAATAAATCAAACAACGGAATTCAAATTGAAGAAAATTTTAAGTATTTTAACATATCACTTTGCTGTAATCAACGGGTAGGGTTCGGGTCTCGTCATATCACTTTTAACTTAACTAAATTTAGCGATCGAAAAGACGATTAAGAAATGCCTTAGTTATTTATACTAATATCATTAAGCCCATGAGTTTGTTTCTTTGAACAGGTTAATCACAACTACTGTTTCGAATGAAAAATATATTTTTTTGTTGGATAGACCATCAAGGCCTTTAAAACATCAGGCCGTGACCAATATAAGCGAATTAACAGAGGAAAATTAACTCTTTAAATGTAAATTAAATATAATTACAACAATGGACTTACGTGTACTGTAAGGTAATTATTAAATCCTGGCCCCGCTGGATCTGAACTGGTTTCTTGGTTCAACGAGGAACATGATCTGGACTTGCTAAGCTGTGGTGAGGATTGAAGTTCCTTCTGCATCTCTTTGCGTGCTAAACGCGGAGTCAGTGTACTTTTGAGTATGTATTTGCTGTTCACTTTCTTCAAATTAACCACTTTTCTGAAAATTTAATTGAATAGATACTTAAATTTGCTTCCCTAGGACATTGGAGACGGAATATAAGGCCCTTATTCCTAATATCATAGAACAGAGAAGATTGTAAACCACAGTTGTAAAACTCCCAATTTTAAAAATCTAAACAAGTTTTTTTCATCAGATGGTTCGCGCCACAGACTGCGTTACAAAATGTAATTTGCATTATTCTATAGAAAAACTTACTTCCTTCGCCATATAGTATTGACGAACGCAAACTCCACCAGAGCCGAGAAGATAAAGCCAGTGCAGGCTAAGAACCAGATCTCACTTGCTTTTATATAAGACACCTTTGGCAGTGTCTTTGCTTGAGATGATGCAAGTGTTATAAATGACAGCATCGTACTTGTACCTTGAAAAATACAAATTCGTCTCATTTATATAATGTCATGTCCCATAAAGACTTTATCAAAAGATTTTATAAATCTTTGTGTAGTTCAGTCCAATTTGAAGTCTCCCAAGTGTAACATTTGTGATTTATCATAGATTTTCTTTTTGGAAAGACATTAATAATAGACTATCTTGACAATAAAGTTTATACCTAGAGTTATTCGTGGCGCTGAAGCATCTGCTTGTAACCAAAACGTCACCCATGACATAGCAACTATCATCATTGATGGGATGAAATAGTCCATAAGATAGTAGCCGACTTCTCGGCCCAGTTTGAAAGTAAACTTCAAAGCACTGTAGTTTCCCGCTGAAAGTATTGGAACATAGTTTATTAGTGGTATGTTTCATTATCTCTAAGGGACAACACAGACATGAAAATTTGACATTACATCTACCTCCTCCCAATCTCATGTTCACGATGTCACCTCGAACAACTGACTCGTTAGTCCAATAGTCGAGTAGAGAATACTCTGTTAAATGCAATTCGGATGATAACCGAACCGGGTTATCCTTCTCCCACATCAGGCGTAAGATTGATGCGTTGTACTTCCCTGTAAAAGAAAGAAATACTATTAAGGATTTCCAAAGATATTATGCCAAAATTAAACCAAATCAGTCAGAAACTGGTCTTCCATTGACTTTTTGTTCAGATTCTACACTTTACGCCATTACTTATTAACATATATATTGCAATAAACTTACAACTTTCTAGATTCATAGAACATTTTTGGACATCGAACGGGAACTTCTGCAGATTCATCCAGCAGTAAAGCACAGCTTGCATCCGACGGCTGAACAAGACTTCGCCATCTGGTGCTATCGATATCAAGACGTCCTTACTATCCGTGCCCATGAGACTCGACGACTGTTCGTTCGACATATACAAATGTGGAATCCAAACTCGCGATCTGAGATCGCTTTCTCCGATTATCTTTGTTCGTTCTGGAGAATAGAGAGCGTATGCGAGGCGTGGATCTGTCCAGCGCAGTTGCAGAAGAAAATGCAATTTGAAGTTCTGAAAAAAGTACTACCAGTAAGACCCAATTATACCGAGAAACTAGAAATTAGAAAGTAAACGACAGTTGTGTCATATTCATATTCTAGTTGGTCAAAAGGCTGAGTTTAAGTTGAGTTTCAGGTTTTAGTCTTGCAAAGTGCTTATGGTCAGTTCTAAAGCCGGGTATATATTTAAATGTATTTATCGACATAAATAAACTCAAACTCAAATACCATATAATAATAATATCTTCTCTAATCATAATCTCTAATAATATCTACAGACATATAAACCGACAGACACTGTCGTCGGAAATCGATCAGTGATAGAATGTGTTTACCCAATGCCCCATGTAAAAACCACTATTGAAAACTTATTTTTAGAAGGCTTTAAATGATTTTACCAAATCGTGTGCTTCAGCTGGTTGAATGAAATAGACGTAGGCGCTAGCATGGACAAAGACAACATCTCCAGTTTGGTAGGTAGGCAGCAGAAGCCGGTCGTAACGACATTCGTGAGCAAGACGTGAGAGGAATTCTGATTGCGTGTAGGTATCTCCTTTTTCCAAGGACGGGCATTCTAGAAGTGGGTCCTTTCTGAAAAAGTAAAAGTGTTTTTTACATAGTTGAAAAGCATTATTTTAAAGGCGAAAGGTCAGAAAAAATCCAGATAAACATACAAGACTAATTTGTTCTGACATCGCACGAGCTGGTAAAGCTAGGTATTTCAATTCCATTTTATATTTATGTATTAACTAATATAAATGACAACAAAGTGCGGGAACTTTGTCATTAAAGATGAGAGAATCATACGCCGAACAGCAAACATCAACTAAACATTCTTAGATAACAATAAAACGCGTGAAAGATTATCTTTATTGGAACAGGGTTATTAATTATCCGCGATGTTTCTCAATCACCTACGTCAGTACGTGACGTAAGCACCGCCAAAATAAACTAATATAATCCGAGTGAAAATAAACGGTATCGTGTTACTCATAAGAAATGTAAGCGAGTAAAGTAGTTTATTTGCTAAAATTACATTTTATTGTGTTTATGTACGTAAACGAATTATTGTGAATTGTAATGCTGCAAATATTTTACACATTTCCGGCGTGTGACAACATAGATCCAAATATGGATATTATAGAAAATATTAAATGTTTTTTCGGCAGGATTAACTGAATGACAGACGGACAGCCACGTGAAGTTATTTGTAACAATGTGACTTCTTTTTCTAATTTACTGACCGTGTTTTCAGTATTAGATTTAGTAGGAGAGGTATTTTTCATTTTATTGATATTTATCGTCTAACTAATTTACACAGGCCTAGTACATGTACATCTAACGCCGCAACTAGCTATCTTTATTAAAATTTTAATTTGTAGATTTTTTTGTGATATTTTTTTAATTGCATGTCTGTAGGTTACGAGAGTACATACCCATTAATTTAATTACATGAAACGTTTGTGCGCTTTCATTTTAATAAAATATATGTATTTAATATTTGAATGATTTTTATAGACTAAAACCAAAGGATTGTTCGAGAAAATCTCGTAAAAAGGCAGTACAAACTCAATTATTGTATGTTTAATGCATAACGAATACTACTGAGTAGGGAATTATGTGCATTTGCATTTATTTGTTTTGATTTTCACGTGACTAAACAGGTAATATTGTGTTTGTCCGTGTGTGGTTAAGTAGATGACTTTATCCTATTATGTTGGATCACGTCAAGTCTTTGAAAATCTAATAAGGTGGCCTCCTCCATCTACGAGTACATTGTTAAACAAAATAATGTACTATAAGTAAAACTAGTTTTTAGATGTTTAAACGGAAATTAAATTTTAAGTACACAATGTTTCTGGTAATTTCCAGCAGCTTGATTATTGGCACTATATAAATTAAAACCTTTCTACCATCTATTGCTCCAACAAAGCACAACGCGGAACGCTGACGATGCCGGTTCCAGTTCTGCCCTCGTCGCAAATCTTTTTAATTTATTTTCTATTTTTAACTTATATAGCTATATTTTTTATGTGTCTCGTGTTAACTACAGGAAGTGTGAGAAAGTTATCGTTTACCAAAAATGCAACTTAGTTATAAATGGATGTTAAGTAAAACTTAAGGTTTTAATCCATTACTTTTTTATATAACGCACAGTAGGTACTCGCGTAAACTTTAGACAGCGGTCGCGTAAACTTGCATATGATTAGGCCATGTTGTTTGCTAGTACCCACTATACATTTTCCTTTTTTTAGTTTGGCTCTGGCCTAAGATGTAATAAGGGTAGGTATATATTAACAAACGGTCCAAGGCTTGTAAACGGACTTCGTAGAACTAATATTTGTCCCAGATAAGATGAACCAATTCGTAAGAATTAGTAAAATTTACTTTAAGATTAATACTAATCTTCTTGCGGGGTCTAACATACACATATACAGATGGAACAAATAAGTATAAATACTTTGGTATAGCTTATCTTTTTATATCAAACATTTACGTTCTATTCATTTAAGCTGTTGCTATAAATTGATGTCTATTATTGCCGACAATGCCGTATTAGGCTTATCTTTCTTTAAATATAATTGATATTTTTTCGCACAAATATCTATTACAAAACCTATTTCAATTTAGAAACAGACAACAGATTCGAAAAAAAGAAGATTTTTCTAGATATTGGGTTCTTAGAAAAATATATATCCGATTTTTTTAATAATCATTTATTAATCAGCTATTACGAATTAAAAAATAATTATAAAAGGTAAAATTAAATTACTATTCTTAATAAAATCAGGAAAAAACAAATAAGTAATATAAAAAGCGAAGGCCTCACTACTTATCTATTGAAATGGATGCTCTATTGCTCACAGACACATACAATTACTACGAACAAAACCTATGTAATAACATTATAGATCCATGATACTGTTTACTATAATAGCGTGCAATAGGCAGGCTCATCTCTAAAAGTAATCTCTTGCAGGTAATTGAGTTAAATGAAAGAGAACTTTTAGAGAAAAATTGGCATTTTCTCATGACATGTAAGGATAAAAAGAAAATGTGATTGCGCAACATTCCTTAAAATGCGTGTTCCCGTATTTAATTATATTATTATCAGTGCTTCTGTATTTACGGTAATCCTGTTATCAATTTTGCTGAACCATTTACAAACAGTTAAATATCTCCAGTAAGAACGGGTAATTTCATATGAAGTAACCTGGACTGATTAATTATTAAATTAAAAAACAATTGTTAATATAACTTAAATAGAAATAGATATAACATAAAACGTGTTTGTAAAAATTAGAACGCCTCCTTTAGAGATGTTACTAATTGTTCATGTTTAAAAACTTTATGACCAGATACGCTACTGCAGGAGCGAGATATTCTTAAATGTTTAAGCTTCATTATAATTACTTAGATAAGATGCAGAATTTTCCTAGTGATTTGGCACATATGATTCATTCAGCAAAAGATTGCAATGTTAACTCTATACGACTTCGTGGAACAGAATACAGATCAGATCTAACTGATATGTTGGAAAAAGCGAGTCAAAAGCGTGATCAAGGACTTTTATATCTTTATGAACCCACATCAGGATCGATTTTTGTCGTCTAGTTTGTATTCAGAGAGAGTTGCAATGCTTTACCTCTGTTACAAGGCTCTTAGAATAATTTAATTTGGAAAGGTAATTCATACCGACAGTCGGATACGTGATCGCGGCAAAGAAAAGGTCGCCATGACTGTTGTCATAATCACCATAAAAATTAACTTTATGTTATTGTACCAAGATAAGGTCCTTTACAACATCTTATGAGCCGATAATATTCTCCGCATTATCATAACATTGAGTTCTGCATACGTTCAACAGAAATTATAATGTAAGTTGGAATATAATCATATTGCGCTATAGAAATGCAAATCTTCAATAGCATCACTAATACTAACTATATAGAGCAGTCACATAATATTGTGTAATGTTATTGACGTTCTTACAAAAAAATAAAACCCATTCTAGATTAAATAATCGATCGACAATGTATGGCTTCGTATATCCAAATCCAGAAAGTCGAATTCGTTGCTGTACCTACATAAGATACTACCTGTGCCCGCGACTTCGTCCGCGTTGAATTGAATGGGCATTAAAATTTTTGCTAACAAGCTCCTCACCTCTATGAATTATAACTGTTATATCTAGTCACTACTAAGATAGACATAGACTAGCAAAAAAAAATTAGATCATTCCAAGAGAAATTAGTCTATCATAGATATTTTTCGGTAGGTATTTTGAATTGTTCTCGAAGCGTATGCAACGGAAACCCACCCAACAATCTACAATAATTTTCCCCGTTATTCCCATATTTTCCACTGTTTCTTCGCACCTATTAGAGCTCCTATTATTTAGAGCGTATTTTATAATCTTCCTCGATAAATACTCTAAGCAATACAAAAATTAATTTTCAGTTCAAACCAGTAGCTCTTGAGATTAGCGAGCTCCAACAAACAAAAAAATAAACTCTACACCTTTATAGATTAGTATAAATATATAACTATTATAAAGATTAAAAAGATATTAGGGATTTAAAAGAATTTAAAATTAATTTATGTGCTTAAGTTTACGTCTAGCGTAATATATAAGAATAGAATACGCGAAAGCCTTACAATTTAGAATGCGTTTATTCGGAAACAACACAATATTATCAATGGAAGATACGTGTTTGTTAAACATAACAAAACACGTATCTTCCGCTTCTTTGACAAATATTGAGTGCAAAGTTTTATATCCTCGTTACAGAAGTAAATTTAATAGTCAACATTTCGGCAGTGGCCAGTAGACCATTGCGCGAACGCAGTTGATTCGCGACGGGTACTCGATCGCACAATTGAATTACTTAAATTGCGTATATTGGATTAGTGTCCAGCGAGAGGCGATCGTCGTTCCACCTTGACCCTGAACAGCGCCGCGCTGTCATGTGACCGCGTTTGCCACTGCCTCGTAGATTCTCCCAATCAATGGAGGTCGCGTTTATCATTAGTATTTTCCGCAAGTTAGTTCCGCTCCATACTCAGACAATCAGACTGTTTTCCAGAAAGTAATCATATTTTAGACGTATCTCTAACAATATAGAAAGGAAAATATACTTATGTATCTATTTTAGTGTTATTTTTTAAGACAGAGAAACAACGAGCATGAAGATCACGTGATGGAAGGTAAAATACCTCAGCCTTGTAACATCTGAACTAAATCCGCTGTCGACCTATATTGGCTTTGGATATTCGGAAATCCACAGACTGAAATCATTACGCGATTAAACTTCACGGCTTTATCATCTGTGGATGATGGTTCGTAACTGGACGGAATTTCGATATTCTACATATCAGATAAATTTTAAATTTATTGGAAAAATTGTCTAGGGACCCACGACCCGTTGATTGTTAGCCATTCATAACTGCCATTAGACAGACGAACCCGTCAAAAACAGATGTTAGTACATTCTGCTATATATTTTATACTATATTGTAATACATACATATATGTTCTACAATAAGAAACTAAAGTGTGCCCTGAGAAAAGCGGAAAATAGGGAAAATAT